TTTAGGCCGAAAGGAGAATTCAAGGGTAGCTCAAGGCTCAACACGGAACAAGGTTTTCACGGAGATCGCTCTTGATTTGTGACTAGTCTGTGGTAATCCTGGAAATAACACTGAGAGACACATGAGGGCGGGGCGGATTATCAACGGGAACAGGACGGGATGTAAAACTTAAAACAAAAACACAGAACTGATGTCAAAATAAAAGTACAACATACTGTAAAAATTGTTTAAGAGCCGAGCAACAGGAGCCGCAGATCCACCTGAAATTCACCTCAAACTTGATTATTATTGATCCAAAGATTTTGTTGAGCTTTGAACCACAGACCCACCGTCCCCCTGCCTCCCCCCCGCCTCCCCCCAGCCTCCCTCCAGACTCTCAGACCCAGAGGTGGTGAGCAGCGAGTCAGCAGAATCCAGACGAGTCAAAGCCCACTTACCAAATGTGAGCGAGGAGAGGCTAAAACGCAGACGGCAGGCAGGATGTGGCGCCCCCCGCTGCGCTGGGAGAAAGACAGCAGAAAGTCAGCAACATTCTCACCCAGAGCAAACATCAAACATCATCAAACACGCAGAACGGGAGACTTTGATCTGTGCGGCCTCCACAGGAAGCCTCTGCATCTTTAGAAAATCCTCCAAATGTAAATGAATTTACTACAGAAGAAAAGACCCGAGGCCGCGGTGAAAGCAGCAGCAGACAGCAGCGGGTTCATCAGGAGCTAAACCCTCCACATGCGGCGGTCAACAAGTGAAACACAACCTATTTTGGCTGATTTTGAATTCGTACGAGGCGTGTAAGAGCCACGGTCCTGGATACAGATGTCTGGGAGGGTTTGGGGGCGCCACATCATCAGTGAACTTTCAGCAGGTGTGAGCAGTGTGTGGGATTTGGGAATGTTTTGCTGATGGTGCGGAACTGTGGCTGGTGTCAACAGACTTAGCATTCTCTGGTCTCTGGTCTCTTTCTGGTCTCTTTCTGGTCTCTTTCTGGTCTCTCTCTGGTCTCTTTCTGGTCTCTTTCTGGTCTCTCTCTAGTCTCTCTCTGGTCTCTCTCTGGTCTCTTTCTGGCCTCACTCTGGTCTCTTTCTGGTCTCTCTCTGGTCTCTCTCTCTGGTCTCTTTCCAGTCTTTTTCAGGTCTCTCCCTGGTCTCTCTCTCTCTGGCCTCTCTCTCACCAGTTTCTCTTTTGTCTCTCTCTGGTCACTCTCTCTGGTCTCTCTCCCTGGTCTCTCTCCCTGGTCTCACTCTGGTCTCTCTTTCTCTCTGCACTCTCTCTGGGTCTCTCAACAGTTGTCTTCTTTGGTCTCTCTCTCTGCTCTCTCTCTCCTGGTTACAGATGTCTAGGAGGGTTTGGGGGCGCCACATCGTCAGTGAACTTTCAGCAGGTGTAAGCAGCGTTGAGGATTTGGGAATGTTTTGCTGATGGTGCTGAACTGTGGCTGGTGTGTTTCATGGTATGGATTACAGCCCCTGGTTCTGCTCGGTGTGAATCTTCGCACACGACTGCAGCGGCACAGGTTTAAACATGAATCAGAGACCGGGCCTGAACTCTTTAACCCTTTAATGTTCACTCCTTGAAGAAAGCCAATGTATGTTTTTCTTTTTCTGACTTTCTTACATATTGGCCTTTACCAAATGGATGAGATGCAGCTTGATTGTAGATAGTGACTCAAAACATGATCCAGCAAATGGTTGAGGAAATGGTTTTGAGATTTTCATTCTGGTCCTGGGCTGGTACAAAGAGCACATGCCACTTATTAGTTGTAAATATTATAATAATAGAAACAATAATGCATTGGTTTTGTTCAGTGCTTTTTGGACTCTCAAAGAAGCTTCACATGTCATTATTATTTCACGGCAAACACAGTGGTGATAAACTACTACTGTAGCCACAGCTGCCCTGGGGCACACTGACAGAAGCGAGGCAACCAGTCTGTGCCATCGGCCCCTCCCACCACCACCAACCATTCACACACACACCAGACTCATTCTAATGTGGGGGAAGTGTCTTGCCAAAGGACACAAGAACAACTGGGCACTTTACAGCCGCAGCCGCCCCACTGTGGCACCTGGTCTCTCTTAGGTCTCTCTCTCTCTCTCTCTTGTCTCTCTCTCTCTGGTCTCTCTCTCTCTCTCTGGTCTCTCCCTGGTCTCTCTCTCTCTCTCTCTTGTCTCTCTCTCTCTGGTCTCTCTCTCTCTCTGGTCTCTCCCTGGTCTCTCTCTCCCTGGTCTCTCTCTCTTGTCTCTCTCTCTCTGGTCTCTCTCTCTCTCTGGTCTCTCCCTGGTCTCTCTCTTCCTGGTCTCTCTCTCTCTCTCTCTCTTGTCTCTCTCTCTCTGGTATCTCTGCAGGTATGGCCGCATCCCTTTTCTCTTTCTCCTTATTATAATAGATCCATGTCTCTCTCTCTGGTATCTCTCCCTGGTCTCTCTCTCTCACCTTGGTCTCTCACTCTGGTCTCTAAGAGCGCTGTGTGTGTGTGTGTGTGTGTGTGTGTGTGTGTGTGTATAGAGCAGAGGTGGGACAAAGTCATTGTTTAGCAAGTCACAAGTCAGTCTCAATTCATTGCCCTCAAGTCCCGAGTCAAGTCACGAGTCAAGACAGGCAAGTCCCGAGTCGAGTCCAAGTCAAAGGCCAACAAATCTCAAGTCAGTCCCAAGTCCTACGGTTTGACTTTCGAGTCCTCTCGAGTCTTTTTGACCGCGATTTGTTTCTTGTTGGTCTCCACGTACTTTTGTAGGCAAACAAAATAATGTTAGGAATCATTTTGCTGGTGCATTCTCGTTGGTCTCTGACCCATGGACTAACAGTTTGTTCCATGTCGTTGGCTGCTGATAAATCAAAACTATCTACGTGATCTAATTGGATGTTGTGCCAGATGCAGGCTCAGTTACACATGCACAGACCACACATAAAATCAGAGCAGTCCGTGTCAACATACTTTTTATCTTTGGGGTTTTTAATGGGAAGTAGCAAGTGCAGCATATATGAATATGAGTATTGGGCTAGGACCTGTATCTATATAATCAGTTTAATGTCCGTAGTGGTTATTGTTCCAAATGTCCTACTGTAGAATAGGGGTAGTATGAGGGGTCTAGGCTTTGGACCTGGGGCAGCTCGCCATCAACTGGACCAGCATTAGCAATATCTCATAATTACCAATATATCATTACATAATAAAATGTCTCATATAAATTAATTCAATCAGTCAAAGCACTGATTCTCATATCAATGCACCATAAACAATAGTGCAAATATTAATCTAGCTTAGTGCACATAATCAAAACAACTATCTAATGTATGCAAACTTTAGCAGGAGGAGCACAGCAAAAACATACTCATAATAATAGGCCTCGGCGCCCACACAGAAAAATATAAGAAAGAGCCAACAGAGCAGCGCAGGCTAGCGCTAGTTTGACTCACCAGTTCCTCTTTAAAACACGGCACACAGTGTGACAACTGCGTCGATTCAATTGTATGAGGCGCCTGTAGTGAAAGCATATCAATTACGGTTTGTAGAACAAAATATGACGTTAGGTCGCGATAAATACCTGCAGCTCGCTCATTTCCAGCTCCCCTACGACAACACACCCACCGGTGAATGCAGTCCGCTTGTTTAGGGAAGTGTTGCTGCGCGAACTGCGGGGAACTCACGTTCGAACTCTCGCGCGAGTGCTACAACTACCGCGAGGCTTTGTTTCTTCAGAGACGGCATAGATAGAAAGAGAGATGCGGAGAAAGGTAAAAATGGCCCGGGTTACGCAAGTCTTTACAAGTCAATTGGCGCAAGTCCAAGTGAAAGTCAGAGTCATTGATGTTAAAGTCCAAGTCGAGTTGCAAGTCTTTTTATATTTGGTCAAGTCGAGTCTAAAGTCATCAAAATCATGACTCGAGTCTGACTCGAGTCCAAGTCACATGACTCGAGTCCACACCTCTGGTATAGAGTACCTGTGCTCCTCCCTGTCTTTGTGTAGAGTCCTTGTGCTCCTTCCTGTGTGTGTGTGTGTGTGTGTGTGTGTGTAGAGTACCTGTGCTCCTCCCTGTGTGTGTATATAGAGTACCTGTGCTCCTCCCTGTGTGTGTGTATAGAGTACCTGTACTCCTCTGTGTGTATATATAGAGTACCTGTGCTCCTCCCTGTATATGTGTATAGAGTACCTGTACTCCTCTGTGTGTATATATAGAGTACCTGTGCTCCTCCCTGTATATGTGTATAGAGTACCTGTACTCCTCTGTGTGTATAATAATAATAATGATGCATCGGTTTTATATAGCGCTTTTCTGGACACTCAAAGACGCTTCACATGTGTCATTATTCATTCACTCCAAACATGGTGGTGATAAACTACTGCTGTAGCCACAGCTGCCCTGGGGCACACTGACAGAAGCGAGGCAACCAGTATGCGCCATCGGCCCCTCCGACCACCACCAACCATTCATACACACACCAGACTCATTCTAGGCAATGGGGGTGAAGTGTCTTATATCTTATATATATGTCTTATATAGAGTACCTGTGCTCCTCCCTGTGTGTGTGTATAGAGTACCTGTACTCCTCTGTGTGTATATATAGAGTACCTGTGCTCCTCCCTGTATATGTGTATAGAGTACCTGTACTCCTCTGTGTGTATATATAGAGTACCTGTGCTCCTCCCTGTATATGTGTATATAGAGTACCTGTGCTCCTCCCTGTATATGTGTATATAGAGTACCTGTGCTCCTCCCTGTGTGTATGAAGAGCTTGTTTTCGTCCTGTCAGAGCAGAATCGTCTCCCGTCGTCTCCCATCGTCTCCTGCCGCTCTCTCCCCCTCTCCGCCCGGTCCCTCTAACCCGCCTGGAGGTCCTATAATCTTTTTACAATGTGTTGAAACAAAGCAATAAATCTGTTAGCTTACAATCTAATTTCCCTGGCCTTTTGCAGAAATCCTCATAAACTTTTGGCGCCCCCATTAACGGCCATATTGAATCAGAGCTCTTAATCTGCTTCCAGGTGAAGGGTCACAAAATGGATGGCGGGCAGATCCATCACGCCGACGGGAGCAGAGAAAACCCGGGCTGGCGGTAAAGGTCACGGTCTTCTCGCTCATAGGTCAATAGCTGCCAAAAGAGTCAGTCAGCCAGTCTCCCCTCAGCTCCACGACCCCATCTGCATTTAATATGGACATCCAATTAATGTGAGGCTGTCTGTCCCCGAGAGTTATGGGCCATCAGGTGCACTCTGATGGGGGCGGAGGGGGGAGGGAGGGAGAGAGAGGGGTGAGGCGGAGAGGGAGAGAGGGTGAGGGAGAGAGAGGAGGGTGCGTGGGTGGATCGGGGGGAAAAAGTCACAAGACGTTCAACTGTTTGGGATTTAACTTTGGCTAAAACTTAGGCTTTTGCTTTCTCTGGTCTCGCTCTGGTCTCTCTCTGGTCTCGCTCTGGTCTCTCTCTGGTCTCTCTCTCTGGTCTCGCTCTGGTCTCGCTCTGGTCTCTCTCTGGTCTCGCTCTGGTCTCTCTCTGGTCTCTCTCTGGTCTCTCTCTGGTCTCTCTCTGGTCTCTCTCTGGACCCTCTTTGGTCTCTCTCTGGTCTCTCTCTCTCTCTCTGGTCTCTCTCTCTCTGGTCTCTCTCTGGTGTGTCTCTCTCTCTCTGGTCTTCCACTTTAAAAAGTTGTCGATTCTTCAACAACACATCAAACAGTTCAAACACAGGAAATAAGATCAAATAAAGTTAATTGATCTCTGATGGACAAATGTACATTTGTCACCGACAGAATCAGATTTGTGCAAAAACAGAAGTGTGCAACATGTTAGAGCTGCTGAGACTCTGAGGAGCACAGGGACTGACCTCCTGCTGGGACTCTGAGGAGCACAGGGACTGACCTCCTGCTGAGACTCTGAGGAGCACAGGGACTGACCTCCTGCTGAGACTCTGAGGAGCACAGGGACTGACCTCCTGCTGAGACTCTGAGGAGCACAGGGACTGACCTCCTGCTGAGACTCTGAGGAGCACAGGGACTGACCTCCTGCTGAGACTCTGAGGAGCACAGGGACTGACCTCCTGCGGGGACTCTGAGGAGCACAGGGACTGACCTCCTGCGGGGACTCTGAGGAGCACAGGGACTGACCTCCTGCGGGGACTCTGAGGAGCACAGGGACTGACCTCCTGCTGAGACTCTGAGGAGCACAGGGACTGACCTCCTGCGGGGACTCTGAGGAGCACAGGGACTGACCTCCTGCTGAGACTCTGAGGAGCACAGGGACTGACCTCCTGCTGGGACTCTGAGGAGCACAGGGACTGACCTCCTGCGGGGACTCTGAGGAGCACAGGGACTGGCCTACTGCGGGGACTCTGAGGAGCACAGGGACTGACCTCCTGCGGGGACTCTGAGGAGCACAGGGACTGACCTCCTGCGGGGACTCTGAGGAGCACAGGGACTGGCCTCCTGCTGGGACTCTGAGGAGCACAGGGACTGGCCTCCTGCTGGGACTCTGAGGAGCACAGGGACTGGCCTCCTGCTGGGACTCTGAGGAGCACAGGGACTGACCTCCTGCTGGGACTCTGAGGAGCACAGGGACTGGCCTACTGCTGGGACTCTGAGGAGCACAGGGACTGGCCTCCTGCTGGGACTCTGAGGAGCACAGGGACTGGCCTACTGCTGGGACTCTGAGGAGCACAGGGACTGGCCTCCTGCTGGGACTCTGAGGAGCACAGGGACTGACCTCCTGCTGGGACTCTGAGGAGCACAGGGACTGGCCTACTGCTGGGACTCTGAGGAGCACAGGGACTGGCCTCCTGCTGAGACTCTGAGGAGCACAGGGACTGGCCTCCTGCTGGGACTCTGAGGAGCACAGGGACTGGCCTCCTGCTGGGACTCTGAGGAGCACAGGGACTGGCCTCCTGCTGGGACTCTGAGGAGCACAGGGACTGGCCTCCTGCTGGGACTCTGAGGAGCACAGGGACTGGCCTCCTGCTGGGACTTTTAAACAGGGGAGGCAGCGTTTTAGATTTACGCAGCTAAAATCTTAAACCGTCTTCCTGAAAATGTGAGACAGGCTTCTTCTCTGATAATGTTCAAATCCAGGTTATAAACTGTATTGAAGGATTTTATCTTTACTCTTTTCAATGTCCTGTGATTATTAACGACTTGTGTAATTTCTTTTATCTTGTGTCATTAAGCACTTTACGTCTGAAATGTGCTAACAAATTAAACTTGCCTTTACATGAGAAACATAATTCAATCCAACCTAATGTTCTCTCACAACAAAAAACAGTTTGAATCATTTTTCATGTTCTGCTCGAACTCATTCTGTAAAATCAGGTTTACAGATATTCACTTTCGACGGTTACCGCAGCCGCACCGGGAGCTAGCAGCTAAAGCTAGCAGCTAAACCAGTAGCATTCTGAGATGTGTGACGCAGAGGACCTAGATTTACAAATATTGAAATACATTCACCGGGAAAAGACGATTTTTCTCTGATGCGAGGCAAGTAATAAGCAGAAAATATAGGAAAAAGCAGACAGACAGAGGCAGAGCTTGGCAGTAGGCAAATTAGAAGTAATTGATTGGTTTTTGGGGCAGGAACGGCAGCGTGTGATTGGCCGCTGGGAGGGAGGCAGATTAAGCACCTGAACTGTGAGAAGGGTGCAAACAGTATTACACCGGGACAGGGATATTAAACCTGGCTGGGTCCAACTTATTGTAGCAGCAGTAGGGATTTGTCATTGTACCTCATTATCCAATTAACAGCCAGAGCCGGCGGGGGAAGGGAGAGGCGCCGGCCGGACCTCCGCGTCCACGCCACGCTGCTAATATATGACCACAACTAATAGGAAATGTGGCAGGGAAACTTTTAGCCTCGCTGCCAGCTGCGGAGACGTGCTTGGAATTCATAGATTTGGTCTCACGGACTCGGAAAGATTGTAATTATTTGTGATTTGGTTTGAGCGGTTTGATGGGATTCTAATGTGGTATATTCAACTCAATGTGTTTGTGTGGATAGACTAAAATCAGAGAGAGACCAGAGAGAGAGAGAGACCAGAGAGAGAGAGACCAGAGAGAGAGACCAGAGAGAGAGACACCAGAGAGAGAGAGAGACAAGACAAAGACACCAGAGAGAGAGACCAGAGAGAGAGAGACCAGACAAAGACACCAGAGAGAGAGAGACCAGAGAGAGCGAGACCAGAGAGAGAGAGACCAGAGAGAGAGAGAGAGAGACAAGACAAAGACACCAGAGAGAGAGACCAGAGAGAGAGAGACCAGAGAGAGAGAGAGACCAGAGAGAGAGAGACCAGAGAGAGAGACCAGAGAGAGAGACACCAGAGAGAGAGAGAGAGAGACAAGACAAAGACACCAGAGAGAGAGACCAGAGAGAGAGAGACCAGACAAAGACACCAGAGAGAGAGAGACCAGAGAGAGAGAGAGAGAGACAAGACAAAGACACCAGAGAGAGAGACCAGAGAGAGAGAGACCAGACAAAGACACCAGAGAGAGAGAGACCAGAGAGAGACCAGACAAAGACACCAGAAAGAGAGAGAGACCAGAGAGAGACCAGACAAAGACACCAGAGAGAGACCAGAGAGAGACCAGAGGAGACCAGAGTGAGACCACTCTATTCTGACAAATACAGATATACAAATATTTCTAAATCAATCAATCAATTTTTATAGTATATGTATAGAGTAAGTTACCAGACCAGTTAGAGAGAGAGACCAGAGAGAGATCAGAGAGAGAGAGACCAGAGGGAGACCAGCAAGAGCTCAGAGAGAGACCAGAGAGAGAGAAAAGAGAGGGAGCAGAGAGGCTGGATTGTTCCTGCACTTGTTCAGAACGACCCACTTCCACTCGCTCCATTCGTATTCCCCTCTGCGGCTTCTCACGCATCGCTCTCCGCTGGATGTCCTGAACCTTTAGGAAGACGAACGGCAATGAATGAAAAGAAAACAAACTAATAAAAGCACATATCAAAACACGAGTCGCTCTGCAATCCCCCCAGATCTGGAACAACTGCCTCTAAATGAAAGAAATGTGCCTTTGATTAAATCCTAATATCGGTGCCGAGTCTCTGTGGTTCTGTCTCGGCCCACGTCCCCGGTCTCTTCCTCTGAAAGGAAAGGAGGAGAGTTATTGCCGGATACATGAGGTATTTGAACGGAGAGCCCTCTAAATCCGGATGTCAGATGTTTTTTTTTATTAAAACTCTCAAACACTTGCAAAAAAAAAACAGGGCAAGAACAGATGGGAGGCAAGAGAGAGAGGGAAGAGAGAGAGGAAAGAGAGAGAGGAAAGAGAGAGAGACCAGAGAGAGAGGGAAGAGAGAGAGACCAGAGAGAGAAAGAGAGAGGTAAGAGAGAGAGGCAAGAGAGAGAGACCAGAGAGAGAGGGAAGAGAGAGGCAAGAGAGAGAGAGAAGAGAGAGAGGGAAGAGGGAGAGACCAGAGAGAGAAAGAGAGAGGCAAGAGAGAGAGGCAAGAGAGAGAGACCAGAGAGAGAGGGAAGAGAGAGAGACCAGAGAGAGAAAGAGAGAGGGAAGAGAGAGAGACTGAAGAGAGAGAGGGAAGAGAGAGGGAAGTGAGAGAGGCAAGAAAGAGAGGGAAGAGAGAGAAAGAGAGAGGTAAGAGAGAGAGGGAAGAGAGAGAGGGAAGAGAGAGAGGCAAGAAAGAGAGGCAAGAAAGAGAGGGAAGAGAGAGAGACCAGAGAGAGAAAGAGAGAGGGAAGAGAGAGAGGGAAGAAAGAGAGGCAAGAAAGAGAGGGAAGAGAGAGAGGGAAGAGAGAGAGGGAAGAGAGAGAGGCAAGAAAGAGAGGGAAGAGAGAGAGGGAAGAGAGAGAGAGGCAAGAAAGAGAGGGAAGAGAGAGAGGGAAGAGAGAGAGGCAAGAAAGAGAGGGAAGAGAGAGAGGGAAGAGAGAGAGGGAAGAGGGAGACTGAAGAGAGAGAGAAGGAAGAGAGAGAGACCAGAGAGAGGGAAGAGGGAGACTGAAGAGAGAGAGGCAAGAGAGAGAAAGAGAGAGGGAAGAGAGAGAGGTAAGAGAGAGAGACCAGAGAGAGGGAAGTGAGAGTCTCTTTCTCTGGTCTCTCTCTCGGGTCTCTAGTCTCACACTTATAATATCAACTCTGTTTAATAAATACACAAATAATGATACAAAATTAGAATATATCTTCACATCAGAAACACGGCTGTGGAGGACACGGCTGTGGACACGGCTGTGGAGGACACGGCTGTGGACACGGCTGTGGACACATCTGACGCAAAGGTTAACTTAACTTAGTCTTAACTTCTTCCCACTCCTTTTCGAGCTGACTTTTTGTTATTTATTATTTATTTATTGTTTATTTGTTTGTATTATTTTTTTTCTATTCAGTTGTTTTGTTGTTGTTCCTTGTTCTTGTCGGACATGGCTCGAAATAAAAAGTATTCATTCACTCAGTGCATCTGTCCATGAACCAGGAAATGTTTAAAACAGAAACTAAAAGTTCAAGAGAAACAAGACTCACACAAAGACAGAGGAATCCAACTACAGACTCTTCTGCTTCTCTGACCTCTGAGTAAAGGTGAGTCTGTGTGTGTGTGAGTCTGTGTGTATGTGTGTGTGATGGTGAGTCTGTGTGTGTGATGGTGAGTCTGTGTGTGTCTGTGTGTGTAATGGTGAGTCTGTGTGTATGTGTGTGTATGTGTGAGTCTGTGTGTATGTGTGTGTGATGGTGAGTCTGTGTGTGTGATGGTGAGTCTGTGTGTGTATGTGTGTGTATGTGTGAGTCTGTGTGTATGTGTGAGTCTGTGTGTATGTGTGTGTAATGGTGAGTCTCTGTGTGATGAGGACAGGGGGAGTCATGGTCTGTCTTCTGTCACAGCAGGAGGCAGAGAGAGTTTGAGGTTAAAACATTTTGTGTGGTCACATGTGTACTGATTTGCGCTGCAACATTGAAATTTCCCCACTGTGGGACAAACGTTAAACACACATTCTTACATGCGGCAATAAACATAAACAGGAGCCCTCTGCACACTCTCTTTATACACACTTTTAATTCTGGGACTTGGTCGTCTTCCAAGACACAAAGTCCAGGTACATTCTCAGCACCGCGCCTCATTTTATTTCCTGATCATAAACTGAAAATCTGGTTCAACCAGTTCTCCAGAATGCTGTTCAATTGTGACATTGCAGCTCAACAACAGCTACGACTGCAGCCTGTGACTGCAGCCTGTGGCATGCGTCGACAGCCTACGACTGCGGCCTGCGTCTGCAGCCTACGACTGCGGCCTGCGTCTGCAGCCTACGACTGCGGCCTGCGTCTGCAGCCTACGACTGCGGCCTGCGTCTGCAGCCTGTGGCATGCGTCGGCAGCCTACGACTGCGGCCTGCAACTGCAGCCTGTGGCATGCGTCGGCAGCCTACGACTGCGGCCTGCAACTGCAGCCTGTGGCATGCGTCGGCAGCCTACGACTGCGGCCTGCTGCCTACTACTGCGGCCCAAGTCTGCAACCTGCGACTGCGGCCTGCGACTGCAGCCTGTGGCATGCGTCTGCAGTCTGCGGCCTGCGACTGCAGCCTGTGGCATGCGTCTGCAGTCTGCGGCCTGCGACTGCAGCCTGTGACTGCAGCCTGTGGCATGCGTCGGCAGCCTACGACTGCGGCCTGCTGCCTACTACTGCGGCCCAAGTCTGCAACCTGCGACTGCGGCCTGCGACTGCAGCCTGTGGCATGCGTCTGCAGTCTGCGGCCTGCGGTCTGCAACTGCAGCCTGTGGCATGCGTCTGCAGTCCCACGTCTGCGACTGCGGTCTGCGACTGCGGTCTGCGACTGCGGTCTGCGACTGCGGCCTACGTCTGCATCTACGACTGCGGCCTACGACTGCTATCCCTTGGAGAAACTCACTAATTTCCTGTTTCCTAGTTTGCCCTTTTGTAACACACAGAAACAAACAAACTCAAAGCTAATTTCAAGCACACTTACAATTCCACCAGATTCTTTTAAGTGCCGCCACAAGAGACATCATGAAACTCTGATATAGTTACGACCTTAACATTGCTTAAAACCACTTTAAACATCTAAAGAATAGTTTGTCTCTGGATTGTCAACTTTGCACGTGGACTGTTGACCCCCAAAGCAGAGGGACGCCAAAGCATTTGAAAGAGTCTTTAATCAAACAAAAATGCTCAAAAAAGGATGGCAAAGCACTACCGGTATGAGAGAATGATCTGGCAGAGGAGTCAGATTCAGATTCAGATTCATTTATTTGCCATTTGCAGTAAAACCACATAGGAAAAACTCTGCAAGACTACCCCAGTGCGCACCAGAATATGGGTGTGAGAGGAATAGTCTTCACACACACCAGAGATTGGCCACGCCCCCAGCAGAGATCGGCCACGCCCCCCAGCAGAGATCGGCCACGCCCCCCAGCAGAGATTGGCCACGCCCCCCAGCAGAGATCGGCCACGCCCCCCAGCAGAGATTGGCCACGCCGCCTGTTTTTCACATGCTCTGGAAAGAAAACACGATGGGAGGGAGAGAGCAAAACAAACAGGAACATGACATGGACTTGTGCAACTTAGTGTTTCGTGGAAAACACATCAAAAATAAAACATTTCTAAAAAAAAACATAAATCAGAAATATTGCAGTAAAAGGTCATCAGTGATTGGTCCAATTGAACTGTTGCCATGACGACTGTTTGTTTGAAGTACAGACAGACTCACAGCAAGAAGGTGTAGGTTCTTTCTCTGTGCTGGAGCCTCTCTGTGCTGGAGCCTCTCTGTGCTGGAGCCTCTCTGTGCTGGAGCCTCTGTGTGCTGGAGCCTCTCTGTGCTGGAGCCTCTCTGTGCTGGAGCCTCTCTGTGCTGGAGCCTCTCTGTGCTGGAGCCTCTGTGTGCTGGAGCCTCTCTGTGCTGGAGCCTCTCTGTGCTGGAGCCTCTCTGTGCTGGAGCCTCTCTGTGCTGGAGCCTCTGTGTGCTGGAGCCTCTCTGTGCTGGAGCCTCTCTGTGCTGGAGCCTCTCTGTGCTGGAGCCTCTCTGTGCTGGAGCCTCTGTGTGCTGGAGCCTCTGTGTGCTGGAGCCTCTCTGTGCTGGAGCCTCTGTGTGCTGGAGCCTCTGTGTGCTGGAGCCTCTCTGTGCTGGAGCCTCTCTGTGCTGGAGCCTCTCTGTGCTGGAGCCTCTGTGTGCTGGAGCCTCTCTATGCTGGAGCCTCTCTGTGTTGGAGCCTCTCTGTGCTGGAGCCTCTGTGTGCTGGAGCCTCTCTGTGTTGGAGCCTCTCTGTGTTGGAGCCTCTCTGTGCTGGAGCCTCTGTGTGCTGGAGCCTCTCTGTGTTGGAGCCTCTCTGTGCTGGAGCCTCTGTGTGCTGGAGCCTCTCTGTGCTGACCACGAGTCTAAACATGTGGAGATGGGTCCAGGCCTGGACATGTTTCCCGAGGCACTAGGGCCCGGTCAAATGCAAGGGACACAAAGGCAGATCTGTGTATGCGACAGAAGAAGGAAATATGTAAATAAGCAAACAAGACGCTTTAGCTTCAACAGATTGCTGTAAATCTGTCAGGGTTCCCCTGCTCTGGACGCAGCAGAGAGGCTGCAGCACCACGGCCCGTTTCGTCCTGCAGATTCTTTAGTTCAACAAGAGACAATACCAATGTTAGAATAGTAATATAAATGACAGACACCAAACCTGATTTTAGATGTTATATTGAAGATTTGCAAGCAATGTTACAAGTGTAACGGTCTGAGAACAAGCCTCGCTTTGCGTTGTAGATAAGAAGTGGCCTCGGGGACGTCTCTCTGCTCTCCTGGTCAGACGAAGCCCCCGCGATCACTCCTGTACATCATACATACTGTACATCACAGATTCGTGGACTCTATGACTTCTTCTGGCCAGCTGCCAAAACCTGCACCTGTTGATAACAGTTTCTTGTTTTTCTCACTTTTCATACAGAAATGCTACTTATTAATTCCTACTATTCAGAAATAATAACCGTGACCTAACTGCACTTTAAAAGAGTTAATTTTGACAAACAAGTACTTTTTAGACCTAAACATTCTGGAGTTTTAGAAGTATTTATTAATATAGCAACAGAAACAATACTAAAATGATTTTGTTTAACTGGTGCAGGAGGCCTCTGTTATTCCAACAAGATGCTGTTGTTTTCACCAAATAATAATAAGTATAATAATAATACATCATACTTATATAGCGCTTTTTTGGACACTCAAAGATGCGTTACAGAAGAAAAATAAGAAACAAAAATAAAAGCTAAAAATAAACAGTTAAGTGTGGGCAGTTTTGAACAGGTTCGGTGTTTAGTTCTGATGGGAGTGAGGGGTCGGTGTCAGTGGATCTGAGGCGGCGGGTGGGACAGTGCTGATGGAGGAGGTCAGTGAGGTATGAAGGGGCAGGTTATGGAGGGACAGTGATGGGCAAGCTACTTGATTTGTGTAGTGAGCTAAGCTACAAGCTACTCTACAATAAATTCAGCTTCACTGCACAGAAGCTACCACCCATACAAATGTAGCAAGCTAAGTTACAAAATTCTGTCAAAAGTAACTTGCTATATAGAAGCTATTTTCAATTAAAGTTCATGCAATTTTATATTTTCCTGCATTAACATGTTTGCTCATTTCTTATTTTTTGCACAATTCTTGAGTGTTTTATCCATGCCAAATGTGACATGTAAATTTCTCCTGTGTGAGATTAATAAAGCTTATCTTCTTATTTGAGATAAACTGTCAGTCAGATAAAGGTTAAAATTTTTTAGATATTTGGCCCAAAACACCAAAAACAACAAAGAGTAGGCATCTGAAAACATATTTCTTTTCGCTCATCTCGACTAGAGTGACGTACTTTTGGAGGTATGGCCACGGTACAACACTTATCAGAGTCCTTATCATGGTCCTCCTCCACCGCGGCGGCTCCTGGGCTCTCTGCCATGCTTTTGCTTCCCCCAGTAGCGCGCGCGCATGTGTGTGCGTGTGCGTGTGCGTGTGTGTGTGCGCGTACGTTCGTGTGTGTGTGTTGTTACCAAGCCCTGCGCATGCGCATCAGCATTCTGTCTTTCTATGTTTGTTTTATGCTGCGGGAAAATGCTGTAATATATGAACATCAGAGATGTCCGTGAGAAAATAGCTTTGGCGGACGCTACCGCGCTACTTGAGCAATAATATAGCTTAGCTACAGAAAAGTTACTAGGTTTTGTAAATAGTGACGCTACTGTCAAGCTACTGAAAAATGTAGTTAAGCTAGTAGCGACGCTACTTGTAGCGACGCTACTGCCCATCACTGTGGAGGGACTTGTAAGTGAGGAGGAGGACCTTGTATTTTATGCGGTAAGTAAGTAAGTAATCTTTATTTATATACCGCCTTTCACAGACCAGAGTCACAAAGCGGTTTACAATTGTTATTTTTTGGGCATTTGTCTCTCTCTCCACACAGAGATGGGTAAGGAACAGGAAGCCAGTGGAGTCGTTTGAGGACAGGGGTGATGTGGTTTCTGGTGCGGGTGTGGGTGAGGAGGCGGGCAGTGTGAGCGAAAATCACATTGAAATGTTTCGAATCTGATTCCAACATGAAGAAAGGTTCTCTTATCTTTTCTAGACCAAATGTGTTTATCTGTCTCTTGTTGCAGCGATGGCGGCGGTGAACTCTTCTCTCGGTGAGGACCAGTTCCTCTGCTCCATCTGTCTGGAGGTCTCCACTGATCCAGTCACTGCACTGTGTGGACATAGCTTCTGCAGCATCTGCATCAAGAAACACTGGGACAACAGCGACCACTGCAGATGTCCCGTCTGTATGCAGGACTTCAGCCCAAGACCACTGATGAAAGTCAATATTGTTTTATCAAAGATGCTTTCTTACTTCAGGAGAAAGCCTCAAGATGAAGACACAGAGATAGAGGCTCTGCCCACTGATCCAGGAGTGGACCGTGACCCGTCCACTGCTCCAGGAGAGGTGGACTGTGACCTGTGTCCAGAGCCCAGGCTCAGAGCCCTGAAGTCCTGCCTGCTGTGTCTGCTGTCGTACTGTGAGAGCCACCTGCAGCCACACCTCACAAACCCCCGTCTGAAGAGGCACCACCTGATCCACCCTCTGCCCAACCTGGAGGAGCACATCTGCCCGGAGCACCAGCGGCCCTTGGACCTCTTCTGTAGGGACCACTCCCACTTCATGTGCATGCAGTGCAGTTATACAGATGATACAAAGCATGATACTGTCTTATTGAAGGAGCAGGGAGAGGAGCAGCAGGCCACACTGAAGAAACAGATCAAAGACGTGAGAAGGTCCAGGAGATCCAGCGCTCAGTGGAGCAGAGTCAGAGAAAGGCAGACGCAGAAATACAAGAAGGTCTCAGAGTGTTCACCGCTGTGATGGAGTGTGTTCAACAAAGTGCAGACAGCTTCAAACAGAGCATTGTAGAAAAACACCAGGAGGTTGAGGTGGAGGCCTCTCGGCTAATAAGGCACCTCCAGATAGAGATCTGTAAACTGGAGGAGAGAGGAGCTGAGATGGAGCAGCTCTGGAGCTCTGGAGACCACCTGGCCTTTGTCCAAACCTTCACTACAGTCAAACCTGCTCCAGGGCTCTTAGACTGGAGTGAGAAGACTGTCAGGATCCCGTCGTACAAGGGGACAGGGACCCAAGCTGTGTCTGAGCTGAGGAGCCAACTGAACACAGGGATGGAGACGTTCTTTAAAGGAGAGTTAGAGGAACTTCAAGAGTTTGCAGTTGAGGTGTCTCTAGATCCAGACAGAGCACATCCAGACTTAGTTCTGTCTGAAGATCTCAAACAAGTTTGTCGTGGCCAAACACAGAACGTCCCCAACCACACTTTTCATCTGTGTTTTTTAGGGGAACAGAAGTTCTCATCAGGAAAGTTTTATTTTGAGGTTCAGGTCAAAGGAAAGACAGAATGGAGAGTAGGAGTGGCCAAAGAGTCAGTGGACATAGAATATTTTGAGTCTCGAAGCGTACAGAACGGATACTGGACACTCTACATGTTCAATGATCATTATTACGAAACATCAGACGTTCCTCCTGTCGCTCTCTCTCTGCAGTCCTGTCCAGAGAAGGTGGGAGTGTTTGTGGATTACGATGAAGGTCTGGTCTCCTTCTATGATGTGGATGAAAAGTCTCTTATTTACTCTTTCACCGACTGTTGCTTTGACGACAACATTCTGCCGCTGTTACATCCACGCAGTGATGACACGGTTCCTCTGGTTCTGACGCCTGTTGGAAGTTCTACAGCGTAAAGTTTATCTATGAACCCGTCTGCATCGGCGCCGATGCATGCGCACATGTTTTACAAATGATCAATTTACTCGCGAACGGTAAAACGTAGCAACTTACTTTTTTTTCCTCTGTGAAGTACGTATTCAGGGCTTTCCGCTTTGATTTGTCTGTGCGATGCATGGAGGATAAACTACGTTTGTCTGAAAGTCCGTGTCCAAAGCGTGACCCGTGAGGTACAAACAGCTGTGAGATACAAACACACGGGGACTGCCAAAGATCGTCAGAGAGTGAGATCTCTCACTCCTCTGCGTTTCCTTGTTCTCCCACAGTTGCAACTACAGCTGCGATTGCAATAACCGGCTGAAGAGTGCGCATTATTGATAAAGACGATAATAAATACAGTAAAATGACATTATGTGTATATGATGTATATAAATATATGTATTATATAAATAATTGATGTTGGTTTTTTTTTTGGCTCAGTTTCTTACAGTATGTTTTACGTTTTTTACAGCTGTGCTACAGAAGCATTATAGACAAACTGCTTCAGGAAGGGCATCAGGAGTACAGAGTTTTTTGCTTTAATAGTGGAATTTTGTAAAAAGTATAATAGTTAGAGATTAAATTTTTTTGCCCATTATCCCCAAGACCATAAATAACATTTCTATGCAGTGTAAAAATTTGTTTATAGCATTTCATTGTGTTTTTTCAATACATTTTTGTTAAATTGATTTTCCGTTTGATTTGTTTCTTTTTCTTCATGATTCCATAATTTTTATATAATTCATATGACAGCTTTACAATATGAATATTCTAAAACCCCAGGTTGTACTGAAAAAAACAAAGTATACTGCTTGACTCTTATGAACAATTATACACAAAGAAAACCAGGCGAGGAAAGTTCCCCAAAATGACCCATGTGCATAGAGGGTTAATGACACAGGGAGGTCCTTATTGTGCTAAAGCTAGAGATTTTATTTTATTTTAGTATCTTAAACCTGTTGCCGATGTGGATGTTTAAATATTATTGCTTGCTAATCAGTATATACAACTGTTCCAAGAGAAATCTCTAGAACACTCAAGTACGGTTGCATGTTAACCCGTGTCTTCATGTGAACGTGTCTTCATGTTAACGTGTCTTCTTCATGTGAACGTGTCTTTCATGTGAACGTAGGTCTCGTTCAATGTGACGGGTCTTCTGTTAACGTGTCTTCGATGTTAACTGACACGTTAACGTGTGGCTTCAGTGTTAGACGACACGTTAACGTGTCGTTCGATGGTTAACGTGTCTTCATGTTAACGCGTCATTCTATGTAACGGAGTCTTCAGGAGGTGAACGTGTCTTCATGTGAACGTGTCTTCATGTTAGACGGGGTCTTCATGTTAACCGGGTCGGCTTGTGAACGACACGTTAACACGTTCTTCAAGGGGAACTGCGATCGTGCATGTGAACGCGTCGTCATGTGAACGAGTCGGATTCGTATGTGAACGCTCACGTGCTGCTATCATGTTATACTGCGTCTTCATGTTAACGTCGTCTTCATTAGTTAACGCGTCTTCATTGTGAATCGCGTCTTCATGTTAACAGCGCGTCTTCTTTGTTAACGCGTCTATCTGCGTCGTTCAACGGTCGTCATATCTTGTTAAGCGCGTTCTTGGGCAGTGGATCTTGACTAGCGTCTACAATCATGTTAACAGACTGAACAGTGTAATAGGACCGTGCTCTCATGGCAGACGAGCTCTTCATGGTAACGCGGTCTTCAAGAGGCTTAGAACGGCGGCGTATCGTGAGTCCATGCGGGGCTATGTCTTCAGTCAACGCATCTAATCATGTTACGAGCGCGGCGGCGTGTACACGCTTTGGTCGGCTCCAGCTTAACGCTGGCTACAGGGAAACGTCGTCCTATCCGGAGATTAGAAACGGGAGGCGTCTTCAGTGAACGTTTCCTTCATGTAACTCATATATATATCGTCACAGCGGGGCGGAGCGACGTGGGTGGGGGACGAGGCGTTGGTGTAGCGGACGAGCGGTTTAACCTTCATTGGCATTTAAACCACACACGGTGTCACATATATTATACTCTCTCAACTACTCTACTATATACTCTCTGGGGGGGGGGGGGGGTGGTTGTGTGCGATGGGGGTCGAGGGTGGGGGGGGGAGTTTGGGGGTGGTGGTAAGCGTGGTGAGTGAGGAGGTGTGGTAGAGCGGGGAGGGGGGTGGGGGTGGGGGGGGGGCAGCTCATGTTAACGGTGTGTCCTTCATGTTACAGAACGGTGGCGAGAAGGGTTAATATCTCTAAGGAGGATGAGGGAGGGGGGGGGGGGGGGGGGGAGGGCGGGGGGGGAGGGGGCGTGCATGGGGGTAACGGCATATTACAGGGTGAACGGAGTAGGTTGTAAGTGGGTTGTTAGGGGGGGGGGAGTGGAGTATGTGGTTAAGAGGGGGGGAAGGATGGGTTGGAGGGAGGGTTGAGTTATTGTGTTGAAGGGGAGGAAGTAATGGGGGGGTTAGGGGGAAAGGATTGGGTTGAGGGGTTGTGCGATTGGGTTAGGGGAAGGATGGGGTTAAAGAAAGGATGGTTTAGGGGAGGATGGGGTTAGTGGGGGGAGAAGGGTAAGGAGGAGGATGGGTGTGGAGGGAGGTATGGGATTGTGTGAGAGCGGTGTTAGCGGGGTGAATGATTTCGTATATAGATGATTGGTGTGTATGGAGTGGGATGAGATGGGTTGAGTGTGTGTGAGAGTGTAGTGGTAGAGAGTATCATATTATGGGGTGTGTAAGATTAGGTATAGGGTTAGGGGGGGGGGGGGGGGGGGGGGGGGGGGGGGTGGAGGTCGTGTTTAATGTGCGAGATGATAGGGGAGGATGGGGTAAGGTGAGGGTGGCGTTCGGAGAGGATGGGGTTAGGGAGGATGGGGTTTCTTCTTGTTAAGGGGGTGCATTCATGTTAACGTGTCTTTTAGGGATGATTTAAGCATGTTAACGAGGATAACGTTCTTTCATGTTAACGTGTCTTCATGTTAACGCGTCTTCATGTTAACGTGTCTTCATGTTAACGTGTCTTCATGTTAACGCATCTTCATGTTAACGTGTCTTCATGTTAACGGTGTCTTCATGTTAACGCATCTCTTCATGTTAACGCGTCTTCATGTTAACGTGTCTTCATGTTAACGTTGTCTTCATGTTAACGTGTCTTCATGTTAACGTGTCTTCATGTGAACGTGTCTTCATGTTAACGTGTCTTCATGTGAACGTGTCTTCATGTTAACGTGTCTTCATGTTAACGTGTCTTCATGTTAACGTGTCTTCATGTTAACGTGTCTTCATGTTAACGTGTCTTCATGTGAACGTGTCTTCATGTTAACGTGTCTTCATGTTAACGCGTCTTCATGTTAACGCGTCTTCATGTTAACGCGTCTTCATGTTAACGTGTCTTCATGTTAACGCGTCTTCATGTTAACGTGTCTTCATGTTAACGTGTCTTCATGTGAACGTGTCTTCATGTTAACGTGTCTTCATGTTAACGCGTCTTCATGTTAACGCGTCTTCATGTTAACGTGTCTTCATGTTAACGTGTCTTCATGTTAACGCGTCTTCATGTTAACGTGTCTTCATGTGAACGTGTCTTCATGTTAATGTGTCTTCATGTTAACGCGTCTTCATGTTAACGTGTCTTCATGGTCGTGGCCTGTGTGTTGTTGTTTGGTCATGGACAGGTCATGTGATCATCTCACAGTTCCTTCATCATGCTAAGGTTGGAGAGATTTTATATTTGTTTCCTTTTTAAGCTAAGATAGAGATGTTATGCTTCCTTCATCATTATGCTTAAGTTAGAGAGATTATTGGGTTTTTTAGTATACAGTTATAGTTCATTTATCTTGTCCTGTGCTCGTCGTTCCTACTGTTGTGTAACTGCTGATGCAACACTGACATTTCCCCGCTGTGGGACTAAACCAGGATCTCTTCATGTTTATCTTATACCAGATGATCCGAAGCTCAGACCTAAAGCTGTCAATAAAAGCTTCAAACAACACAGACGCTTCTTGTGTTTCATTGTCTCACGTCGGGAAAAAGATTCACATGGACTCAAACGTCAGCTTTGATTTCACTGAATTGGAAAAAGTAACATCCACAGAGAGAAGGAAATCATCGACAAATGTTCTATAAACGTTAGCTTTAAGTTAAAGGAGCTGCATTACAACCAGTGAGAAGGAGCAGTGTGTGTGTGTGTGTGTGTGTGTGTGTGTGTGTGTGTGTGTGTGTGTGTGTGTGTGTGTGTGTGTGTGTGTGTGTGTGTGTGTGTGCATTGTGAGCCTAGTATCGTGTTCTAAAGTCTCTTAATGCTTCCTGACATCTCACAGCTAAAGTATCACAGCTAGCAGAACGATCGCCTCTGGCTAGCGGGACCTGGACCGCCTGAGGCCTATCGCCACGGGCAACGCTCTCTCTCCCTCCCCGTGCCTCTCCCGCACGCCACCCTCTCTCTGTCACGGTCTTAAACGGCTAAACAGAGATCTCAGAGACAGAGACAAGACAAAGGAAATCAGGACCACAGATGAAAAAAACCAAAAGACACGGAATCTTCGTGTTAAGTCGACTCTCATTACTCCCCGGCTTCGGAAAGAGAGCTCGGATCTGCATTTGCGGCATCGCCATAGAGACGAGACGTTTGTTGTTGCTGAAATAATAACGCTCTATAAAGCCAGGCGCTAAATTATTCAAGCGCTAAAGGCTCAGAAGTTTGGGGTAAACGGAGGCGTCTTGTTGCCTCAGCTCCTGGTGCAGAAGCCGAGAGAGTGGTAATGATGGGAGGCTGCGGGGGTGAAGGGCCTGAGCGGAGAACGGGTCCAAACCGCTTTTGTCGGATGTGTTTTTTCACAGTCGACGCCAATAAAAAAAAAGTGTTGCTAAAGAACAGGCGATTACTGTCTGTCTGTGGTAGTTGTTTGTCTTAACACAGAGACTCCCAGAGCAGTCGTTTTGACGGGTCACATGCAAATCAATGGGATTCTGAAAAAAAAATAATAATAATGCATCATATACGGCACTTTTCTGGGCACTCAAAGACACTTCACATGTTATTATTCTTTCTCTCCAAACACAGTGGTGATAAACTACTTCTGTAGCCACAGCTGCCCTGGGGCACAATGACAGAAACAAGGCAACCAGTCTGTGCCATCGGCCCCTCCCACCACCACCAGCCACTCACACACACACACACACCAGACTACAGTGTGAGGGACCAGGGAAGAGGTTTCTCTTGCATTCTCTATTACAGCGCGATCTGAAGAAGGACCTTCAGAAGCAAACGCTAACTGGTCTCTCTCTGGTCTCTCTCTCTGGTCTCTCTCTGGTCTCTCTCTGGTGTCTCTCTGGTCTCTCTCTGGTGTCTCTCTCTGGTCTCTCTCTCTGGTCTCTCTCTCTGGTCTCTCTCTCTGGTCTCTCTCTCTGGTCTCTCTCTGGTCACTCTCTCTGGTCTCTCTCTGGTCTCTCTCTGGTCTCTCTCTGGTGTCTCTCTCTGGTCTCTCTCTCTGGTCTCTCTCTGGTCTCTCTCTGGTGTCTCTCTCTGGTCTCTCTCTGGTGTCTCTCTCTGGTCTCTCTCTCTGGTCTCTCTCTGGTCTCTCTCTGGTGTCTCTCTCTGGTCTCTCTCTCTGGTCTCTCTCTGGTCTCTCTCTCTGGTCTCTCTCTGGTCTCTCTCTCTGGTCTCTCTCTGGTCTCTCTCTCTGGTCTCTCTCTGGTGTCTCTCTCTGGTCTCTCTCTGGTGTCTCTCTCTGGTCTCTCTCTGGTGTCTCTCTCTGGTCTCTCTCTGGTCTCTCTCTGGTCTCTCTCTGGTCTCTCTCTCTGGTCTCTCTCTGGTCTCTCTCTGGTCTCTCTCTGGTCTCTCTCTCTGGTCTCTCTCTGGTCTCTCTCTGGTCTCTCTCTGGTCTCTCTCTGGTGTCTCTCTGGTCTCTCTCTGGTGTCTCTCTCTGGTCTCTCTCTGGTCTCTCTCTGGTCTCTCTCTCTGGTCTCTCTCTGGTCTCTCTCTGGTGTCTCTTTCTGGTCTCTCTCTGGTCTCTCTCTCTGGTCTCTCTCTGGTCTCTCTCTGGTCTCTCTCTGGTGTCTCTCTCTGGTCTCTCTCTGGTGTCTCTTTCTGGTCTCTCTCTGGTCTCTCTCTCTGGTCTCTCTCTGATATCTCTCTCTCTCTCTCTCTCTGGTCTCTCTCTAGACACTGACTGCTCAAATTATATTAGTTTTTTTTGCACAATACATAATAATCTCTTAGTTCTTTAGTGTTTCTCTCCCTGTATGTAGCACAGGGACCGAGCAGAGGGACCGAGCAGAGGGACCGAGCAGAGGGACCGAGCACAGGGACCGAGCAGAGGGACCGAGCACAGGGACCGAGCAGAGGGACCGAGCAGAGGGACCGAGCAGAGGGACCGAGCACAGGGACCGAGCTGAGGGACCGAGCAGAGGGACCGAGCTGAGGGACCGAGCAGAGGAACCGAGCTGAGGGACCGAGCAGAGGGACCGAGCTGAGGGACCGAGCAGAGGGACCGAGCTGAGGGACCGAGCAGAGGGACCGAGCAGAGGGACCGAGCAGAGGGACCGAGCAGAGGGACCGAGCACAGGGACCGAGCAGAGGGACCGAGCAGAGGGACCGAGCAGAGGGACCGAGCACAGGGACCGAGCTGAGGGACCGAGCAGAGGGACCGAGCTGAGGGACCGAGCAGAGGGACCGAGCTGAGGGACCGAGCTGAGGGACCGAGCTGAGGGACCGAGCAGAGGGACCGAGCTGAGGGACCGAGCAGAGGGACCGAGCTGAGGGACCGAGCTGAGGGACCGAGCTGAGGGACCGAGCAGAGGGACCGAGCAGAGGGACCGAGCAGAGGGACCGAGCAGAGGGACCGAGCAGAGGGACCGAGCAGAGGGACCGAGCTGAGGGACCGAGCAGAGGGACCGAGCAGAGGGACCGAGCAGAGGGACCGAGCAGAGGGACCGAGCAGAGGGACCGAGCACAGGGACCGAGCTGAGGGACCGAGCAGAGGGACCGAGCAGAGGGGCCGAGCTGAGGGACCGAGCTGAGGGACCGAGCAGAGGGACCGAGCTGAGGGACCGAGCAGAGGGACCGAGCTGAGGGACCGAGCTGAGGGACCGAGCAGAGGGACCGAGCAGAGGGACCGAGCAGAGGGACCGAGCACAGGGACCGAGCTGAGGGACCGAGCAGAGGGACCGAGCTGAGGGACCGAGCAGAGGGACCGAGCTGAGGGACCGAGCTGAGGGACCGAGCAGAGGGACCGAGCAGAGGGACCGAGCAGAGGGACCGAGCAGAGGGACCGAGCTGAGGGACCGAGCTGAGGGACCGAGCAGAGGGACCGAGCAGAGGGACCGAGCAGAGGGACCGAGCAGAGGGACCGAGCTGAGGGACCGAGCTGAGGGACCGAGCAGAGGGACCGAGCAGAGGGACCGAGCAGAGGGACCGAGCAGAGGGACCGAGCACAGGGACCGAGCTGAGGGACCGAGCAGAGGGGCCGAGCAGAGGGGCCGAGCTGAGGGGCCGAGCTGAGGGACCGAGCAGAGGGACCGAGCTGAGGGACCGAGCAGAGGGACCGAGCTGAGGGACCGAGCTGAGGGACCGAGCAGAGGGACCGAGCAGAGGGACCGAGCAGAGGGACCGAGCACAGGGACCGAGCTGAGGGACCGAGCAGAGGGACCGAGCAGAGGGACAAGAGCAGAGGGACCGAGCAGAGGGACCGAGCAGAGGGGCCGAGCAGAGGAACCGAGCACAGGGACCGAGCACAGGGACCGAGCAGTGGGACCGAGCAGAGGGACCGAGCAGAGGGACCGAGCAGAGGGACTGACGTGAGCGAGGGAGGGTGTGTGTACAGTAATGTGTAACAGTACGTAGCACTAGCATACGCAGCACTAGCATACGCAGCACTAGCATACGCAGCACTAGCATACGCAGCACTAGCATACGCAGCACTAGCATACGCAGCACTAGCATACGCAGCACTAGCATACGCAGCACTAGCATACGCAGCACTAGCATGAGTTGCTGATACCCTCTCCCCTCTCTCCCGCTCCGCCTCGCTCTCTGCTTTTGATCTGGATGAGTTTTTACAGTAAATCAGTGCTGGACCATTCTCTGCTCTATCCTCGGTTCCATATTCTGTCTCCTTCTGGAAAGAGGAGAAAAGCAGGCGAGCCAAAAGTTCAAAGCCGGAGAGAGAGATGAGCGCCACTCATAAGGATTCCCATTATTGCTCTGCTTCTGTCCCGGGAGTCGGACTCTGCTCGGAGCGACCAGGGCTGAGGCTGAAACATGTATTTACTTTTTTTTGTATTATTTTTTTTTTGTATTATTTTTTTTTATTATTATTAATTTTTTTGTATTATTTTGTTTTTTTGTATATTTTTTTTGTGTATTTTTTTTTTTTGTATTTTTTTTGTTTTGTTTTTGTTTTTGTTTTGTTTTTATTGGCGTATACAATATATTACAGCACAGACATTATAGACCCATTTGTACATTTAGACATGAACCTACATAAACATATAAGCATTTACATAGGGTCAGGAGGGGGGACAGGGGGGGGGGGGGGTTCAGCGTGCGCGAGCGTGTGTGTGTGTGTGTGTGTGCGTGTTCACTTTTGGTGTATTGAATAGGTATCTGAGGGTGTTGAAAATTGTCTTTTATTGACCGGTAGTGAGAGAGGGGAGAAAGAAAAGAGAGAGACTAGAAACATGTATTTACTTATGTCACAATGTACTGGATCCTGGCACCGATCACCGCCTGTTAATGATCACACCAGCACATGATGAGGCAAGGTTATTGGTATGGCACAGTTCATACACAAGGAAACTGAAAGTGCTGAACAAAACGAGATAGAGACAGTCACACAGAGAAATAAAATCAGAAATAATCACAGTGCATTAAACAGAGAAAAGTCAAATCCTTTAACCTGGATTTGAACATTGTCAGAGAAGAAGTCTGTCTCACATTTTCAGGAAGACTGTTTAAGATTTTAGCTGCATCTGAAAGGCCTCATGTTTAGTCCTGACTCTAGGGCCTCCTCAGAGTCCCAGCATGAGTCCAGTCCCTGTGCTCCTCAGTCCCAGAAGGAGGCCAGTCCCTGTGCTCCTCAGAGTCCCAGAAGGAGGCCAGTCCCTGTGCTCCTCAGAGTCCCAGCATGAGTCCAGTCCCTGTGCTCCTCAGAGTCCCAGAAGGAGGCCAGTCCCTGTGCTCCTCAGTCCCAGAAGGAGGCCAGTCCCTGTGCTCCTCAAGAGTCCCAGAGGTTGAGTTGGTTCATACGGCACTAAGAAAAGAAACAAGGGAAAAGTTTGTTGTAAGTTTTTTTATCTGCTGGGTCTCTTCACAGGGACCGGCCTCCTGCTGGGACTCTGAGGAGCACAGGGACTGGTCTCCTGCTGGGACTCTGAGGAGCACAGGGACTGGCCTCCTGCTGCGACTCTGAGGAGCACAGGGGCCGGCCTCCTGCTGGGACTCTGAGGAGCACAGGGACCGGCCTCCTGGGGACCGACCTCCTGCTGGGACTCTGAGGAGCACAGGGACCGGCCTCCTGGGGACCGACCTCCTGCTGGGACTCTGAGGAGCACAGGGACCGACCTCCTGCTGGTCCCAGAGTCAGGACTAAACATGGGGAGGTAGCGTTTCATATGCAGCTAAAATCTTAAACAGTTTTTCTGAAATGTTCAAATCCAGGTTAAAAACAGTTTAATCTTTATAATGTACTGTGATTATTTATGATTATATTTCCTTTTGTGACTGTTTCTATCTCGATCTGTTAACCACTTTGAGTTACCGTTTGAGTTAACCATACTATATATACCATACTATAAACTTGCCTTTTCAAGTTACAGTATAAATGAAACCAGTAAAGAAGGGATTGATGACGATTATGATCAAACATTAAAAAACAATTCTACTAAAATCACTGCATTCACAACCAAACTCTGCTGACTATACAAACACAAGCTTCCGTTCAGGGGAGAATTCCGGCCAAAACGGGAACGCCGCTGTTTTGATTGTGTTTTTGTCTGGTTCCCAGCGAGCTCCAGCGCGACACACAGCGAGACACTGGGGCCATGAATCATAACCATTATCATTAGGTTAAGCACCGGCAGAGCCCAAAGGCACGGCCGCAGCCAAATGAGCTGATTAGGATTATTGTCCCACAAATGAGAGTGATTAGTATTGATGTCTAAACGAGCACGGAGGTTAATATCGCCGTGGTTACTTGTTATTATTCCTGTTATTATCATTATTATTGTTGTTGTTATTGTTCAGCTCTGCCTCAGTCACTTTTGATTCCACCGACTGCAACATGTGTGTAGCTGTATCTAATAAACAACGATAATAAACATGTGTCGATGCAGCGGGACCAGGGGGGCCCGGAGGGGACAGGACACACACACACACACACACATATACACACACTGTACACACACACATATACACACACTGTACACGCACACACTGTACACACACACATATACACACACACACACACACATACACAGTCCTGGGTCTAAAGCCTCAGTCCTGGGTCTACAGCCTCAGTCCTGGGTCTACAGCCTCAGTCCTGGGTCTACAGCCTCAGTCATGGGTCTACAGCCTCAGTCCTGGGTCTACAGCCTCAGTCCTGGGTCTACAGCCTCAGTCCTGGGTCTACAGCCTCAGTCCTGGGTCTTCAGCCTCAGTCCTGGGTGTACAGCCTCAGTCCTGGGTCTACAGCCTCAGTCCTGGGTCTACAGCCTCAGTCCTGGATCTACAGCCTCAGTCCTGGGTCTACAGCCTCAGTCCTGGGTCTACAGCCTCAGTCATGGGTCTACAGCCTCAGTCCTGGGTCTACAGCCTCAGTCCTGGGTGTACAGCCTCAGTCCTGGGTCTACAGCCTCAGTCCTGGATCTACAGCCTCAGTCCTGGGTCTACAGCCTCAGTCCTGGGTCTACAGCCTCAGTCCTGGGTCTACAGCCTCAGTCCTGGGTCTTCAGCCTCAGTCCTGGGTGTACAGCCTCAGTCCTGGGTGTACAGCCTCAGTCCTGGGTCTACAGCCTCAGTCCTGGATCTACAGCCTCAGTCCTGGGTCTACAGCCTCAGTCCTGGGTCTACAGCCTCAGTCCTGGGTCTACAGCCTCAGTCCTGGGTCTTCAGCCTCAGTCCTGGGTGTACAGCCTCAGTCCTGTGTCTACAGCCTCAGTCCTGGGTCTACAGCCTCAGTCCTGGGTCTACAGCCTCAGTCCTGGGTCTACAGCCTCAGTCCTGGGTCTACAGCCTCAGTCCTGGATCTACAGCCTCAGTCCTGGATCTACAGCCTCAGTCATGGATGATAACAAGCCAGAGGACCCATCCCCAAATGTTAAGGCTTGACCGGACCTGGAGGATTTTGAATATTATACATGTTTATCAGTGGTAGGTGAAACCACAGCACCTGGAGGAAACCTACGTAGGCATAGGGAGAACATGTAAACTCCACTTAGAAAAGACCTGTTCCCTCTCTGGTCTGTCTCTCTGGTCTCTCTCTCTGGTCTCTCTCTGGTCTCTCTCTGGTCTCTCTCTGGTCTCTCTCTCTCTGGTCTCTTTCTGGTCTCTCTCCCGGGTCTCTCTCTCGCTGGTCTCTTTCTGGTCTCTCTCTCTCTGGTCTCTTTCTGGTCTCTCCCTGGTCTCTTTCTCTGGTTTCTCTCTGGTCTCTCCTCCTGGTCTCTCTCTGGTCTCTCTCTAGTCACTTGCTGGTCTCTCTCTGCTCTCTCTCTGATCTCTCTGGTGTCTCCCTGGTCTCTCTTTACCTGGTGTCTCTGGTCTCTTTCTCTCTGGTTTCTCTCACAAAGCAACAGTTCTTGAAATAAGACTAAATGGCCTTGTCCCATTGGCAGAATATGCTCAGATTAAGATTTTTAAAAACCCCTGGATTCAATCATTCATTACCTCATATTCGACCTTTTTTAACAGTGTATTTCTCTGCGCTGATTCCTACAAAGACATTAAAAGTCTGTGCAGCAGTCATCACCGCAACAACAACCCGGAGGAAGGCTGCGGTCGCTGTCGCCGCCGCACACGAGTCTAATGAAGCAGATGGAGCTCATTCTCTGCTTTCCCTCAAACAGAATAAATAAATCAAACCACATCTGGACGTGAGCGACGGCGCCGAGAGGAACGTGGCATATGTTAATTCACTTAACATGATGGACGTGCCTCAACCCCACCGCGTTGTTTTAGCAGCTAATTGTCGCCGCTAATCGGTGAGTAAACACGACTGAATCAATCTGGTGAAACACTGGGAAGACAATGAGGGTGGTTCGAAGACACGAGCGGGAGATAAAAGCCAAAATAAAATACTTCACTTGTAAAAAACCGGGTAATTTCTGGAGTAGTTGACTGATGTGGAAGAAAGGGTCACATGATCAGAAAGCGAGGCTCACAGACCATTAACAGAGACGAGGGGGCCTTCACCTTGCTTCATACTTGGGGATCACTTCTTCAGAGACCACAGGAGTGAGGGAGGAGAGAGAGCAGAGAGAGACAAGAGAGAATGAGAAGAGAAAACAGAGAGAAGAGAGTGAGAAGAGAGGCCAGAGGGAGAGCAAAGAAGGTCCTTTATTTGTCCCACAATAGGGAAATTTCAGTTTGATGCTGTACTTATACACATACTGTACTTATACACATCAAGTAGCGATCGCTTCCGTGCTCCTTATAGGAAAAGTGGGTTAAGTGTCTTGCCCAAGGACACAAGGACAGCAGACATCAGTGGGAGTCGGTGGGGAAGATCTCATGGTGGGATCGAACCCATACCCTTCGGGCTCAAAGGTCAACACTCTATCAACTGAGGCACTGTCACCCCCACAGGAATGGGCAGAGAGAGAACCGAGAGGGAGAGTAAAGAGAGAGCAGAGAAAGAAAAGAGACCAGAGAGAGACCAGTGAGAGACCAGAGAGAGACGTGAGAGAGAGACCAGAGAGAGACCAGAGAGAGAGACCAGAAAGAGACGTGAGAGAGAGACCAGAGAGAGACCAGAGAGAGACCAGAGAGAGACCAGAGAGAGACGTGATAGAGACCAGAGAGAGACCAGAGAGAGACGTAAGAGAGACCAGAGAGAGACCAGAGAGAGACCAGAGAGAGACCAGAGAGAGAGACCGGAGAGAGACCAGAGAGAGATCAGAGAGAGACGTGAGAGAGACCAGAGAGAGACGTGAGAGAGACCAGAGAGAGACCAGAGAGAGACGTGATAGAGACCAGAGAGAGACCAGAGAGAGACGTGAGAGAGACCAGAGAGAGACTAGAGAGAGCGCCTCGAGAGACAATAGGTAATATGTGCTGACAAAGATTAATTCCCTCCACCACCATTATAAACTATAAACTATTTGTTTGTGATGTCACATTGTCATAATTTGTTGTCCACTGTGTGTGTGTGTGTGTATGTGTGTGCGTGTGTGTGCGTGTAGGTGTGTGAGTGTGTGCGTGTCATTCCCGTGTGTGGGACAGCTGTCAAGATCACTCACCCGATTGGCCGATATGACAGGCATCACCGAGCGCCATGGGATAAGCAGGGAGGAGGCGGGCTCTCCCAGCTGTCAATCACTGCCAGGCCAAACTCCAGCCTGGCCTTCCAACACAAAGCATTTGTCAAGTCAAACATAAATCCATAAATCTCCATAGAAAAGCTACAGCGGTTCAGACGCCTCCTTTTGGTCTTTGAGGCGAGAGCTGCGAACAGGGAGGGGAGAATTCTCACTCGTCTGAAATGGGACGTTTTGCTTTGACAGAGTAATTATGACGTGGGGTCGAGGGGGGGCCCCGGGCGGCGAGGGGAGAGCCATCGATCGGAACGAGAGAGAAATTTATCAATGTCCAAACGTAGAGTCTGACAGGAACCCAATCCACTTAAAGAGTCTGCAGCGACCGGAGAGAGCGGGGTTCAGGAGCTCGCACCACAGTGGGGAGGCCAGGAGAGAGTAAAGAAAGAGAGCAGAGAGAGGAGAGAGAGACTAGAGAGAGCAGAGGGAGAGAGTAAAGAAAGAGAGCAGAAAGAGGAGAGAGAGACTAGAGAGAGCAGAGGGAGAGAGTAAAGAAAGAGAGCAGAGAGAGGAGAGAGAGACTAGAGAGAGCAGAGGGAGAGAGTAAAGAGAGAGCAGAGGGAGCAGCGAGAGAGAGCAGAGGGAGAGAGTAAAGAGAGAGCAGAGGGAGCAGCGAGAGAGAGCAGAGGAAGAGAGTAAAGAGAGAGCAGAGGGAGAGAGAGAGAGCAGAGGGAGAGAGTAAAGAGAGAGCAGAGGGAGAGAGTAAAGAGAGAGCAGAGGGAGCAGCGAGAGAGAGCAGAGAGAGAGAGAGAGAGCAGAGGGAGAGAGTAAAGAGAGAGCAGAGGGAGCAGCGAGAGAGAGCAGAGAGAGAGAAACTAGTGAGACAAACAAGAGAGAGTGACCAGATAAAGATCAGTTAGAGACCAGAGAGAGACCAGAGAGAGACCAAATAGAGACCCGAGAGAGACCAGAGAGAGACCAGAGAGAGACCAGAGAGACCAGAGAGAGTCCCGAGAGAGACCAGAGAGAGACCAGATAGAGACCAGAGAGAGACCAGATAGAGACCAAAAAGAGACCAGAGAGAGACCAAATAGAGACCCGAGAGAGACCAGAGAGAGACCAGAGAGAGACCCGAGAGAGACCGGAGAGAGACCAGATAGAGACCAGAGAGAGACCAGAGAGAAACCAGAGAGAGACCAGAGAGAGACCCGAGAGAGACCAGAGAGAGACCAGAGAGAGACCAGAGAGAGACCAAATAGAGACCCGAGAGAGACCAGAGAGAGAGAGAGACCAGAGAGAGACCTGATAGAGACCAAAAAGAGACCAGAGAGAGACCAAATAGAGACCAGAGAGAGACCAGAGAGAGACCCGAGAGAGACCAGAGAGAGACCAGATAGAGACCAGAGAGAGACCAGATAGAGACCAGAAAGAGACCAGAGAGAGACCAAATAGAGACCCGAGAGAGACCAGAGAGAGACCAGAGAGAGACCAGAGAGAGACCCGAGAGAGACCAGAGAGAGACCAGCTAGAGATCAAAAAGAGACCAGAGAGTGACCAAATAGAGACCAGAGAGAGACCAGAGAGAGACCAGAGAGAGAGAGAGACCAGAGAGAGACCCGAGAGAGACCAGAGAGAGACCAGATAGAGACCAGAGAGAGACCAGATAGAGACCAGAAAGAGACCAGAGAGAGACCAAATAGAGACCCGAGAGAGACCGGAGAGAGATCAGAGAGAGACCAGATAGAGACCAGAAAGAGACCAGAGAGAGACCAGATAAGAGTCCAGATGGAGACCAGAGAGAGACCAGAGAGAGACCAGTTATAGACCAGATAGAGACCAGAAAGAGCCACAAAACTTTTCTTCTGACTTTTAATAAGGGTAAGTATCATGTTTTGCTAGCAGTTATTTAATATTTATATAGTTAGAGCGAAGCACCTGTACTCTCGAAAGTAAAAGTACAAATGTTGAGTAATAAAAGTACAAATGTTGAGTAATAAAAGTGCAAATGTTGAGTAATAAAAGTGCAAATGTTGAGTAATAAAAGTACAAATGTTGAGTAATAAAAGTACAAATGTTGAGTAATAAAAGTACAAATGTTGAGTAATAAAAGTACAAATGTTGAGTAATAAAAGTGCAAATGTTGAGTAATAAAAGTACAAATGTTGAGTAATAAAAGTACAAATGTTGAGTAATAAAAGTACAAATGTTGAGTAATAAAAGTACAAAAGTTGAGTAATAAAAGTACAAATGTTGAGTAATAAAAGTACAAATGTTGAGTAATAAAAGTACAAATGTTGAGTAATAAAAGTACAAATGTTGAGTAATAAAAGTGCAAATGTTGAGTAATAAAAGTACAAATGTTGAGTAATAAAAGTACAAATGTTGAGTAATAAAAGTACAAAAGTTGAGTAATAAAAGTACAAATGTTGAGTAATAAAAGTACAAATGTTGAGTAATAAAAGTACAAATGTTGAGTAATAAAAGTACAAATGTTGAGTAATAAAAGTGCAAATGTTGAGTAATAAAAGTACAAATGTTGAGTAATAAAAGTACAAATGTTGAGTAATAAAAGTACAAATGTTGAGTAATAAAAGTACAAATGTTGAGTAATAAAAGTACAAATGTTGAGTAATAAAAGTACAAATGTTGAGTAATAAAAGTGCAAATGTTGAGTAATAAAAGTACAAATGTTGAGTAATAAAAGTGCAAATGTTGAGTAATAAAAGTGCAAATGTTGAGTAATAAAAGTACAAATGTTGAGTAATAAAAGTACAAATGTTGAGTAATAAAAGTACAAATGTTGAGTAATAAAAGTACAAATGTTGAGTAATAAAAGTGCAAATGTTGAGTAATAAAAGTACAAATGTTGAGTAATAAAAGTACAAATGTTGAGTAATAAAAGTACAAATGTTGAGTAATAAAAGTACAAAAGTTGAGTAATAAAAGTACAAATGTTGAGTAATAAAAGTACAAATGTTGAGTAATAAAAGTACAAATGTTGAGTAATAAAAGTACAAATGTTGAGTAATAAAAGTGCAAATGTTGAGTAATAAAAGTACAAATGTTGAGTAATAAAAGTACAAATGTTGAGTAATAAAAGTACAAAAATTGAGTAATAAAAGTACAAATGTTGAGTAATAAAAGTACAAATGTTGAGTAATAAAAGTACAAATGTTGAGTAATAAAAGTACAAATGTTGAGTAATAAAAGTGCAAATGTTGAGTAATAAAAGTACAAATGTTGAGTAATAAAAGTACAAATGTTGAGTAATAAAAGTACAAATGTTGAGTAATAAAAGTACAAATGTTGAGTAATAAAAGTACAAATGGCGGCACGGTGGCTGAGTGGATAGCACTCTCGCCTCTCAGCAAGAAGGTCCTGGGTTCGAATCCCGGTCGGACCAGGGCCTTTCTGAGTGGAGTTTGCATGTTCTCCCCGTGTCTGCGTAGGTTTCCTCCGGGTACTCCGGTTTCCCCTACCACTAAAAATATGTCCAATAGTTCTGGCATGTGCCTCCTGTACTGGCCCCGCTCCCATCTCTGTGTGGAGTGAGAGACAATTGCCCAAAAATTAACAATTGTAAACCGCTTTGAGACTCAGATCTGCAGTGAAAAGGCGGTATATAAATAAACACTTACTTACTTACACTTACTTACTAAATGTTGAGTAATAAAAGTACAAATGTTGAGTAATAAAAGTGCAAATGTTGAGTAATAAAAGTACAAATGTTGAGTAATAAAAGTACAAATGTTGAGTAATAAAAGTACAAATGTTGAGTAATAAAAGTACAAGGGTTGAGTACCAGGAGCTCGTTTGCCTGCATCTATAACGCGGTGTCAATACTGATGGAGAGGCGGCCTGTGACGGGGAGATTGTTCCACTGCGGCGTGAGAGAAACGGCGCGGCGGCCATGACCGGGGGCCTCTGGCAGATGTCCGCAGAATCGAGTCGATGAACCGAGAGACCGATGACACACAACCACACAAAAAAAAGACAGTCCTCGCTGGTGCTGCATACCATCAAAAACGTTACTAATCCACTCCTCACTCAAAAACGTCCCTCTCGGAGACAACGCCTTTTCATTTCAATTTCTCAACAACAATCCAATTTTGAAATCTTGACAGGAATATTGACAAAAACTGCTACAAATGATGCAGAAAATTGCAGAAAAGTGGCAAAGGAAATAATAAATAGCTCTGTATGGATTGTCTTTCAAATCTAATAAATGTGTAATAGACTGGAGCAGGGAGAGAGGGGGTGTGGCAGACTTTCATTATGGACCAGGATCATATTAGATCAGCTGGTACAGTGATACAGGCGTCATGCATATGCAGTGAGACAGCGGCTGTAGCAGAGAGACAGAGAGGAGAGAGACAGCGGGTGTAGCAGTGAGACAGCGGCTGTAGAAGAGAGACAGCGGGTGTAGCAGAGAGACAGCGAGGAGAGAGACAGTGGGTGTAGCAGAGAGACAGCAGGTGTAGGAGAGAGACAGCAGGTGTAACAGAGACAGCGGGTGTAGCAGAGAGACAGCGGGTGTAGCAGAGAGACAGCGGGTGTAGGAGAGAGACAGCAGGTGTAACAGAGACAGCGGGTGTAGCAGAGAGACAGCGGGTGTAGCAGAGAGACAGCGGGTGTAGGAGAGAGACAGCAGGTGTAACAGAGACAGCGGGTGTAGCAGAGAGACAGCGGGTGTAGCAGAGAGACAGCGGGTGTAGCAGAGAGACAGCAGGTGTAGGAGAGAGACAGCAGGTGTAACAGAGACAGCGGGTGTAGCAGAGAGACAGCGGGTGTAGCAGAGAGACAGCAGGTGTAGCAGAGAGACAGCGGGTGTAGCAGAGAGACAGCGGGTGTAGCAGAGAGACAGCGGGTGTAGGAGAGAGACAGCGGGTGTAGGAGAAAGACAGCGGGTGTAGGAGAAAGACAGTGGGTGTAGGAGAGAGACAGTGGGTGTAGCAGAGAGACAGCGGGTGTAGCAGAGAGACAGCGGCTGTAGCAGAGAGACAGCGGCTGTAGCAGAGAGACAGCGGGTGTAGCAGAGAGACAGCGGGTGTAGGAGAGAGACAGCGGGTGTAGGAGAAAGAAAGCGGGTGTAGGAGAGAAACAGTGGGTGTAGCAGAGAGACAGCGGCTGTAGCAGAGAGACAGCAGGTGTAGCAGAGAGACAGCGGCTGTAGCAGAGAGACAGCAGGTGTAGGAGAGAGACAGCGGCTGTAGCAGAGAGACAGCAGGTGTAGCAGAGAAACAGTGGGTGTAGCAGAGAGACAGCGGGTGTAGCAGAGAGACAGCGGGTGTAGGAGAGAGACAGCGGGTGTAGGAGAGAAACAGTGGGTGTAGCAGAGAGACAGCGGCTGTAGCAGAGAGACAGCGGGTGTAGCAGAGAGACAGCGGGTGTAGGAGAGAGACAGCGGCTGTAGCAGAGAGACAGCGGGTGTAGCAGAGAGACAGCAGGTGTAGCAGAGAGACAGCGGCTGTAGCAGAGAGACAGCGGCTGTAGCAGAGAGACAGCAGGTGTAGCAGAGAGACAGCGGGTGTAGCAGAGAGACAGCGGGTGTAGCAGAGAGACAGCGGGTGTAGGAGAGAGACAGCAGGTGTAGCAGAGAGACAGCGGGTGTAGCAGAGAGACAGCGGGTGTAGCAGAGAGACAGCGGGTGTAGGAGAGAGACAGCGGGTGTAGGAGAAAGACAGCGGGTGTAGGAGAGAAACAGTGGGTGTAGCAGAGAGACAGCGGCTGTAGCAGAGAGACAGCAGGTGTAGCAGAGAGACAGCAGGTGTAGGAGAGAGACAGCGGCTGTAGCAGAGAGACAGCGACTGTAGCAGAGAGACAGCGGGTGTAGCAGAGAGACAGCGGCTGTAGCAGAGAGACAGCAGGTGAAGCAGAGAGACAGCGGGTGTAGCAGAGAGACAGCGGGTGTAGCAGAGAGACAGCGGGTGTAGGAGAGAGACAGCAGGTGTAGCAGAGAGACAGCGGGTGTAGCAGAGAGACAGCGGGTGTAGCAGAGAGACAGCGGGTGTAGGAGAGAGACAGCGGGTGTAGGAGAAAGACAGCGGGTGTAGGAGAGAAACAGTGGGTGTAGCAGAGAGACAGCGGCTGTAGCAGAGAGACAGCGGGTGTAGCAGAGAGACAGCGGGTGTAGCAGAGAGACAGCGGGTGTAGCAGAGAGACAGCGGGTGTAGGAGAGAGACAGCGGGTGTAGGAGAAAGACAGCGGGTGTAGCAGAGAGACAGCGGGTGTAGCAGAGAGACAGCAGGTGTAGCAGAGAGACAGCGGGTGTAGCAGAGAGACAGCGGCTGTAGCAGAGAGACAGCGACTGTAGCAGAGAGACAGTGGGTGTAGCAGAGAGACAGCGGCTGTAGCAGAGAGACAGCGGCTGTAGCAGAGAGACAGCGGCTGTAGCAGAGAGACAGCGGCTGTAGCAGAGAGACAGCGGCTGTAGCAGAGAGACAGCGGCTGTAGCAGAGAGACAGCGGCTGTAGCAGAGAGACAGCGGCTGTAGCAGAGAGACAGCGGCTGTAGCAGAGAGACAGCGGCTGTAGCAGAGAGACAGCGGCTGTAGGAGAGAGACAGCGGCTGTAGCAGAGAGACAGCGACTGTAGCAGAGAGACAGCGGCTGTAGCAGAGAGACAGCGGCTGTAGCAGAGAGACAGTGGGTGTAGCAGAGAGACAGCGGCTGTAGCAGAGAGACAGCGGCTGTAGGAGAGAGACAGCGGCTGTAGCAGAGAGACAGCGGCTGTAGCAGAGAGACAGCGGCTGTAGCAGAGAGACAGCGGCTGTAGCAGAGAGACAGCGGCTGTAGCAGAGAGACAGCGGCTGTAGCAGAGAGACAGCGGCTGTAGGAGAGAGACAGCGGCTGTAGCAGAGAGACAGCGGCTGTAGGAGAGAGACAGCGGCTGTAGCAGAGAGACAGCGACTGTAGCAGAGAGACAGCGGCTGTAGCAGAGAGACAGCGGCTGTAGCAGAGAGACAGTGGGTGTAGCAGAGAGACAGCGGCTGTAGCAGAGAGACAGCGGCTGTAGCAGAGAGACAGTGGGTGTAGCAGAGAGACAGCGGCTGTAGCAGAGAGACAGCGACTGTAGCAGAGAGACAGTGGGTGTAGCAGAGAGACAGCGGCTGTAGCAGAGAGACAGTGGGTGTAGCAGAGAGACAGCGGCTGTAGCAGAGAGACAGTGGTCCCGGCTCCAAATGGTCCATAAGCACGTACACTGACATGCTGTAATCTCACTCCGGGGGGGGTGTACCCGGAAAGAGAATTACCCAATGCTTTTGTATGACGTCTTCTTTCCTGTTGAAAACGTCTTTACAGGACGGTGCTATGTTCCAGATGCTGTCGATGCTGAGGATTTTTTTTGGACCAGTCTAGTTTTGCCGCTGTGGACTTTTGAATGCACTCGTTAAAGAAATGGGGCTAGTGCAGCTAACACATGTGCAAACACGATTTTCACATGTTCCTGCCCCGCGGCCATTTTGAAAAAGCCCACAGAAGACAAAAATGGAGGCACATTAGTTTCAACGGCGGAGATAGGCGTCTGTTCATATTTACCGTCTATGGTCTGAACCTGTTACCGCGTCAAGCTAGCGCCGTAGAAGAACCGCCCATATAAGGAAATTGACCCCAGCTATCTTATGTTCATGTACTTTGCATTTGCTGATATAAAAGTGCTTTATAAACAAGATTAGATTGATTGAAATCGGCTTCTACCGCATTAATGCTAACACTCTGGTGATGTCACACTCGGTCCACTCTTGTACACTCGGGGCTAGTTACACATATTTGAGAATACCTTTTAAGTGTACTTATTGTGCGTATAATCTCGTGTATAATTGCTGTGTTAGGATGTGGAGATAGTCTGGATGTGATTAATGTCAAAGTAAATATTGAGTGTTGGAGGAAACAGCAGATCCTCAGACACACAACAGATCCTCAGACACACAACAGTTCTTACATCTGTCTCTCGTTTCTCGTCTCAATGTGTTTGTGCGACTCTCACTCTGCATCAGACATTCCTCCGAGTCTTTGTCCTGTTCCTAAAATTGTAAATCCATGAACGTCCCGAGTTTGACTTAAAGTTGTTCGTTTTAACCCTATATTGTTGTTTGAATCATGTTTGATACTATGGAGATGGTGTTGTCCCAGACGTAACGCTAACCCGCTAGCTCAAGGCTGTGTGTGTCTGTGTGTGTGTGTGTATAGATGTGTGTGTGTGTGTATAAGTATGACTATGTGTTTGTGTGTGTGTCTGTGCATGCAGATGTTTGTGTATGTGAGTATGTAAATGTATGCGCGTAAGCAGATGTATGTATGTGTGTGTGCGTGCAGATGTGTGTGGCTATGTATGCAGAGGTGTGTGTGTATGCAGATGTGTGTGTGTGTGTGCAGACGCGTGTGTGTGTGTGTGTTGTATTCAGATGTGCGTATGCAGATGTGTGTATGTGTGCAGATGTGTGAGTGTATGCAGATGTGTGTGTGTGTGTGTTGTATTCAGATGTGCGTATGCAGATGTGTGTATGTGTGCAGATGTGTGTATGTGTGCAGATGTGTGTGTGTGTATGCAGATGTGTGTGTGTATGCAGATGTGTGTGTGTGTATGCAGATATGTGTGTGTATGCAGATGTGTGTGTGTATGCAGATGTGTGTGTGTATGCAGATGTGTGTGTGTGTATGCAGATGTGTATGTGTGTGTATGCAGATGTGTATGTGTGTGTATGCAGATGTGTATGTGTGTGTATGCAGATGTGTATGTGTGTGTATGCAGATGTGTGTGTGTGTATGCAGATGTGTGTGTGTATGCAGATGTGTGTGTGTGTGTATGCAGATGTGTATGTGTGTGTATGCAGATGTGTGTGTGTCTTTACTGTCAACTTTTGTCATCGTCGTGTGTTGTAGTGAAAGCACTTTGCTTTAATGGAAATCAAAACAAATCCCTCTCTCCGCTCGCTCCACATCAGCATTAACTTGCTCCACATTAGCATTAGCTCGGGAACATTAGCATTAGCTCGGGAACATTAGCATTAGCTCGCTCCACCTTAGCATTAGCTCACTCCACATCAGCATTAGCTCGCTCCACATTAGCATTAGCTCAGGAACATCCCGGTAAAATCTACAACTCTCAAGTTCTAGAACACAGCCTCTGCCTTCACTTATTTCCTCCCCCTGATGTTTGGCCGCGGGGCGATCCTACTAAAGAGAAGTAATTTGGCTTATCTTATCCCCGAGACCTAGCAGCTTGCTTTTGATTCTTTTTTGTGAGCCCTTTTTTCTCATTTAGTCCAACAAAGATTGTCCTCGTAGATTGACCTTCTCGCTGCCTGCAGGCCCTTGCCCTCATGCCAGTAACTAGATAACACACTCTATCAGAGATTTGAGAAAATCATTGGGAAAGCAGTGGTGCTGATAGTGGCATCAATCCTAACCTGACACCGGGCTGGGTCAACCATTTATCTCACAGAGCGCCCCTGGACACGAGCGCGCGGAGGCCATCTTGCATCGGCTACATCCTTCTTTAATAACCTTGGCCACGTCTGTGTGCAGACCGAGGGGATCAGGGCCGCGCTCTTCTAAAGCCCGACTGTGGCTTGTTTGGTTTGTGTTTTTAAACTGCTGAGAATCTCATCCAGATGTGGAGTGTTTAAGGCACGGCACTGGAGAAAGTCTGGGGTGTGAGAGGAGTGTGAACCTGCAGGGTTTGGTGTTACTACGTGGTTAACGGTGACAGGGAGTAGAAGAAGAGAGAAGATAATTAATTATTGTAGGATTCATTAATTTACTAATAATAATAATGTATAGATTTGATGAAGAGTTTTTCCGGACGCTCAAAGACGCTTCACATGTCACCATTCCTTCACTATGCACAGTGGTGATTAACTACTACTGTAGCCACAGCTGCCCTGGGGCACACTGACAGAAGCGAGGCAGCCAGTCTGTGCCATCGACCCCTCCCACCACCACCAACCATTCACACACACTCACCAGACTGTGGGGGGAAGTGTCTTGCCTAAGGACACAACAACACTTTGGCACTATACAGTCGTCAATGTGTTCCCAAAGGTCTCCCATCACCGTACTAACCAGGCTCTGCCCTACTTAGCTTCAGAGGTCTGATAGGATCTGGCTTTCACCTGCGGGTCTGGCCACGATACCAAGTTACCTCTCATTGTCCTGGAATGTCCCCACAGTGGGACAGATAAAGGATCTCTTAATCTCGGAGAACATTACAATGTTGTGGATTCGCCAACAGCAGATCAGAGAATCAAACAGTTCCAACGCAGCAAATGCAATGTTTATAAAAACACTTAAAACCATTGATCCAAAAGAGACGGATGTTATTGTCCGTAAATGTCCTGAATCATCACCACTGTCCTCAGACCCTCCTGCGTAAACATGTGATGCTAGTTCTGCTTTCTGATTGGATGATATACCACGAGAGTAAATGTAAACAACAATACTGTGGACAATGTTTTATCTGTGGATTATTTCATTATCATCCAACTTTATTTCAGATTTGTGGTACCTCCAGCTCGTCATCTCTCTGCTGTTCACATAAACACACAGGAAGCAGGAGTGTCTATGTGCAGTACCGCTGAGATCACAAGAGTTAAGAAAAGTGGCAGATTTTGATTCGCCGAGAACAGTATTAGTGTGAAATGCAGTTTAGTCTATTTCAAACAGACATCAACAGACTTTGCCCAAATACAATTCTGTCCAAATTTATGGCGTTGCAATTATGACAATCACGACATCTGCTGTAGTCTGTTCATTGCTATTCACCCGCTGTCCCATTATCTTTTTTCATGGAGTGACAATGGTACCCCTGGAACCCGGCCTCGCTGCCTGGGAGCCTCTTCATCTCTGGATCTACAACCTGATTGGATCCCTCTCTCATTATGAGCTTCCCCCGAGGGTTCCCACTTTTTTTGCCAACTGTATTTTCATTTAGTTCCTTGTCAGTGTGGGAGGGTCTAAGCCAAGGACAGTTATGATCGGGGACATGTGAGGCCTATGTGATTGTCATTATTGATATTTTCTTGTGTTTGGATTGTTTGATTCACTGATCTCTTGCTAGCAATTTAGAGCTGTACAGAAACAAAACTAATCTAATAGAATTTTGAATATGTTTACCCTAAAATTGACACGGTATCCCACTTTAGAACCGCTTCAAAACATCCCAACACCTTGCTTTCCTCACAAACTCATCGGCTATAGCAGCTAACGGCGGCTAACGGCGGCTAACGGCAGCTAACGGCAGCTAATGGCAGCTCCGGACACATTAATTCCTCCCAGTGTGTGCCTTAAATGCTTCTATATTGGTGTTAGCGACGCCAGTTTCCCAGCGGCCTCCCAGCGCTAGATCATTGTTTTTCACTTACTAACAATGAACTTATGATCACAGCTCCTCGGGGCGCGCTCTAAATGCCCCGTAGGATCATTACAAAGCTATAAAACGCAGCTGTATTTGTCGGCAATGAGGCCAGGATCCCACCATGGAGGGAGAGAGGGACCAGGACTCACCGAGCAGCCGCACCATGGATGAGCGCGGAGGTTAAATGGGGCGTCATCCATCTCAATGAAGTGCAATTATTTTGCCACTTATTAATCATTGCCGGCTAATAGCTAGTGGCAAAGCCGGCGTTCACCATTCGTCAAACTTAGCAGATTTCTGTAATTTTGTTTGCTGGTTTCTCTCCCCCTCCCGTCTTTCCCATCCGCTAATGTTGGTGTAAGCTTTGGCAGATATCTATGGAGGCGGCTGCAATAAGTCCATGCCTGCGAGTATCTATCTCGCACCTGTATGGGAGAACTAACGGAACTTCTCGCTGTTTCGCCCGGTGACTGATTTGCCCATTTTCAGAGCTAAGGGACTATTTCATGGTCTGTGGCAGAGGGAGAATGGGGAAAGGCTTTATTTGCAGCTCAGACCGAGTGCTGCTGATGGTAAAGTGTATGCACCATTACAGCGTTGGAGATGGACTTTCTCCACTGTCGGACAAAAGGAAACGTAATTTTTAGTCGCTTTGTCTTAAGTGTTTGAAGTGATCCAGCCGACAGAGGTTTCAGTGAGAAACTCCCAGACAGGGGAAACTGGGAAACTGAAATATTATTATCTCAAACATTACATTATTTTAACAAAAACAACTGAAAATTATTATATATACAGTATATAGCCATCAAAGTGATAGGAAATAGGATGTTTGAACCAGAGAGAGACCATGAGTTCAGAGAGAGACCATGAGTTCAGAGAGAGGGACCAGAGGGAGAGACCAGAGAGAGCAGAGAGAGACCATGAGTTCAGAGAGAGGGACCAGAGGGAGAGACCAGAGAGATCAGAGAGGGACCAGAGAGAGAGACCAGAGAGATCAGAGAGAGACCAGAAGTCAGAAAGCGGGTCCAGAGAGAGATCAGAGAGAGACCAGAAGTCAGAAAGAGAGACCAGAGATCAGAGGGAGACCGGAGAGAGAGACCAGAGAGAGACCAGAGAGAGACCAGAAGTCAGAGAGAGATCAGAGAGAGACCAGAAGTCAGAGAGAGGGACCAGAAAGAGAGACCAGAGAGAGAGACCAGAGAGAGATCAGAGAGAGACCAGAAGTCAGAGAGAGGGACCAGAAAAAGAGACCAGAGATCAGAGGGAGACCGGAGAGAGAGACCAGAAGTCAGAGAGAGGGACCAGAAAGAGAGACCAGAGAGAGAGACCAGAGAGAGAGACCAGAGAGAGAGACCAGAGAGAGAGACCAGAGAGAGATCAGAGGGAGACCGGAGATCGTGAGTCTATGTCATATTTTGGTTTCACATTTTGAGTTGAATCACAGAAATAAATGAACTTCTGAACGATATTCTTATTTCCGAGTTCCACCTTTACCTTTAAATGGAAAAGGAAGCATCCAATTTCCAAAGCTGTTTAAAAATGTGAACATTATACCAATAAAAATTATCTTTTTCCAGACCATTCCCAGACCTGTTTTTTAAGACTGGACTGGACGAGCGCTAACGTCACCACAGAGCTAGCTTTTATGCGGAAGAGGCCGATTCGAACGTAAGCTAGCCAGAGCCAATTTCCTTATATGGGCATTTGTTACCGACAGTGTTAGCTTTGCTCGGTAACAGGAACAGACGTGTTGCTAAGACAGTTGCTAGGGCAAGCTGGAGTTTCCCGCATCTGATTGGTCCATCCGTAAATGGCTATTATCTAGATTCACAAAGACAATCTCACAATATTTTTAACCCTAAAAAGGTGAGTTAGAGTTTACTTTTGCACTGAAGTCAATAGGAGCCAGAGAAAGATGGAGCCAATCTTTGTTCATGAGCACTTCCCTATAGGGCTACATTGAGCTAGCGAGTTAGCATAGTCCATCTATAGACAGTTCATGCTCCTGATGTATATTTTCAAATGAAGTGTAGGGGTGTAGTTTGGTCATAGTAAAAGTAAAACGTGGCTGGAATGTTAGCTGTCAACACATGGTTTTAGAGCAGACGTGTCAAACTCAGGCTCAGGGGCCAAATCCGGTCCGAAAGATCATTTCTAGTGGCCCATAAAACGATTTTCAGTTATTATGAATAGCTTTGATGGTTATGGTCTACAGTACTATGGCACATTATACATCTATACATCTATTTTCTCAGGTAAAACACCAAATGTAATCTATTCTAACATGTTTTCCCAACACAACACATACATAAAAAATGTGAACAAACAACAATAACTTAATATTTGGTCCAGTTTTGGTTCAATCTAAACAGAAAAATAACAGTGAAACTTATGTCACATTAAAGTCCTGTCAAGTCAAGTCAAAATACCTCTATAATAGGAGGTCGTGAGTTCGATTCCCACCATGGGACCTACTCCAACCGCTCCCACTGATGTCTACTTTTTCTTGTGTCCTTGGGCAAGACACTTTACCCCGCGTTGCCTGAAGCCCCCGCTGACAGAGCAGCCATCTTCCCGTGGACTCACCCCCTGCAGAGGATCAGCGAGGGACTGGTGCTATGAGCATTGGGTGCAGCTCTCATTGCTTGAAAAGAAATGAATGAATGAATGAGTTATAAGAAAAAGTAATGCCTTCTATTCTTTCAGTTGAGACCAAAATGAGTTTGAAACATCTACTTTAGACAGATGTAGAAATGAGCAATATGAATGTGAGGCTTTAACAAACTGTGAAGACTTGTATTCTGACCAAATGTAAACCGTACATCCATAAATGCTGTTATTTTTAATGTAAAATCATACCATGAGCTCAGAGACGACGGTGGAAATGAGCTCTTGAGCTTTAACCTGCTACAATGCCTTTGAGGTTAATGTTTGTTGTCATCTTAAATAAATAAATTAAACTAAACATGTGTCATTCTAAACTCCTTCCAAACCGTCCTTTTCTTTCACAAATCTCCCAAAACTTTTGCTAATTGTTTTGACTCTTTGGCTTAATTAATAAATCATAATGTAAATCATCCTTAAAATGAGAACTCTCCAACACGCGACTAATGAGCCCAAATCACTATCGTCATTATTGTTCTTTTCTGGTAAACATCTAATGCTCCTCATAATGAATGTTACACATAATTTAGCTCCTAAATATGATCTGATGGTTAAACTTTGGTCATTAAACCATTAGGAGTCGACAACAACAGCTTCTCCAGTCGTCAGGATCCGCAAGAACTGTTTATGAAGGAGATTATTTATTATTATGAGAACTTCTTCCATCTCCTTCGTCCAAAAACTTCAATTCTACGTGTTTTTGTATTGCCCTAAATCACAACATTGTCAATGACAGATCAGAGAATCAAACAGTTCAAATACAAGAAATGCACTGCAAAAAGTAAAGTAAAAAATGCCTCAAATTTGGCAAAATGTGCTCAAATTTAAACTAAAAAACACAAGATTCATGCATTTTTTTGTACCTCATATTTTATTATTTTTGCAGAGTAAGAAGCAGAGACCAATGTTCATAAATGTGGTTGAATGTGGAGTGTCCTGGATCATCTCTGTCCGTTTTAGAGCCTCCTGCAGCAGAACAACTCTGAAAACACAGAGGAGAAGGTGAGAAACCCGGAGAGGCCTATATTCATGTTAAAACACAAAAGTAACACAAAAATGTGTATTCTCCTGTGTCCGATGTACACACACAAGCAGCATGTACACACACAACTTTGTTTTTATTTAGAGCGCCATTAGCACACACTCACATACACACACACACTCACACACACACACACACTCACACACATGCACACAGATTTTAATTTGTATATTTTAGAAATGTATGTAGATGTTTATTTTGCCTGATTCTCTTCTCTTGACTTGTTTGCACTGAGAGCTGAAGCAGTTTCCTAGTTTGTGACTTCCGGTTATTTACGTGGCAATAAAACAAGGATTCTGATTCTGATTATATAAAACTCTTTCTGTTTGGAGAAAAATCAGCTTTAACTGATTCTATGGTGTCTGTATCCAAACATGTGGATGTGTAGGCGTTCTAAAACTCCAGCAGTCAATTTGGGTTTGTGTTTTGGAAGTGTAATTACTGCGCTTAGGTAAGTGCTTGGTCTTTTTAACTTTGTGACTGAATATAAATGCAGTTTATATAAATGTAATTCTGTTTATGAAAGGATCCCGATCCTGGACTGGTTCGAGTGCTGGTTACCATAGCAACACACTGTTTAGTTAGCATGTCCGCTATAATATTTAATTTATATTAATTAGTTTTAGCGTGTATTAAAGATAAAGGAACCGACTGACTTGCTCCTAATGAATACTACTAAACTAAAACTGTTGAATGCCGTCAATATGAATGGGAGCCGTCTCAAAGACTGCTCAGGGAGTTCTAGTTCAATTCAATTCAATTCATAAATATAAAAAAAATAATAACAAAAAATGTTAGTGTTAAAGGGGGAGAGAAAAAGAGCAAAAAACACTCCAGTACAAATGGTTGTTTTTTGTTTGTTTTTTTACCAGCTGTCACTGCTAAATTTGAGGAAGAAAGTTGCGTCAATAACAGTCACAGAGACGGGTGGTCGGTGAATCCTGGAGGAACCACACTCCCAACGGGACAAGGCTGCACCTGCAACCCGGCCTCCCGCGCTTCAAACACGGGGAGATAATATGCTCATTACGGGTGCATTCGTGGAACCAGTGCGACATCTAGTGGTAGAGAAGGGGATAACATGTTAATAACTATAAGTTTCAAGATTGTTGTTGTTGTTTTGTTTTTTCCCAACCATAGACTGTATAAAAAGTACACCTTGAACCTTTTGTCATGTTTATTTAATTGAAAGTTCACACACAAGTAACAGAAAACTGAAAGTAAAATTATACATGATTTTATTTTTTTATTGTTTAAAAAAAAAAACAGAAAAGTTGGGTCTAAGTTTTCAGCTGCGTATGACTAAGATTTGCACATCTAAAGACAGAAAGTTTAGCACATTCCTCTTTACAAAACAACCTGAGCTTTGTCAAATTAGATTAGAGAGCGTTTGTGAGCAGCAGTTTTTAGGTCTTTACATCTGGATTCTGATTGGACCGTTCTCACTTTCAAACCGTTCTACTGTAGATTTACCTTTAGGTTTAGGTCCTTCTCCGGCTGAAAGGGAATCCTCACCTCAGCCTTAATTATTTTAGACTCAGACTGGTTTTCCTCTAATTTACCCCTGTATTTTGCTCCTTCCATCATCCCAGTTATTCTGACAATCTTCCTAGTCCCTGCGGAAGAAAAGCAGCCCCATAGCATGATGCTCCCCCCTCTATGTGACACCGAGGCACAATCATAGGTTTGTGTCATACTTCACGTTTGTGTTTGGGCTCTGACCAGAGCTGTGTCCCACATGGTAGCTGTGTCTCACATGGTTGCTGTGTCCCACATGGTAGCTGTGTCTCACATGGTAGCTGTGTCCCACATGGTCGCTGTGTCCCACATTGCAGCTGTGTCCCACATGGTCGCTGTGTCCCACATGGTAGCTGTGTCCCACATGGTAGCTGTGTCTCACATGGTCGCTGTGTCCCACATGGTAGCTGTGTCCCACATGGTCGCTGTGTCCCACATGGTCGCTGTGTCCCACATGGTAGCTGTGTCCCACATGGTAGCTGTGTCTCATATGGTAGCTGTGTCCCACATGGTCGCTGTGTCCCACATTGCAGCTGTGTCCCACATGGTCGCTGTGTCCCACATGGTAGCTGTGTCCCACATGGTAGCTGTGTCTCACATGGTCGCTGTGTCCCACATGGTAGCTGTGTCCCACATGGTCGCTGTGTCCCACATGGTAGCTGTGTCCCACATGGTCGCTGTGTCCCACATTGCAGCTGTGTCCCACATGGTCGCTGTGTCCCACATGGTAGCTGTGTCCCACATGGTCGCTGTGTCCCACATTGCAGCTGTGTCCCACATGGTCGCTGTGTCCCACATGGTCGCTGTGTCCCACATGGTAACATTTTCTGACATGTGACTTCTGGCAAACTTCAAACAGATTTTCTGTTATTTTTATTGGATTGTGTGAATACATGTTTTTAAGCATAAAATGCAGATTAAGATAAAATCTTTTTGTTTTTCTTCCCGTCACTCGTCCATGAAGCCCAGGTCTGTGCAGGACGGTCCCGTGCATGACCTCGGCCTCAGCAGCACGACTTGGTTTCACTCAGTCTCCTTTCTGACCACTGCTCTCTTTGTTCCTCTTAGTTCAGGTGGACGGCCGTGTCTTGGTAACTTTGAAGTGGTGCAGAACTCTTTCCAGGGCCACATGAGGGTCCGGGACTGAGGCTGTAGATCCAGGACTGAGACTGTAGACCTAGGACTTAGACTGTAGACCCAGGACTGAGGCTGTAGATCCAGGACTGAGACTGTAGACCCAGGACTGAGACTGTAGACCCAGGACTGGGACTGTAGAACTTATAGAATATAAGTTTGTAAATATATTATTGTATTGATCAGTGTTTTTCTTTATAAAATACTTCGTGAATCAACAAAACGTTTGAGCAATACTCCGGTCACACAAGTTTAAAATATTTGTATTTACAAATTGTGACCAGGTGAGGGCGCCCTTTGCAAACAAAAGAAAGGGGATTGTGTAACTCGCTGTAATTGTTTATAAGTATAAAGTGGAATAATTTAAATATGCATCAAATAGTACAGACCTATACATGTGTGGGAGAGAGAGAGACAGAGAGAGAGAGAGAGACAGAGAGAGAGACAGAGAGCGAGAGAGAGACAGAGAGAGAGACAGAGAGCGAGAGAGAGACAGAGAGAGAGACAGAGAGCGAGACAGAGAGAGAGAGAGAGAGAATGAGTTATAGTAATAGGTCTTTGGTCAAAACTACAAAACTATTGATTCAATAATCAATCATTAGTTACGTGGTGGAATGACATCACCTGCTGTGACGTATGACGTTCCGTGATTGTTGTTGTTGCACTTTCTGGCACGACCTTCGTTTCCAGTAGCACCCGGAGGAGGCCCCACAGTCACTCACCCGGTAGCTCCTCCTTCTGTTGTGGTCGTGGCCCCTCCCTCTCCGTGCGTGAGTCTGGACTGGGGAGAGATAAGAGCAGCAAAACAGGGCCCGGTCCATCAGACTTCCGCGCACACGAACTGGCCACACTCTCTCTCTCCGCCCCGCAGAGTCGAAACGCGACGATGGGAGTTGACCGAGATCCGTGACTCTACCCTGGATTCTACGGGGGCCTCTCTGCTCTGCTCCGGCGCGGACTTGTGCTGCAACTTTGTGGAACTATGTGTATTTGTTTGCTCGATGTGAGGAGGAATGCGCGGACCTACTAGCGCCAGTCTCCGCCGTGCGTGCGTTGCGTGTATCTGACGTAGGTTCGCACCGATCTGCTTCTGGAGTGTTTGGACTCGGCTTGCACTGGACAGGAAGCATGCACCGCGATGCAAAGCTGCAGGAGGCCCGTCATTCGTGCAAAAACACCCAGGGTTAGTCGACCTGACGGCGGCTGCACATCGCGTCTCTGTGTGGGTTGCACGAAGGAGGACTGTCCATGGCGCAAAGCAAGAGAAGACAGCCCACGGATGTAGCTTTACGCAGCGCAAACATGAGCCAAGATCAAGACGGGATCTCCCTCACGGTGCCCAGCCTTGGAGAGGGTCAGTGCCAGGAGCGCGTAGGCGGGGGCGCGAGTGGAGGCGCCGTGGAGGACCCAGAGGAGACCGCGGGGGGTTCGGTTCCTGCTGCTGGAAGTTTTTGGCAAGACCCTTCAGCGACCAGCACCGGAGGAGGAGGAGGAGGCACGGGTCCCGGTCTGTGTCCGCTGGAGACCGGGGGCTTGTTGACCGCGGGGAGGAGCGGGAATAAGAGGCCGGTCACGGTGGCCTACGTGGTGAACAGTGAGGCGAACTTGCAGAACAGCGCGGAGGTCCTGGCGCTGCAGTGTCTGAGGGACGCGTGTGAGGCCGTGGGCAGCAAACTGGACTCGGTCAACTTTGGGAAACTGGACTTTGGGGAAACCACGGAGTTGGACCGGTTTTACAACGCAGGTGGGTGACGTCATACTGCCATACTGTTGTTAGGAACTTTGAGAATGATGTTCAGTATGTGTTGCGAACGATACAGTATCTCTCACTCTCTGGTCTCTCTCTCTTCTTTCTCTCTCTGGTCTCTCTCTGTCTCTTGGATCTCTCTCTCTGTTGTTGTGTCCTTTGGCAAGACACTTTGCCTCAGACAGGGATCTCCAGCCTGTAGCTCGGGATCCATCAGTGTCACATTAGAATGAGTCTGGTGTGTGTGTGAATGTTTGCTGGTGGTGGGAGGGGCCGATGGCACAGACTGGTTTCCTCGCTTCTGTCAGTGTGCCCCAGGGCAGCTGTGGCTTCAGTAGTAGTTTATCACCAGTGTTTGTAGTGAAAGAATAATTATGTGAAGGATCTTTTAGTGTCTGAAAAGCGGTTTAAAACTGATGTATTATTATTATTATTATTATTATTATTATTATCCATCCATTGTTATGATTATTATTCTTATGTCTGCACTTTCTCCAATGCCTCAATAAGAATGTCCTGGTGTCTTAAATCCAGTGGTTTGATCCCAAGATTCTCCAACGGGAAAAAGGAAAAAGATCTTGTTTTAAAAAGATACAGAAATGTTTCCCTTTGAATGAGGAAATAAAGTTTTTAAAATCAGACAAAATGTGTTTGTCCGGTTTGAGAATCTGCAGCTGAAAAACCGGACAGAACATCACAGCCTGAGGGGGTTTAAGAGTTCCATGTTTCCCACTCCTCTGCACCTCCTCCTCTCTGCACCTCCTTCTCTGTTTGCCCCCTCCTCTATGCGTCTCCTGAGCTCTTCCTCCTCTCTGAGCCTCCTCTGCATCTCCTCTGCATCTCCTCTGTTCCCCCTCTCTGCATCCCCTCCTCTGCATCTCCTCTGTTCCCCCTCTCTGCATCCCCTCCTCTGCATCTCCTCTGTTCCCCCTCTCTGCATCCCCTCCTCTGCATCTCCTCCTCTGCATCTCCTCTGTTCCCCCTCTCTGCATCCCCTCCTCTGCATCTCCTCTGTTCCCCCTCTCTGCATCCCCTCCTCTGCATCTCCTCCTCTGCATCTCCTCTGTTCCCCCTCTCTGCATCCCCTCCTCTCTATATCTCCTCTGCATCTCCTCTGTTCCCCCTCTCTGCATCCCCTCCTCTGCATCTCCTCCTCTGCATCTCCTCTGTTCCCCCTCTCTGCATCCCCTCCTCTGCATCTCCTCTGTTCCCCCTCTCTGCATCCCCTCCTCTGCATCTCCTCCTCTGCATCTCCTCTGTTCCCCCTCTCTGCATCTCCTCCTCTCTCTATATCTCCTCTGCATCTCCTCTGTGCCCCCTCTCTGCATCCCCTCCTCTGCATCTCCTCCTCTGCATCTCCTCTGTTCCCCCTCTCTGCATCCCCTCCTCTGCATCTCCTCCTCTGCATCTCCTCTGTTCCCCCTCTCTGCATCCCCTCCTCTGCATCCCCTCCTCTGCATCTCCTCCTCTGTTCATCCTCCTCCTCTGTTCTTCCACTGTTCCTCTTCTGCCTTTTCTGTTCCTCCTCCTCTGCACCTCCTTCTCTGTATCTCCTCTCTGCACCTCCTCCTCTTCCTCCTCCTCTGTTCCCCCTCCTCTGAGCGCTGGCTGGAGTGCGGTTGGTTTTTTCCACTGGAACTTGTGACGGTGGAAGAAGTTTCTCCTGAATCCTCTGAGCAGAGAAAGACGTTTGAGTTTGTTCTTGTGCAACATGAAAGAAAAGTGAGTTTAAGATTTTTATTCTGCTCAAAAGGAGAGAGACCAGACTGAGGCTGTAGACCCAGGACTGAGGCTGTAGACCCAGGACTGAGGCTGTAGACCCAGGACTGAGGCTGTAGACCCAGGACTGAGGCTGTAGACCCAGGACTGAGACTGTAGACCCAGGACTGAGGCTGTCGACCCAGGACTGAGGCTGTAGACCCAGGACTGAGGCTGTAGACCCAGGACTGAGGCTGTAGACCCAGGACTGAGGCTGTAGACCCAGGACTGAGGCTGTAGATCCAGGACTGAGACTGTAGATCCAGGACTGAGGCTGTAGATCCAGGACTGAGGCTGTAGATCCAGGACTGAGGCTGTAGATCCAGGACTGAGGCTGTAGACCCAGGACTGAGGCTGTAGACCCAGGACTGAGGCTGTAGACCCAGGACTGAGGCTGTAGACCCAGGACTGAGGCTGTAGACCCAGGACTGAGGCTGTAGACCCAGGACTGAGGCTGTAGACCCAGGACTGAGGCTGTAGACCCAGGACTGAGGCTGTAGACCCAGGACTGAGGCTGTAGACCCAGGACTGAGGCTGTAGATCCAGTCTTAAGCCTGTTTATTGAAACATCTCTATCTCCATTTCACTGCTTTCATGTTTGTGTGTGGAATTTTCCCATAATTCACTGGGGACAGACGCCTTTTCCCAGAGTGTGTGCCGTATACACACACACACACACACACACACACACACACACACACACACACACGGACACACAGAGATAACAATCATCTTTACACAATGACACATAGTCCTCATTTTCATGTCGGTCTTCGTTGTCATCTCTCTCTATTGGGTCTGGTCTGGTCCAGTCTGGTCTAGTCTGGTCTGGTCTAGTCTGGTCCCACAGCTGTGGAACGCAGGCTTTATCTGCCGTTGATCGTTACGTGGAATTACAGTCATTTACACAGAGAACAATTGGGTTTTTCAACAATTTCTGAGAAAAGCGGCTTTGATCCACGACACAAGGTTCTCTGTTTACTGCACTGTTAACGAGAGAGAGAGAGATCTGTCTCTCTCTCTTCTCTCTTCTCTCTTCTCTCTGCTCTCTCTCTCTCTGCTCTCTCTCTTGGCTCCTGCAGCTCGACCTGCCCTGACTTGTTGATCCCTGTGTTTACCTTTTGCTTCAGGTCAAAGATCACAGGGACTTACCATGAGCCACGTCTGCAGGATCCTCCTGCTCCGGTCACTAGGGCACAGTGGCTGAGTGGTTAGCCCTCTCGCTTCTCAGAAAGAAGGTCCTGGGTTTGAATCCCGAATCAGAACACATAAATGAACTGAATAGAATCGAAACTGGAGGGGGAGGGGCGAGTCATACTGCAGTGTTGCTACATGTTGTCTAGTTATATGTTGTGTAGTTATACGTTGTGTATGATGTTGTGTTGTTCAAAGCAGCAGAATGATAGTGTAGATAAGACATGGATCAGACTCTGCTCTGTCCTGATAATAATAAAAACACATTTATGCAGAGTTGTGCGTTTCAGTCTCAGTTGTAACTACACAAACTTCCTGTTTACTCAGTGAGAAGCTGCACATCTGGACCAGAGAGAGAGAGTCCAGAGAGAGAGACCAGAGAGAGAGAGACCAGAGAGAGAGTCCAGAGAGAGAGTCCAGAGAGAGTCCAGAGAGAGAGTCCAGAGAGAGAGTCCAGAGAGAGAGTCCAGAGAGAGAGTCCAGAGAGAGAGAGTCCAGAGAAAGTCCAGAGAGAGTGTCCAGAGAGAGAGTCCAGAGAAAGTCCAGAGAGAGTGTCCAGAGAGAGTGTCCAGAGAGAGTGTCCAGAGAGAGAGTCCAGAGAGAGTCCAGAGAGAGAGTCCAGAGAGAGAGTCCAGAGAGAGTGTCCAGAGAGGGAGTCCAGAGAGAGTCCAGAGAGAGTCCAGAGAGAGTGTCCAGAGAGGGAGACCAGAGAGAGTGTCCAGAGAGAGTGTCCAGAGAGGGAGACCAGAGAGAGAGACCAGAGAGAGAGACCAGAGAGAAAGAGAGAGAGAAAGAGAGAGAGACCAGAGAGAGAGTCCAGAGAGAGAGACCAGAGAGAGAGTCCAGAGAGAGAGTCCAGAGAGAGAGTCCAGAGAGAGAGACCAGAGAGAGAGACCAGAGAGAGAGAACACGTTTTTATTCATCAGATTCTTTTATTATTCATCAGGAAATGTCTGAAAATCTGATCAGTCTCTCGTCTGAGTGAACCTTCTGTCGACACTCAGAAATTGTTTAAAAAATATATTCTTCGCAAAGTGAACAACAGTCTCGCTAGTCTCTCTCTCTGGTCTTTCTCTGGTCTCTCTCTCTGGTCTTTCTCTGGTCTCTCTCTCTGGTCTTTCTCTGGTCTCTCTCTCTGGTCTTTCTCTGGTCTTTCTCTGGTCTCTCTCTCTGGTCTTTCTCTGGTCTCTCTCTCTGGACTCTCTCTCTGGTCTTTCTCTGGTCTCTCTCTCTGGTCTTTCTCTCTGGACTCTCTCTCTGGTCTTTCTCTGGTCTCTCTCTCTGGACTCTCTCTCTGGTCTTTCTCTGGTCTCTCTCTCTGGTCTTTCTCTGGTCTCTCTCTCTGGTCTCTCTCTGGTCTCTCTCTGGTCTCTCTCTCTGGACTCTCTCTCTGGTCTCTCTCTCTGGTCTCTCTCTCTGGTCTCTCTCTCTGGTCTCTCTCTCTGGCCTCTCTCTCTGGCCTCTCTCTGGTCTCTCTCTCTGGTCTCTCTCTCTGGTCTTTCTCTGGTCTCTGTCCGGTCTCTCTTTCTGGTCTCTCTCCTCTCTCTCTCTGGTCTCCCTCTGGTCTCTCTCTCTGGTCTCTCTCTGTGGTCTCTCTGTGGTCTCCATCCCAGAGTTCTCGTATCCATGGTTACCTCTCTTCCTGTGGCTCTTATGTAATTGATTGTAATGACGGCTGCATTTACCTACTCTGCTCCTGGGACTCGGAAATATGAAGAGGATCTGGGTTTGGAGTCGCAATTCTCCCATTCTTTAGCATAAAGACCTCAAATCTAATCTCGTCTAGCTCTATTATGAAAGAAGCAAGTATAAAATCTCTAGCTTTAGCATAATAAAGAAGCTAGTATAAAATCTCTAACTTTAGCATAATAAAGAAGCAAGTACAATTAGCAAATATATTAGCATTCAAAGCTAATTGTGTATAACAGTGGTTACTATGCATTCACATTTTTATTAAAGATACTTAGAGCTTTGCCTTTTGGCTTCGTGGTGTTATTAAGAAGCAGATCAGCAGCAGTGACATCAGTTTTTTGTGTTGATAAAACGACTCAATATAAACTGACAAATGGAGGTAATACTTATTTTGTGGCCAGAGGGATTTGTGAGCCTCACGGATCAGTCTCACACACGGGAATTATTGACAATGTGTTTTTTCCCAGTTTAATAACATGTTAATTGCTTCTCCAGCTACGATTATTTAATACCAGAAATGATTATTGTTGTTGTTGCTGATTCAAAGCTATGACGAGAAAAAAAAGGTAATTCCGTTTATTTGATCAAACACAGGAAATGTAATCGCAAACACAAGGAGCCGTCGGTCCATAGGGAGCCGGACTGAGGCTGTGGACCCAGGACTGAGGCTGTAGACCCAGGACTGAGGCTGTAGACCCAGGACTGAGGCTGTAGACCCAGGACTGAGGCTGTAGACCCAGGACTGAGGCTGTAGACCCAGGACTGAGGCTGTAGACCCAGGACTGAGGCTGTAGACCCAGGACTGAGGCTGTAGACCCAGGACTGAGGCTGTAGATCCAGGACTGAGGCTGTAGACCCAGGACTGAGGCTGTAGACCCAGGACTGAGGCTGTAGACCCAGGACTGAGGCTGTAGACCCAGGACTGAGGCTGTAGACCCAGGACTGAGGCTGTAGACCCAGGACTGAGGCTGTAGACCCAGGACTGAGGCTGTAGACCCAGGACTGAGGCTGTAGACCCAGGACTGAGGCTGTAGACCCAGGACTGAGGCTGTAGACCCAGGACTGAGGCTGTAGACCCAGGACTGAGGCTGTAGACCCAGGACTGAGGCTGTAGACCCAGGACTGAGGCTGTAGACCCAGGACTGAGGATGTGGACCCAGGACTGAGGCTGTAGATCCAGGACTGAGGCTGTAGATCCAGGACTGAGGATGTGGACCCAGGACTGAGGATGTGGACCCAGGACTGAGGCTGTGGATCCAGGACTGAGGCTGTGGATCCAGGACTGAGGCTGTAGACCCAGGACTGAGGCTGTAGACCCAGGACTGAGGCTGTAGACCCAGGACTGAGGCTGTAGACCCAGGACTGAGGCTGTAGATCCAGGACTGAGGCTGTAGACCCAGGACTGAGGATGTGGACCCAGGACTGAGGCTGTAGATCCAGGACTGAGGCTGTGGATCCAGGACTGAGGCTGTGGACCCAGGACTGAGGCTGTAGACCCAGGACTGAGGCTGTAGACCCAGGACTGAGGCTGTAGACCCAGGACTGAGGCTGTAGACCCAGGACTGAGGATGTGGACCCAGGACTGAGGCTGTAGACCCAGGACTGAGGCTGTAGATCCAGGACTGAGGCTGTAGACCCAGGACTGAGGATGTGGACCCAGGACTGAGGCTGTAGATCCAGGACTGAGGCTGTGGATCCAGGACTGAGGCTGTAGACCCAGGACTGAGGCTGTAGACCCAGGACTGAGACTGTAGATCCAGGACTGAGACTGTAGATCCAGGACTGAGACTGTAGATCCAGGACTGAGACTGTAGATCCAGGACTGAGACTGTAGATCCAGGACTGAGACTGTAGACCCAGGACTGAGGCTGTAGATCCAGGACTGAGGGTGTAGACCCAGGACTGAGGCTGTAGACCCAGGACTGAGACTGTAGATCCAGGACTGAGGCTGTGCACCTGTGTAGAGTCTACACAGGTGCAGCTAAAAGAGGCCGTTTTCAGAGGTCCCATCATCACGCCATAAAAAGGGACACCGGGCTAATAGCAATGAATGTATTTGAAGTCTGGCTTTATCCCCCGAGCCATGTGCTGGTCGTGAATATAGTAATAATAATAAACCTGCTTATATATTCTCATTCTCACTCAATCAGACCGAGACACGGAGATGTTTTTCGTAGTTGAAACGGAGAATCAATCCGTGGTTTTAACTGATCAGCAGCATTGAATCAGCGAGTCTTGTTCTGTAAGTGTGTGTTAGAGGAAGAAGAAGAAGAAGAGAGAGGAATACTTCAGCTTTGATCTCAGCTGTGAAGGTCTTCTGTGCGTAGACTTCACTGAAGCAGACGGTTTGCATTTACACATAGATAGTAAACAGTAACATAGATAGATACTTTATCGATCCCTGTCAGAGAAATGCAGGTGTCCAGCAGCAGCAAAAAATAAAATTGATAATTCTAAAAAAGATAACAATAGTAATAATCAAAAACAGCCCTTCAGGTCACAGCAGCAGAGGTGGAGTAGCCTCTGGGTGGAGCAGGACGGGTCACAGCAGCAGAGGTGGAGTAGCCTCTGGGTGGAGCAGGACGGGTCACAGCAGCAGAGGTGGAGTAGTCTCTGGGTGGAGCAGGACAGGTCACAGCAGCAGAGGTGGAGTAGCCTCTGGGTGGAGCAGGACGGGTCACAGCAGCAGAGGTGGAGTAGTCTCTGGGTGGAGCAGGACGGGTCACAGCAGCAGAGGTGGAGTAGTCTCTGGGTGGAGCAGGACGGGTCACAGCAGCAGAGGTGGAGTAGCCTCTGGGTGGAGCAGGACGGGTCACATCAGCAGAGGTGGAGTAGCCTCTGGGTGGAGCAGGACGGGTCACAGCAGCAGAGGTGGAGTAGCCTCTGGGTGGAGCAGGACGGGTCACAGCAGCAGAGGTGGAGTAGCCTCTGGGTGGAGCAGGACGGGTCACAGCAGCAGAGGTGGAGTAGCCTCTGGGTGGAGCAGGACGGGTCACAGCAGCAGAGGTGGAGTAGTCTCTGGGTGGAGCAGGACGGGTCACAGCAGCAGAGGTGGAGTAGTCTCTGGGTGGAGCAGGACAGGTCACAGCAGCAGAGGTGGAGTAGTCTCTGGGTGGAGCAGGACAGGTCACAGCAGCAGAGGTGGAGTAGCCTCTGGGTGGAGCAGGACGGGTCACAGCAGCAGAGGTGGAGTAGCCTCTGGGTGGAGCAGGACGGGTCACAGCAGCAGAGGTGGAGTAGTCTCTGGGTGGAGCAGGACGGGTCACAGCAGCAGAGGTGGAGTAGCCTCTGGGTGGAGCAGGACGGGTCACATCAGCAGAGGTGGAGTAGCCTCTGGGTGGAGCAGGACGGGTCACAGCAGCAGAGGTGGAGTAGCCTCTGGGTGGAGCAGGACGGGTCACAGCAGCAGAGGTGGAGTAGCCTCTGGGTGGAGCAGGACGGGTCACAGCAGCAGAGGTGGAGTAGTCTCTGGGTGGAGCAGGACGGGTCACTGCAGCAGAGGTGGAGTAGTCTCTGGGTGGAGCAGGACGGGTCACAGCAGCAGAGGTGGAGTAGTCTCTGGGTGGAGCAGGACGGGTCACAGCAGCAGAGGTGGAGTAGCCTCTGGGTGGAGCAGGACGGGTCACAGCAGCAGAGGTGGAGTAGTCTCTGGGTGGAGCAGGACGGGTCACAGCAGTAGAGGTGGAGTAGTCTCTGGGTGGAGCAGGACGGGTCAAAAGGTGGAGTACCCACTTGATTTGGACCATTTTCTCTGCTCTGGTCCAAAGTAAAATGCTAAACGCTTCATTAGCATTTTTCATAATGTTTGCATCCTCCAGTGGATTTTCTCCTGATCCACTTGGTTGGGACCATGAATCATCTCTGCTCTGGTCTGGACCAGTGTAAAACCATGAATCCTCTCTGCTCTGTTGTGGACCAGTGTAAAACCATGAATCATCTCTGCTCTGGTGTGGACCAGTGTAAAACCATGAATCCTCTCTGCTCTGGTCTGGACCAGTGTAAAACCATGAATCCTCTCTGCTCTGGTCTGGACCAGTGTAAAACCATGAATCATCTCTGCTCTGGTGTGGACCAGTGTAAAACCATGAATCATCTCTGCTCTGGTCTGGACCAGTGTAAAACCATGAATCATCTCTGCTCTGGTGTGGACCAGTGTAAAACCATGAATCCTCTCTGCTCTGGTCTGGACCAGTGTAAAACCATGAATCCTCTCTGCTCTGGTCTGGACCAGTGTAAAACCATGAATCCTCTCTGCTCTGGTCTGGACCAGTGTAAAACCATGAACACTGAACTGCAGAAACATCTTAGGCAGAAAAAAGCAAGAAAAATAAAATGTATAAAGCACAAAACAATAACTGTTATAGATCTACTCAGGACCTGCTGCCGTTTTCCAGAACATTCTAAAGTGAACATGTGACTGACTTCTGTGGCAGTTTATGAAGCTGTAGCTGATCTGGAAACATGTTTATATGTATTTTATATTGTATTTCTCCTCTTTTACTCTATTTATATTTAGATCTTGTGTTTCTGTGTTTTCCTCACGGATCAATAAAGTTATTTGAATTGAATTGAATGATGATTTTTTGCAGCTAAAATCCGGAACAGTCTTCTTCTCTGTTCAAAATCGGGTTAAAAACAGTACTCTTTTGAATGTGCTGTGATTATTTGTGATTTTTTTTTGCCTTTTGTCTTGTGATGGAGGTTTCTGTTTCCTTGTGTAGAAGAAAAAGGCTTGTTTAATGTCCAAACTGTGGCCCACGAGCCAGATGCGGCCCTCACGCTGCTCTGTCTTGGCCCTTTGGATTTCATGTTTAGTAGCACACATTTCTCTAACAACAACAAACAGTTTTCACGGGAAATCACCAAAAACAAACATGTTATTGAGGTGCTGGGACTAAAGACACATCTGACGAGAGAGAGAGAGACCAGAGAGAGAGAGACCAGAGGGAGAGAGACCAGAGAGAGAGAGACCAGAGAGAGAGAGACCAGAGAGAGAGACCAGAGGGAGAGAGACCAGAGGAAGAGAGACCAGCGGGAGAGAGACCAGCGGGAGAGAGACCAGCGGGAGAGAGACCAGCGGGAGAGACCAGAGGGAGAGAGACCAGAGGAAGAGAGACCAGCGGGAGAGAGACCAGCGGGAGAGAGACCAGCGGGAGAGAGACCAGCGGGAGAGACCAGAGGGAGAGAGACCAGAGGAAGAGACCAGAGGGAGAGAGACCAGAGGGAGAGAGACCAGAGGGAGAGAGACCAGAGGGAGAGAGACAAGAGGGAGAGACCAGAGGGAGAGAGACCAGAGGGAGAGACCAGAGGGAGAGAGACCAGAGGGAGAGCAGAGGGAGAGACCAGAGGGAGAGAGACCAGAGGGAGAGACCAGAGGGAGAGAGACCAGAGGGAGAGAGACCAGAGGGAGAGATACCAGAGGGAGAGAGACCAGAGGGAGAGAGACCAGAGGAAGAGACCAGAGGGAGAGAGACCAGAGGGAGAGCAGAGGGAGAGCAGAGGGAGAGACCAGAGGGAGAGAGACCAGAGGGAGAGACCAGAGGGAGAGAGACCAGAGGGAGAGACAAGAGGGAGAGAGACAAGAGGGAGAGAGACAAGAGGGAGAGAGACAAGAGGGAGAGAGACCAGAGGGAGAGAGACCAGAGGGAGAGAGACCAGAGGGAGAGAGACCAGAGGGAGAGAGACCAGAGGAAGAGACCAGAGGGAGAGAGACCAGAGGAAGAGAGACCAGAGGGAGACCAGAGAGAGAGCAGAGTGAGAGAGACCAGAGAGAGGGACCAGAGGGAGAGAGACCAGAGGAAGAGAGAGCAGCGGGAGAGAGACCAGAGGGAGAGAGACCAGAGAGAAAGAGACCAGCGGGAGAGAGACAAGAGGGAGAGAGACCAGAGGGAGACCAGAGGGAGAGCAGAGGGAGAGACCAGAGGGAGAGACCAGAGTGAGAGAGACCAGAGTGAGAGAGACCAGAGGGAGAGACCAGAGGAAGAGAGACTAGAGGGAGACCAGAGAGAGAGAGCAGAGGGAGAGAGACCAGAGAGAGGGACCAGAGGGAGAGAGACCAGAGGAAGAGAGACCAGCGGGAGAGAGACCAGCGGGAGAGAGACCAGAGGGAGAGAGACCAGCGGGAGAGAGACCAGAGGGAGAGAGACCAGCGGGAGAGAGACCAGCGGGAGAGAGACCAGCGGGAGAGACCAGCGGGAGAGACCAGAGGAAGAGAGACCAGAGGGAGAGAGACCAGAGAGAGAGACCAGAGAGAGAGACCAGAGGGAGAGAGACTATAGGGAGAGACAAGAGGGAGAGAGACCAGAGAGAGAGAGACCAGAGGGAAAGACCAGAGGGCGAGACCAGAAAGAGACCAGAGATTGTGGTACTTTTGCACATATTATTCCAAAGTAGTTTTGCTGAAGTCAAACTGAACGTGCTGTGGCTCTTGCAGACGTCGCGGTGGCGGAGATGACGGACGCGTTCCGCCAGCCGTCGCTCTTCTACCACCTGGGCGTGCGAGAGAGCTTCAGCATGGCCAACAACATCATCCTCTACTGCGACACCAACGCCGAGTCCCTCCAGGCGCTCCAGGTGATCCGCTGATCCAATGCAAGCCCAATGCAATCACTGAGCCTCACGTAAGACCAGAGAGAGAGACCAGAGGGAGAGACCAGAGGGAGAGACCAGAGGGAGAGACCAGAGGGAGAGCGACCAGAGAGAGAAACCAGAGAGAGAGACCAGAGGGAGAGAGACCAGAGAGAGAGAAACCAGAGGGAGAGAGACCAGAGAGAGAGACCAGAGGGAGAGAGACCAGAGAGAGAGAAACCAGAGGGAGAGAGACCAGAGAGAGAGACCAGAGGGAGAGAGACCAGAGGGAGAGAGACCAGGGAGAGAGACCAGAGGGAGAGACCAGAGGGAGAGAGACCAGAGAGAGAAACCAGAGGGAGAGAGACCAGAGAGAGAGACCAGAGGGAGAGAGACCAGAGAGAGAGACCAGAGGGAGAGAGACCAGCGGGAGAGAGACCAGCGGGAGAGAGACCAGCGGGAGAGAGACCAGCGGGAGAGAGACCAGCGGGAGAGAGACCAGAGGGAGAGAGACCAGAGGGAGAGAGACCAGAGAGAGAAACCAGAGGGAGAGAGACCAGAGAGAGAGACCAGAGGGAGAGAGACCAGGGAGAGAGACCAGAGAGAGACTAGAGAGACCAGAGAGAGAGACCAGAGGGAGAGAGACTAGAGGGAGAGACCAGAGAGAGAGACACCAGAGAGAGAGAGAGAGACCAGAGGGAAAGACCAGAGGGCGAGACCAGAAAGAGACCAGAGACTGTGGTACTTTTGCACATATTATTCCAAAGTAGTTTTGCAGTCCCTCCAGGCGCTCCAGGTGATCCGCTGATCCAGGCCACGTTACACAAGCCCAATGCAATCACTGAGCCTCACGTAAGACTCACAGTGCAGCGATTACCCGCAGATTTCCCGGAGCGCAGGGGACAGAGGACAAGGACAAAGCACACTTTTCTGTCAGATTACTGCATTGTCAATAATTGTAGAGTCTGTAGTTAAAGTATCTCTCATCACAATTTTAAAGACAACTGTGGATAAAGGTAAAGACTGAGGACATGATGAATGATTGGGTTTTTATCATATTTAAACAGCTGTAATTTGGCCTGGTTCAGAAAAGTGGCCTACAGGGACCTGGTCATGTTGGTGTAGAGATGCATCATGTAGCACCAGGAGGGAATCACAATAGGTTAAAACTTATAATATATTAACAACTATAATGATTAATGGTTATGATAATCTGATTGATTTACAAACACTTCTAATTTTATTTAGAGCTAGAAATAAACAGCTGCCTGCACACATACAGAATATGTTTATTGAAAGAGAAACAAATTATAATTTAAGAGGATTGTTTTTTTTCCAATTTAAAAAGGTCCGCACCACATTAAAAAGCTTTTGTGTTACCGTCAGTGGAGTAAAAAAATGGAATGAATTGGACGCGGAACTTAAAAAATGTCAAACATTATTTGAGTTTAAAAAAAGATACAAAGAAGTTATTTTTAATAAATATGTTCGTGAAGCATGCTAAAAACTTCCAAGCGCTAGATTGCATTTGGTAAAGGGAGATTTTTTTGAGTTGTAAATTCAGAGTTGTAAGTAGGGGTGGGATTACACAAGTTTTTTTTAAACTTCCTCCCACTCCTATTTTGGACATCATTTGTTTGTTCGCTTAGTCAATGTAGAATTACATTGCTTTTGTTTTGTTTTCTCATTTTGAAACGTCCAAAATAAAAACATTCATTCATTCATTCATTCATTCATTCATAATGAAGGTGATAAAGTATATTAAACGATTGGTAAAAACTATATATATACATCTAGACACAGGGTAAGGTGTTGTGCCGTACACGGTTCAGGGCATTAAGGCGGGTCCTGGGGTTTGGGGGGATGCAGGCTGGTCCCAGTGCGAGTGGGCGGCGACCCGAGGTAGACACACACATATACACACACACACATACACACACACACACACGTACACATACATACACACATACACGTACACACACACACATACACACACACCTGTCTTGTTACTTGTAATGTCGCACAATAAAGTCAATACTATTATGAACAAGATGCGGTCTCAGTTGGTACAGTAGATCATTGACGTTAGGGCCTGGAGGTCATGGGTTTGATCCCCCTATGAGATCTACTCCAACTGCTGTCGATGTGTCCTTGGGCAAGACACTTAACCCCACTTTGCCTGACCTCTGAAGCTAAGCAGGGCAGGGCCTGGTTAGTACTGATGGGAGAGGCGAGTTAAGGTGGTTAGAAAAGTGTAGAAAGTGTGATTGTTTTACAGATGAATAAAATACAGCTGCTACTGAGAGGATTTACGTTATTTATGGATATTTTTAGAACGTAGCCCCGACTGTAAACAAGGGACCACTGTATTTTCTAAGTTGAATTTCGTGAGCTTCACCTGTGTTTTCCGTTCGACTGTGGAGAGAAATCATAATTTTTTGTTGTCATGATACTGAGAGTAATAAGAGGAACCCGGTCTCGCTCTGGGTTTTAGAATAATTGAGGATGAGAGCCATTACAGCAGTGGTGATTACTGATGATGGAGCAAAACAAAGCAGATCCACCACTGCTTTAACACAGGATTTACTGTTGTTTTCACCGGTGACTCATGTTGAATGAACTGTGCTATACAAATAAATGCTGGATTGTATTTCACCTGTTTGCACTGGAGAATCTTTGCTAAATGCATTTCTTTCATATTTTTCAGGAGATCATCTTCCAGAAAAACACAGTAAGTACCAGAGACACTCAATACCCAAGTGCTCTGTTATTGCACAAGTATTGCACCTCTTCAGATGATTAATTAGACCAGAGTGAGACAAGAGAGAGACAAGAGTGAGACCAGAGTGAGACCAGAGAGAGACAAGAGTGAGACCAGAGAGAGATAAGAGAGAGACCAGAGAGAGATAAGAGAGAGACCAGAGTGAGACCAGAGAGAGACCAGAGAGAGACCAGAGAGAGACCTGAGAGAGACAAGAGAGAGACCAGAGAGAGACAAGAGAGAGACCAGAGAGAGAGACACTAGAGAGAGACAAGAGAGAGACAAGAGTGAGACCAGAGTGAGACCAGAGAGAGAGACACTAGAGAGAGACCAGAGAGAGACAAGAGTGAGACCAGAGTGAGACCAGAGTGAGACCAGAGTGAGACAAGAGAGAGACCAGAGAGAGACCTGAAGGAGACCAGAGAGAGATAAGAGAGAGACCAGAGAGAGACCAGAGAGAGATAAGAGAGAGACCAGAGAGAGACCAGAGAGAGACCAGAGAGAGACCAGAGAGAGACCAGAGAGAGACCAGAGAGAGACCAGAGAGAGACAAGAGAGAGACAAGAGAGAGACAAGAGAGAGACAAGAGAGAGACAAGAGAGAGACAAGAGAGAGACAAGAGAGAGACAAGAGAGAGACCAGAGAGAGACCAGAGAGAGACCAGAGAGAGACCAGAGAGAGACCAGAGAGAGACCAGAGAGAGACCAGAGAGAGACAAGAGAGAGACAAGAGAGAGACAAGAGAGAGACAAGAGAGAGACAAGAGAGAGACAAGAGAGAGACAAGAGAGAGACAAGAGAGAGACCAGAGAGAGACCAGAGAGAGACCAGAGAGAGACTAGAGAGAGAGACTAGAGAGAGACACTAGAGAGAGACCAGAGAGAGACCAGAGAGAGACCAGAGAGAGACAAGAGAGAGACTAGAGAGAGAGACACTAGAGAGACCAGAGAGAGACAAGAGAGAGACTAGAGAGAGAGACTAGAGAGAGACCAGAGAGAGAGACCAGAGAGAGACCAGAGAGAGACCAGAGAGAGACCAGAGTGAGACCAGATACAGACACTAGAGAGAGACCAGACCACATACACAGACGCACAAAACTTAAAAAACTAAAAGCAGGTAAGAAGAGTACAAAGCTGAAACTAAGAATCTTGGAGAAAGAGTTTTTAAGGCGACCTGCTCCATCTCTGTGTGGAGTGAGAGACTAAATGCCCAAAAGCCACAAATCATAAACCGCTTTGTGACTCTGGTCTGACTCGCTGAAGGTGCGGCACCAGAGCTTTGAAAAGACTTCCCTCTGTCCTGAGCTGACATCGGTTCTCTGTGTGTACTGTACGCCGTGCCATGTTGGATGTTGGGTGTGACAGACAGGATCTAAATTTGCTCGGTGTGTGTCTTGTGGCTCTGTGCCTCGTGCTGATCTCGTTTCACAAGTGCAGAGGGAGAGCACCTGTCGGAAACACAGGAAACATGTGATTGTGGGTTCAACATGTGCGAGGTCTATGTCATGTGTGCCCTGGCATTTCAATTCACCTCCAGACTCTCTCCGGTCTCTCTGGTCTCTCTCTGGTCTCTCTCTGGTTCCTCTTTGGTCTCTCTCTGGTCTCTCTCTGGTCTCACTTTGTTCTCGCTCTGGTCTCTCTCTGGTCTCTCTCTGGTCTCTCTCTGGTCTCTCTCTGGTCTCTCTTTGGTCTCTCTCTGGTCTTTCTCTGGTCTCTCTGGTCTCTCTCTGGTCTCTCTCTGCTCTCTCTCTAGTCTCTCTCTGGTCTCTCTCTGGTCTCTCTCTGGTCTTTCTCTGGTCTCTCTGGTCTCTCTCTGGTCTCTCTCTGCTCTCTCTCTAGTCTCTTTCTGGTCTTTCTCTGGTCTCTCTCTGGTTCCTCTTTGGTCTCACTTTGTTCTCGCTCTGGTCTCTCTCTGCTCCCTCTCTGGTCTCTCTCTGGTCTCTCTCTGGTCTCTCTCTAGTCTCTCTCTAGTCTCTCTCTGGTCTCTCTCTGGTCTCTCTCTAGTCTCTCTCTAGTCTCTCTCTAGTCTCTCTCTGGTCTCTCTCTGGTCTCTCTCTGCTCTCTCTCTGCTCTCTCTCTGGTCTCTCTCTGCTCTTTCTCTGGTCTCTCTGGTCTCTCTCTGCTCTCTCTCTGCTCCCTCTCTAGTCTCTTTCTGGTCTTTCTCTGGTCTCTCTCTGGTTCCTCTTTGGTCTCACTTTGTTCTCGCTCTGGTCTCTCTCTGCTCCCTCTCTGGTCTCTCTCTGGTCTCTCTTTGGTCTCTCTCTGGTCTCTCTCTCTAGTCTCTCTCTGGTCTCTCTGGTCTCTCTTTGGTCTCTCTCTGGTCTCTCTCTCTGGTCTCTCTCTGGTCTCTCTCTCTGGTCTCTCTCTGGTCTCTGTTTGGTCTCTCTCTGGTCTCTCTCTCTGGTCCCTCTCTGGTCTCTCTCCGCTCTCTTTCTGGTCTCTCTCTGGTCTCTCTCTGCTCTTTCTCTCTTTGGTCTCTCTCTCTCTCTCTGGTCTCTCTCTGGTCTCTCTCTCTGGTCTCTCTCTGGTCTCTCTCTGGTTGCTCTTTCTCTCTCTCTGGTCTCTCTCTGGTCTCTCTCTCTCTCTCTCTCTGGTCTCTCTCTGGTCTATCTCTGGTGTCTCTCTGGTCTCTCTCTGGTCTCTCCCTGCTCTCTCTCTGGTCTCTCTCTGGTCTCTCTCTGGTCTCTCTCTGGTCTCTCTCTGCTCTCTCTCTGGTCTCTCTGGTCTCTCTCTCTCTCTCTGGTCTCTCTCTGGTCTCTCTCTGGTCTCTCTCTGGTCTCTCTCTGGTCTCTCTCTCTCTGCTCTATCTCTGGTCTCTCTCTCTGGTCTCTATCTGGTCTCTCTCTCTCTGCTCTCTCTCTCTGCTCTCTCTCTGGTCTCTCTCTGGTCTCTCTCTGGTCTCTCTCTCTGCTCTCTCTTTCTGCTCTCTCTCTGGTCTCTCTCTGGTCTCTCTTGTCTCTCTCTCTCTCTGGTCTCTCTCTGGTCTCTCTCTCTCTGCTCTCTCTCTGGTCTCTCTCTCTGGTCTCTCTCTCTCTCTGCTCTCTCTATCTGCTCTCTCTCTGGTCTCTCTCTGGTCTCTCTCTGGTCTGCTTTCTCTTTCTGCTCTCTCTCTGGTCTCTCTCTGGTCTCTCTCTGCTCTCTCTCTGGTCTCTCTCTGGTCTCTCTCTGGTCTCTCTCTGGTCTCTCTCTGGTCTCTCTCTGGTCTCTCTCTGGTCTCTCTCTGCTCTCTCTCTGCTCTCTCTCTGGCCTCTCTCTGGTCTCTCTTTGGTCTCTCTCTCTCTGCTCTCTCTCTGGTCTCTCTCTGCTCTCTCTCTGCTCTCTCTCTGGTCTCTCTCTGGTCTCTCTCTGCTCTCTCTCTGGTCTCTCTCTGGTCTCTCTCTGGTCTCTCTCTGCTCTCTCTCTGCTCTCTCTCTGGTCTCTCTCTGGTCTCTCTCTGGTCTCTCTCTGCTCTCTCTCTGGTCTCTCTCTGCTCTCTCTCTGGTCTCTCTCTGGTCTCTCTCTGGTCTCTCTCTCTTTGCTCTCTCTCTGGTCTCTCTCTGGTCTCTCTCTGGTCTCTCTCTGCTCTCTCTCTGCTCTCTCTCTGGTCTCTCTCTGATCTCTCTCTGGTCTCTCTCTGCTCTCTCTCTGCTCTCTCTCTGGTCTCTCTCTGGTCTCTCTCTCTGGTCTCTCTCTCTGGTCTCTCTCTCTGGTCTCTCTCTCTGCTCTCTCTCTGCTCTCTCTCTGCTCTCTCTCTGGTCTCTCTCTGCTCTCTCTCTGCTCTCTCTCTCCTCTCTGTCTGATGTCATACTGGGTCAGTCCACTCATATGTTGTAAAAATGTTATCTTCCTCTGAACGACACAGATCCTGAGCCCAATTAGAAACTCCGCCACATTTCGATCGATTTTGAAATAATTTAGCCATTCTTTTCAAATCCAAACGTTTAGAGAAAGGACTCGTTGCTCCGACCACGGAACACCCACATTTCTGTTTCAACCTTTTCCCAGCGTTCTCACTCCAAATAGATTTACAGCATGAACCACTCGCTGATGTGGATCATAATTATACACAAAACAGACCAAGAGGTCTTTTTAACACGGTTTTAAAGTCTTTACAACTTCATCTGAAAAAAAACCAAATTACAATTATATGTCAATCATTTATAAATCATATAAATTCCATATATTCAAGGGCAGTCAGTACGATGGCAACAAGAAGCAAGAAGGTCGTAGGTTTGATTCCACCTCCGGACTGAGTTGAGTTTGCATGTTCTCCCCATGCTTCCCTTCAGTTTTCTCCAGGCGCTCCAGTTTCCGCTACCACTAAGTTAGTTATTTATCTACTATTTTGAAAAGGTTTTGCCCCAAACTTTGGAGACTTTACTTTATTAATTGGATTAGGCAAAAATATGTAATGCTTCAGCCCAATCCCTTCGGTCACAAATGCGTTTGTGTGTCTATGTTAAAGTGTGTACATTAACTGACATAATTGTTTTTGTAACCTTGGCCTTTTTTATTAAAAAACATAAATGGTATGAATGACAACAAACTGACTTTACTTACTTACTAACTTACTTGTGGATAGCACTCTCGCTTCTAAGTAAGAAGGTCTAATCCCGGTCGGAACAGGGCCTTTCTGAGTGGATTTTGCATGTTCTCCCCATGTCTGCGTAGGTTGCCTCCAGGTAGTCTGGTTTCCCCTACCACTAAAAACATGCACAATAGATCTTGTATGTGCCTCCTGTACTGGCCCCGCTCCCGTCTCTGTGTGGTAATCTTTAGAAGTAATCTTTATTTATGTTCACTGCAGGCCTGAGTCTCAAAGCGGTTTACAATTGTTCATTTTTGGGCATTTGTCTCTGACTCCACAGAGACGGAAGCGGCGCCAGTACAGGAGGCACATACAAGACCTATTGTACATATTTTTAGTGGTAGGGGAAACCGGAGTACCCAGACACGGGGAGAACATGCAAACTCCACTCAGGAAGAATCCACTCCCCCCTCCCCTCCCTCTCCACCAAACCAAACATCCAGCATTTTCTTTTCTTAATCACAGGGAGAGTGAAGCAAACGTGAAATTGGCATTTTCTGTTCAGCCATTTTAGGTGTTAGAAAATCCGATAACTCCGGTGCAGTCTGAGAAACAGGAAGAGGGTGAAGGCGGTAAACACATCCCATTGGTTCGTTGGAGATGAACGAATCCCATTGGTCTGTTTTTATCGGTTCGGCCCAAAATATTTGTTATACATTTTTGTAGACTATAGACATCTGGTCAATTCCCTCACTATTTGAAAACACATGAAAACACTATTAAACAGACATTTTTTCCGTGTTTTGGCCTCAAAGCAGCACCAGTAGCTCTGATTCATGTGTTTTTTTCTTTCGCAGATGTGTTCGGCCAACTACACGTTCATCCCGTACATGGTGACCCCACATGGTAAAGTGTTCTGCTGTGAGAGCAGCCTGATGAAGAGCCTGACGGAGCTCATGCAGCCCAGCTTCGAGATGCTGCTGGGTCCCATCTGCAGACCTCTGTTGGACCGGTTCCTGCAGCTGCTCAGGGAGTCCCAGGCCAACTGCTGGTGAGACGGTTACCATGGTTACCTCATGTTTAATTATAGTAACTTTACTTTTTATTATCAGTCGCTTTTAGAATTATGTAATTGTTTGGATGGATGGATGGGTTTCTGCTGCTGGATACCACAGAGACCAGAGAGAAAGACCAGAGAGAGAGAGACCAGAGAGAGAGAGACCACAGAGAGAGAGAGAGACCAGAGAGAGACCAGATAGAGACCACAGAGAGAGAGATACCACAGAGAGAGACTACAGATAGAGGGAGAGAGAGAGACCACAGAGAGAGAGAGAGACCAGAGAGAGACCACAAAGAGAGAGAGACCACAGAGAGAGACTACAGAGAGAGGGAGAGAGAGACCAGAGAGAGAGACCAGATAGAGACCACCGAGAGAGACCAGAGAGAGAGAGACCAGATAGAGACCACAAAGAGAGAGAGACCAGGGAGAGAGACCAGAGAGAGACCAGGGAGAGAGACCAGGGAGAGAGACCAGAGAGAGAGACCAGAGAGAGAAACCAGATAGAGACCACAGAGAGAGACCAGAGAGAGAGAGACCAGATAGAGACCACAAAGAGAGAGAGACCAGGGAGAGAGACCAGAGAGAGAGACCAGAGAGAGAGACCAGAGAGAGAGACCAGAGAGAGAGACCAGAGAGAGAGACCAGAGAGAGAGACCAGAGAGAGAGACCAGAGAGAGAGACCAGAGAGAGACCAGAGAGAGACCAGAGAGAGACCAGAGAGTGTTTCAAAAATTCGAAAGGATAAAAATATGTTTTTATTTTATCCATTACTTTAGTACCCTTTTGAAAACAGCTGCAAGATATTTTACCAAAAAAGCCCAAATTTTTCCCAAAAATCCATTTGAGAGCATTTGAGAACGTACAGTTGGAATCTCATTTACCACAGAAACTATTGTCGATGAGAATCTCGCTCCTGGTTCCGCCTCGTTTTTTTCCTTTCTTTCGTTTTTTGGCGCATGTTGAACCTTGGCCTGGTGTTGGTGCTGATCCATGTTTGGGCGTCGACAAACACCGGGCCCCTGTGAAGCCGGGGCATCTGGGCTAAACGCCAGCTCCAGGCACAGTGACTATAACCGTCTCTCCTGGATCTCACATGGGCCAAAGAATATTATTACTCAAGGCAACTCAAAGGGCTGAACAAAATATTAGAATCATCTGTCATCAAGATTTTAGCTAAAGAGAGGCCAGTCCCTGTGCTACTCAGAGTCCCAGCAGGAAGCTTGTCCCTGTGCTACTCAGAGTCCCAGCAGGAGGCCTGTCCCTGTGCTCCTCAGAGTCCCAGCAGGAGGCCAGTCCCTGTGCTCCTCAGAGTCCGTGTTGGTACCAAGCTGGGTACCTCAAGTCACTTATAGCAATCACTAATGCATTTGAAATAGCTGTTAAAATATTTTTCATTTGTCTCTGGTCTCTCTCTAGTTTCTCTCTCTGGTTGCTCTCTGGCCTCTATTTCTGGTCTCTCTATGGTCTCTCTCTGGTCGCTCTCTCTGGTCTCTCTCTCTGGTCTCTCTCTGGTGTTTGTTTGTCCTTTTTTAGTCAGTTTTACTGGTATCTATCCTTTATAGTCAGTATTTCTGGTATGTGTCCTTTATAGTCAGTATTTCTGGTATGTGTCCTTTATAGTCAGTATTTCTGGTATGTGTCCTTTATAGTCACTATTACTGGTATGTATCCTTTATAGTCAGTATTTCTGGTATGTGTCCTTTATAGTCAGTATTTCTGGTATGTGTCCTTTATAGTCAGTATTACTGGTATGTATCCTTTATAGTCAGTATTTCTGGTATGTGTCCTTTATAGTCAGTATTTCAGTGAGACGATCCTGAGTGACATCAGAAGAGCGCGGGAGCTGTACTCGGGGGCGGAGCTAACCTCGGAGCTGAGCCGCATCCAACAGAGACTGGACCATGTGGAGTGTCTCTCTGACGACATCGTTATCAACCTACTGCTCACCTACAGAGACATACAGGTACCATCAACACACCTGCATGGACATACAGGTACCAGCAACACACAGGTACCATCAACACAATCCAACAGAGACTGGACCATGTGGAGTGTCTCTCTGACGATATAGTTATCAACCTGCTGCTCACCTACAGAGACATACAGGTACCATCAACACACCTGCAGGGACATACAGGTACCAGCAACACACAGGTACCATCAACACAATCCAACAGAGACTGGACCATGTGGAGTGTCTCTCTGACGACATAGTTATCAACCTACTGCTCACCTACAGAGACATACAGGTACTATCAACACACCTGCAGGGACATACAGGTACCAGCAACACACAGGTACCATCAACACACCTACAGGGACATACAGGTGCCAGCAACATGCAGGTACCAGCAACACACGGGTACCGTCAACACACCTACAGGGACATACAGGTACCATCAACACACCTGCAGGGACATACAGGTACCAGCAGCACACAGGTACCATCAACACACCTACAGGGACATACCGGTACCATCAACACACCTACAGGGACATACAGGTACCAGCAACACACAGGTACCGTCAACACACCTACAGGGACATACAGGTACCATCAACACACCTACAGAGACATATAGGTACCATCAACACACCTGCAGGGACATACAGGTACCATCAACACACAGGTACCATCAACACACCTACAGGGACATACAGGTACCATCAACACACCTGCAGGGACGTACAGGTACCAGCAACACACAGGTACCATCAACACACAGGTACCATCAACACACCTACAGGGACATACAGGTACCATCAACACACCTGCAGGGACATACAGGTACCAGCAACACACTTACAGGGACATACAGGTACCATCAACACACCTGCAGGGACATACAGGTACCAGCAACACACAGGTACCATCAACACACAGGTACAGGGCCATACAGGTACCATCAACACACCTGCAGGGACATACAGGTACCAGCAACACACCTACAGGGACATACAGGTACCAGCAACACACTTACAGGGACAAACAGGTACCATCAACACAGGTACAGGGACATACAGGTACCATCAACACACAGGTACAGGGACATACAGGTACCATCAACACACCTGCAGGGACATACAGGTACCAGCAACACACAGGTACCATCAATACACAGGGACATACAGGTACCATCAACACACCGACAGGAACATACAGGTACCATCAACAGACCTACAGGGACATACATGTACCAGCAACACACAGGTACCATCAACACACCTGCAGGGAGATACAGGTACCATCAACACACCTGCAGGGACATACAGGTACCAGCAACAAACTTACAGGGACAAGCAGGTACCATCAACACACCGACAGTACAGGGACATACAGGTACCAGCAACACACCTACAGAGACATACAGGTACTAGCAACACACCTACAGAGACATACAGATACCATCAACACACCTACAGGGACATACAGGTACCATCAACACACCTACAGAGACATACAGGTACCATCAACACACCTACAGGGACATACAGGTACCATCAACACACCTACAGGGACATACAGGTACCATCAACACACCTACAGGGACATACAGGTACCATCAACACACTTACAGACACATAACATGTCTCAGGTGTACTTGGATGCGAGGTCATGGAGAAACTTTATAGTCTGTTCTCTGAGCAGAGACCAGAAACCAGGACTAGTGTGATGGTACTTCCTGGTTCTTGTCAGGACGCTACTGCAGCGTTTTAAAGAGTTTTTGAAGTGACTTTGACGAGTAGTTTTTTCTCTGACATCAGCAAAAGTCAAGGCCGCTGCTCCTGTGTCCGCTTCTCCCTTCCTCATCGTTCTTGTCGGAGTCACATTTGTTCAGAAGCAGGACCTCCCGTGGACCGCTCAGGGCTGGTCATTTGGACTCTACGTCCCTGAACACTTCCCTGTCCCTCTCCTGCCACAGGCCACGCCATTAATCTTTCATGAGGACTAGAAACATGGAAGACGGCTGCATATTTCACCAGGAAGGAATAGAATTGAAAGGAAAGGGAAATAAACATACAGTTTGGCTGAAAGCTTCCTTTTGGTCTGTTTTTGAGATTAAAGATGCAGTCAGTGATTTTTTTCAGACGGAAAAACGTCCCTAAACCCTAAAAGTATCAAGTTATCATGTGTTTTCAAATAGTAATGGAATTGACCAGATGTCTATTGTCTCCTAAAAATAATAACAAATATTTTGGAGCGGACCAATAAAAATAAACCAATGGGATTCGTTCATCTCCAACGAACCAATGGGATGTGTTTACCGCCTTCACCCTCTTCCTGTTTCTCAGACTGCACCGGAGTTATCGGATTTTCTAAAACCTAAAATGGCTGAACAGAAAACGCCAATTTCACGTTTGCTTCACTCTCCCTGTGACAAAGAAAAGAAAATGCTGGATGTGTTTGGTTTGGTGCAGAAGGAGGGGAGGGGGGAGTGGTTTCGAGTTGGTGCTACGGCTAAGCTAACAACATCGGTTACTGCACCTTTAAGGGCGATACATAAATACCATGAATTGAAATAATGGATTTCGATTTAAGTGCAATGGTTTCTTCCTCTCGCTGTGGTGCAGGACTATGAATCCATCGTGACGCTGGTGGAGACTCTGGAGAAGCTGCCGACGTTTGACCCCATGGTCCATCCACACGTCAAGTTTCACTACGCCTTTGCCCTGAACCGGTGAGTGCCGAGACCAGAGAGAGACCAGAGAGAGACCAGAGAGAGAGACCAGAGAGAGAGACCAGAGAGAGAGACCAGAGAGAGACCAGAGAGAGACCAGAGAGAGACCAGAGAGACCAGAGAGAGAGACCAGAGAGAGACCAGAGAGAGACCAGAGAGAGACCAGAGAGAGACCAGAGAGAGGCCAGAGAGACGGCCAGAGAGAGACCAGAGAGAGAGACCAGAGAGAGAGACCAGAGAGAGAGACCAGAGAGAGAGACCAGAGAGAGACCAGAGAGAGACCAGAGAGAGAGACCAGAGAGGGAGACCAGAGAGGGAGACCAGAGAGGGAGACCAGAGAGAGAGACCAGAGAGAGAGACCAGAGAGAGAGACCAGAGAGAGAGACCAGAGAGAGAGACCAGAGAGACACCAGAGAGAGAGACCAGAGAGAGAGACCAGAGAGAGAGACCAGAGAGAGAGACCAGAGAGAGAGACCAGAGAGAGAGACCAGAGAGAGACCAGAGAGAGAGCCAGAGAGAGAGACCAGAGAGAGAGACCAGAGAGAGACCAGAGAGAGACCAGAGAGAGAGACCAGAGAGAGAGACCAGAGAGAGAGACCAGAGAGAGACCAGAGAGAGGCCAGAGAGAGGCCAGAGAGAGGCCAGAGAGAGGCCAGAGAGAGAGACCAGAGAGAGAGACCAGAGAGAGACCAGAGAGAGACCAGAGAGAGACCAGAGAGAGACCAGAGAGAGACCAGAGAGAGACCAGAGAGAGAGACCAGAGAGAGGCCAGAACAGTAGCAGCAGCAGCTAATTGTCTCTAATGGAATGACGTTGCTATGACGCTGATTGGTCGATGACGCTGATTGGTCAGTGATTGCTCGTGACAGAAAGGGCTCATGTGACATCACAACATTCCAAAGAATTAGACTTGTGTTGAAGGGCAGTAACTGTGGCAAATGTCAGAAGTCTGATTCTAAGTTTTGCTTAGAGATAATTTATCTGTAATTCCTGGAACAATCCACATGAAACAGAAGATCACAAAGTTCAAGTCTCTCTCTCTGGTGTCGTCTGGTCTCGCTCTGGTCTCTCTGGTCTCTCTCTCTCTGGTCTCTCTCTGGTCTCTCCCTCTATGGTCTCTCTCTCTCTCTCCCTGGTCTCTCTCTTTGGACTCTCTCTGGTCTCTCTCTCTGGTCTCTCTCTCTCTCTCTCTCTCTGGTCTTTCTCTCTGGTCTCTCTCTCTCTCTGGTCTCTCTCTCTCTCTGGTCTCTCTCTCTGGTCTCTCTCTCTCTCTCTCTCTCTCTCTGGTCTCTCTCTCTGTCCCTCTCTGGTCTCTCTCTCGCTCTCTCTCTGGTCTCTCTCTCTGGTCTCTCTCTCTCTCTCTCTCTCTCTGGTTTGCCCAGTGACTGCATCCATCATGGCGGAATCCCCAATAAAACTCTCTTTGAGGAAGTCTTTTCAAATCAAATTTCCGGCCTCTCTCTCTCTCCTGTTTTCCTCGTGAGAAATGAACAAACGCTCTCTCCATCAGCCTCCCTTTGGACCGTCTCCATGGTAATAGCTGTCGGCTCATATGTTTTATTCAACCTTGGCACACAGCACAGATTCTCGTCGTTATGTTTATCACCTCTTTTTTCTTCTTTTACTTGTCGTCGGAGGTGACACTGTGCGAGCGCGAGACTTTGTTATTTCACCAAACGACAAACAGCAGAGAGAGAAACACATCATTTTAACAAGAGGCAAGAAAAGATGAAAAATCACAGGAGGAAATTCACTGGTGGCGTGTGAGAGACCAGAGAGAGAGACCAGAGAGAGACCAGAGAGAGAGAGACCAGAGAGAGACCAGAGAGAGAGAGACCAGAGAGAGACCAGAGAGAGAGAGACCAGAGAGAGACCAGAGAGAGAGACCAGAGAGAGAGACCAGAGAGAGACCAGAGAGAGAGAGACCAGAGAGAGACCAGAGAGAGACCAGAGAGAGACCATAGAGAGACCATAGAGAGACCAGAGAGAGAGACCAGAGAGAGACCAGAGATAGAGAGACCAGAGAGAGACCAGAGAGAGAGAGACCAGAGAGAGAGAGACCAGAGAGAGACCAGAGAGAGAGAGACCAGAGAGAGACCAGAGAGAGACCAGAGAGAGACCAGAGAGAGACCAGAGAGAGACCAGAGAGAGACCAGAGAGAGACCAGAGAGAGAGACCAGAGAGAGACCAGAGAGAGAGAGACCAGAGAGAGACCAGAGAGAGAGAGACCAGAGAGAGAGACCAGAGAGAGAGAGACCAGAGAGAGACCAGAGAGAGAGAGACCAGAGAGAGAGAGAGACCAGAGAGAGACCAGAGAGAGACCAGAGAGAGACCAGAGAGAGACCAGAGAGAGACCAGAGAGAGACCAGAGAGAGAGAGAGAGAGAGAGAGAGAGAGAGCCAGAGAGAGAGAGACCAGAGAGAGAGAGACCAGAGAGAGAGAGACCAGAGAGAGGCCAGAGAGAGGCCAGAGAGAGACCAGAGAGAGACCAGAGAGAGACCAGAGTGAGAGACCAGAGTGAGAAACCAGAGAGGGAGAGACCAGAGAGGTAGAGACCAGAGAGGGAGAGACCAGAGAGAGAGAGAGACCATTGAGAGCGAGACCAGAGAGAGACCAGAGAGAGAAACCCGGGAGAGAGAGACCAGATGGAAAGAGACCAGCGGGAAAGCTCAGAGGGAGATTACAGAAAGAACAGGGAGAGACCAGAATGAGACCAGAGTGAGAAAGACTAGAGCGAGACACCAGAGAGACTAGAGAGAGATTTGAGAGACCAGAGCAAGACCAGAGAGAGAAAGAGAGACTAGAGTCATAGAAACCATGTATTATGACATTATTTTCAGTCAGCTTTGTAGCTAAATGCCTAAGAATGCCTAATTTCAACTTCATATCAAAATTTCAAATCAGTCGGATTCCAAATGTGTTTTTGCAGTGGCATTTTCAGAAGAGCGTACATGGTTATTGTCTTATTGTCTTTACTGCCTCACTACTTTCTCATGACTAACATTTAACCTCGAGTGTTGTTGCAGCTGGAACCTCGGAGTCTCACATCTCTCAAAGACAATCGTTACTGCTGCTCATAACAACAACACAGTCACATGGGGAGGAGCTCGGAGAAGAGCCGCTTCTTCTCCACTTCCACAGGGCATCTATTTGGGATGCCTTCTAGACGCCTCCCTGTGGAGCTAAAAGAGATTTTATACTAGCTTCTTTATTATGCTAGACTGGCCTTATCCATCCGTACTCTCCGCTCCATCATCATGTCCTGCATGTAACGTCTGGGTCTGGTCCCTGTGTTTGCGATTACAATCTGTTGAATTCCATCCGACCAATCAGAGAGCGCGGGAGGCGGGTGTTGTAGTTAGTTGTGGAAGACGTCAAGAGTTTGAGCCGAACAGGCAGGTTGTAGTTTGGCGAAAAATGCGATAGTAAAGTAATCCGGTCTGGTTCTATCAAGAAACTGAAGCCGGAGCAAGAGGAATGTTTAGCAAATGTAATCGCTGAAAAAGATTTGCACTTTAATGATTTGCACTTGTTTTGAAACTGTTTTAGTCGATCGATTTCACAGTGACATTTGTTTACTGTTTTATTTGTTTTATTTCTGTCTTTTATTGTCTGTATTTGTCTGTGCACACTGGAGACTTTTGCTAATGTATTCCAATGTGGTTTTTTTACTGCAAATGGCAAATAAACTGAATCTGAATCTGAATCTGAGATTGTGGCTCTTCTCCCCACGGGCTCCGTTAGCTGCAAAGATGATGGCTAAAGCTAGGCTAAATGCTAACGACTCGCTCGGGCCCATTACATATGTGACGTAAACTCAGGTCCAATGGTTTCAATCTGCAAAAGGAGTTAACCCCTCCCACCTGTTCACGGAGTCAATGGAGCAAATCCAGACCTTTGTATGAAATGTAATCTGTACTATGGTGTGGTACGACCAGGCTTTTATTTTGCTAAATAGATGTTATTTTAGTGCAGAGTTACTGTTCATTTATCTTGTGCTGTGTGCTCCTCACTCCTGCTGCTCTGTACCTGCTGATGCAACACTGGCATTTCCCCGCTGTGGGACCAATAAAGGATCTCTTCATCTTAATCTTAAACTGTGAATGAAGCCATCTGATTGGTCAATCCTTTTATGGCTCTTACCTGGATTTAAAAAGACAATATAACTAATTAAACACTGGGACACAAACGGTGACTGAGCTCGAGGAGTAAAACGTCTAACTTCCTTATCGGGCTTCATTGAGCTAGCGGGTCAGCGGCGGCACGGTGGCTGAGTGGATAGCACTCTCGCCTCTCAGCAAGAAGGTCCTGGGTTCGAATCCCGGTCGGACCAGGGCCTTTCTGAGTGGAGTTTGCATGTTCTCCCCGTGTCTGCGTAGGTTTCCTCCGGGTACTCCGGTTTCCCCTACCACTAAAAATATGTACAATAGGTCTAGCATGTGCCTCCTGTACTGGCCCCTCCCATCTCTGTGTGGAGTAAGAGACAAATGCCCAAAAATGTACAATTGTAAACCGCTTTGTGACTCTGGTCTGTGAAAGGCGGTATATAAATAAAGATTACTTACTAATTACTTACATTGTCCGTTTATATACAATGTGTGTGTGTGTGTGTGTGTCTGTGTGATGCAGGAGGAACCTTCCTGGAGACCGGCAGAAGGCCCTGGACATCATGCTGCCGCTGGTGGAGGGGGAGGAGCAGGTGGCCTCGGACATTTACTGTCTGGTCGGACGCATTTACAAGGACAAGTTCCTGGAGTCGCACTTCACCGACACCGAGAGCCGGGACAGCAGCACACTCTGGTAACTCTACGCGCCGCTCACTCACTAAAAAACCATTGTTAAATCCACTCACGGGGACCTCCGGTTCTGGACGTACAGCGTGTGGAGAGAGCAGAGAGACTCACAGATGAAGTGTGAGGAGACGAGAACTGACTCACAAAGTCACATTTACATATGAACACACACACACACACACAGAGAGACGCACACACGCACACAGACAGACAGATAGACATACACACACACACACACACACACACAGACAGACAGACAGACAGACATACACACACACACAGAGAGAGACACACACACGCACACAGACAGACAGACACAGACATAGACACACAGACAGACATAGACATAGACACACAAACACAGACAGACATAGACACACAAACCCACACACAGACAAACACACAGACAGACACAGACGTAGACACACAAACACACACACACATTCAGACACAGACAAACACACGTATACACAGAGAAACACACTCACACATACTCAGACACACACAAACACAGACATACAGACACATACAGTTCAGACACAGACAGACACACACACACACACACACACACAGACACACACAGATATGAAGTATCAGGCTGACGTGGTCCCCTTCATTCTTTAATTTACCAAAAACAGTTACTGAGTGGTTCGAGAACATTTCGATCATTACTGTAATTTCCAGACTAGAAGCCGTTACTTTTTTCCGTTTCTGCCCCGACTTGAACTCCCACAGGAGTCGTTTTGACGGCTCCCATTTCCACCAGTTATATTTAAAAGATACTGAGCTCTAAAACTGGAGAATAAAACTTAAAGTGATTGTCTGGAGTTTGTCAGAAAGAGAGACAGAGAGGTACTTGATTTGAAAAAAACGACGCAAGCTCCTCCCCCTTCCTTTCTGATTGGTCAACACCTACGTTTCCGTAACACTTTGAAATGTTAATCAGAGAACACATTATACATAAACATTATTAATACACATGCACGGAGGTTTTCAGAATTATTTGTGAACGTTTTAATGAAAAAAAAAATGTTTTTATGCACACAAAAAAGCGATTGCGGCAAACCAGGAAGTGCTATTATCATAAATTGCACATTATAGAACACATCTGCAGAGGATCTGATTATGGATATAGGTTCAGTATATACATGATTATGGATATATGTTCAGTATATAAATGATTATGGATATAGGTTCATATATAAATGATTATGGATATAGGTTCAGTATATACATGATTATGGATATAGGTTCATATATAAATGATTATGGATATAGGTTCAGTATATAAATGATTATGGATATATGTTCATATATAAATGATTATGGATATATGTTCATATATACATGATTATGGATATATGTTCATATATAAATGATTATGGATATAGGTTCATATATAAATGATTATGGATATATGTTCAGAATATACATAAGTACCTCAGCGCGGATGTTCAGAATTCTTTGTTCAGTTTTCATGTAGTTCCAGAGCCTAATAGAGGCTCCGCAGAAACAAACAACTGAGCATGAGCAGCTGCGAGCATCAGCGCCGATGATTGACAGCCCTTGGCATGACTCGATTGGTTAACCTCAACGTCACCGTGGATTCTGAACTATAGCTAAGAGCAGGGAAGGCGGGACTTGCCCGTAATATTAGAACTAATAAAATGACTTATTTTATATCAACATTTAAGGCCAGGAGGTCAATTTAACCCATTTCCTAAAATTTGTAATTCATTTAGAGTTACAGACTATCACTTTAAATACATCAAAAAAGAGTGTTGAAACGCTAATGCTAACAACTGCAAGTAAACAGTGAGTTGCTATGGTAACAAGCACTATAGCATTTCTCCGGTGGAAAACCATCGGACTCAGAACCAGTCCAGGACCAGTCTCAAACCAGTCCAAGACCTGTCAGTTTTTTGGGAATTCTGAAAAATGTCCCAAAAAGTGGTGGGTTTGTTTCAAAGTAAATAATTCAGTAGTAAGTGTTGTCTACAGCTGCTTAATAGTCCGTAAGTTGAACCTGGTCCCGGTGAACGCAGCTTTAGCAGATTCTGTATCGTTCGTACATGTTTTGCCCTTTCTTCCACTGAGCGCCTTGTTTGCTTTTCTTGATGTACTTTTCGTTTCCTCTGAGGCAGAAAGATGCAAATGTGAGAATCCAATATTCTGAAGCGCCTCCTGCTGTTTGTGGAGATTGTTTGTGAGATGAGTGTGTGGTTGGAGAGAATATGCTGCTTGTATAATCGTGCTCCATCTGCCCGAGTGATCCTCGTCCAACACACAGAGCTAATCAGACGCTCCCCACAGATGCTCGTTAAATAAATGACATTTCTTCCTTTGGCTCTGAGCAGCAGCTCCTTGTTCTGAGGCAACGGCTCACTACGGCTCACTACGGCTCAGTATGGAACTGATGGAACTGATGCTTTTGTCAATGTTCCTGATGTAGAACTGGACGGACCAGTCACTGAGGAGCTACAGCCCTATTTCTACTCTACTCTACTCTACTCTACTCTACTCTGCTCTGCTCTACTCTGCTCTACTCTGCTCTACTCTACTCTACTCTGCTCTGCTCTACTCTACTCTACTCTGCTCTACTCTACTCTACTCTACTCTACTCTGCTCTGCTCTGCTCTACTCTACTCTGCTCTACTCTACTCTACTCTACTCTACTCTGCTCTGCTCTACTCTACTCTACTCTACTCTACTCTGCTCTACTCTACTCTACTCTACTCTACTCTACTCTGCTCTGCTCTACTCTACTCTACTCTGCTCTACTCTACTCTACTCTACTCTACTCTACTCTACTCTGCTCTACTCTACCCTACCCTGCTCTACTCTACTCTGCTCTGCTCTACTCTACTCTACTCTACTCTACTCTACTCTACTCTACTCTACTCTGCTCTGCTCTGCTCTACTCTACTCTACTCTGCTCTACTCTACCCTACCCTGCTCTACTCTACTCTGCTCTGCTCTGCTCTACTCTACTCTACTCTACTCTACTCTACTCTACTCTGCTCTGCTCTGCTCTGCTCTACTCTACTCTACTCTACTCTACTCTGCTCTACTCTACCCTACCCTGCTCTACTCTACTCTGCTCTGCTCTGCTCTACTCTGCTCTACTCTACTCTACTCTACTCTACTCTACTCTACTCTCTCTACTCTACTCTGCTCTACTCTACTCTACTCTGCTCTGCTCTGCTCTACTCTGCTCTACCCTGCTCTACTCTGCTCTGCTCTGCTCTACTCTACTCTACTCTACTCTGCTCTACTCTACTCTACTCTACTCTGCTCTACTCTATTCTACTCTACTCTACTCTACTCTACTCTGCTCTACTCTATTCTACTCTACTCTACTCTACTCTGCTCTGCTCTACTCTACTCTGCTCTACTCTACTCTACTCTACTCTACTCTACTCTGCTCTACTCTACTCTACTCTACTCTACCCTAACCTACGCTACCCTACGCTACTCTACTCTACCCTAACCTACCCTAACCTACGCTACTCTACTCTACTCTACTCTACCCTAACCTACCCTACCCTACGCTACTCTACTCTACTCTACTCTACTCTACCCTACCCTAACTTACTCTTCTCTCTCTCTCTGGGATCTCTGGATCCCAGAGAGAGGTCTCTCTCTGGGATCCAGATCCAAGATGGCTGCTGCAGTGACAAGCAGGAATGTTCAGCTCTGACAATCCATTAAATATCAACCAGGAAACGTGCCATCCGGTCTTAACTTTAAGTTTTCTGAGTTAATGTAGATATTCCCCAATCATCCTGGGAAATATTTTGGCACCGAGTATATCTGGAAGATTGTTTTTCGTATGACACTTTTGGGACAGCCTCCTGAGTCTGGATACTGAGCTGTTTACCTCAACAACAGAACAAAAAATACTGAACCATGGCAAAGAAGCTGGCAGAAGATATGGAGGAGGTGAAAAAATCATTAAACTTCATGACAGAAGAATTAAATTCTGTAGTAAAACAAAAAGACTTACTGAAGTTAATTGATGAAGTGCGGCAACTAAAAGATACAGTCAAAGAAAAGGACAAGAAGATTGAAGAGCTACAAAGAAGAGTGGATGACTTAGAACAATACACAAGGATGGATGACCTGGTGATATCTGGATTGGTGACAAAACATGGCACCTATGCCAGAGCCACTGCAAGTGACAGAGATGGTGAAGATGCACCAACAGGTGAATTGCACACCCTTGAACATCAAGTTATCCACTTCTTTAACAGTAAAGACATCCCCCTAGAAAGTAAAAATATTTCTGCATGCCACACAATCCCTCAGAAACAAGGGACTATTCCAAAAATTATCTTGAGATTAGCCAATCGCAAACATAAAGTTGAAGTCCTAAAGTTAACAAAAAAGCTAAGGGGCACAGGTGTGTACGTGAATGAACATCTCACAAGAAAAAATGCTGAGATTGCTTATCAGGCACGACTGCTAAAAAAACAAAAGAAGATTCAAGATACATGGACAAGAAATTGCAAAGTTATGATCAAACTCACTGGTTCGCAGGAGCAAGCCAAGATAATCACAATACGCGAATGCGAAGACTTGGACCAGTTCAGATAAGTTCACAAATGGCTTGGATACTGACAAAGTAAAAAACAAGATGGAGGAATCAACAGACTTCAAGGCTTTTGAGTACCAGGAATACAAGCCCTATGATTTAGAAACAGACATTGATCCTGATGGTTATTTGTCTGAGAAATTGAACCTGGACTGTAGCTATTATTCTGAAAACGAAATTAAAGCATCAACAGATGAATTTTCTTTGATCCATTTTAATAGTAGGAGTCTCTATAAAAACATTAACAAAATAAAAGACTATTTAAGTGGATTTAAGTTCAATTTTAGTGTTGTAGCAGTGTCCGAAACTTGGTTGCACAATGATAAGTTGGATTTTGAACTGGAAGGTTATGATTTATTTAAACAAAATCGGACAAACAAAAAGGGGGGAGGAGTTGCCCTCTTTGTAAAAAATGGTATAAAATGCAACATTATTAAGGATATGACATTTGCCGTAGATGAGCTACTCGAGTGTGTTTCTGTTGAGATTCAAAATGAATTGGTTAAGAAAAGTATTATAATTAGCTGTATCTATAGGACTCCTGGATCATGTATTGATGAATTTAATAGCAAATTATCTGAGTTATACTGTAAGCAAATTAACAAAAGTCTATTAGTATGTGGTGATTTTAATATTGATTTATTGAAATCCAGTGAACACATAAAAACAATGGATTTTGTAAACAACATGTTTGGTTTGGGTATGTACCCTTTAATATCAAAACCAAGCAGAATTACAAAGGACAGCGCCACATTGATTGATAATATCTTTCTCAACTTAATGGACAAAAAAATTCAAAGTGGACTACTTTTAACAGATATAAGTGATCATTTGCCAGTTTTTGTGGTTTTTGAAATGAAATGTAAGATTCATAGAGTAGATAACTATAAATTAGAGCGAATTAGACACCAAGAAAGCATTGAGGCCCTTAAAGTTGAGCTTTATAATCATGATTGGAGTGAGGTTTATGTTGAAGATGTGAATGAATCATATAATGCTTTTCTCAAAACTTTTATGTCACTGTATGATCACTTTTGTCCAGTGAGGGAGGTTAAATCAAGACACAAATGGAAACTAAATCCGTGGATGACTAGAGGTCTGCATAAATCTTGTAAAAAGAAAAACCAATTGTATAAAACATTCATAAAACAGCCAACCAAAAAAAATGAAGAAAAGTATAAACTCTATAGAAATAGATTGATAACCATAATTCGACAACAGAAGGTGAACTATTATGGCACACTGCTGCAAAAGTATAAATCTAATGTTAAAGAAACTTGGGGTGTAATTAAGGAGGTAATTGATCAGCATCATCCCAAGGATCAATTTGCATACATAGTCAAAAATGATGGCAAAGAAACAAATCATGTGCAAGAGATCGCAAATGAATTTAATACATTCTTTGTCAATGTTGGTCCAAACTTGGCTAAACGAATACAACATACTCATGCAGCAGAGGCCTGTTCTGACAATAATAACAATTCCATGTTTCTTAGGGCCGTACTTGAAAGTGATATTTTAGAAGTGGTCAGGAAATGTAAAAATAAGAGATCAACTGATTGTAATAATATAGACATGTCATTGATAAAAGTGGTAATTCATAGTAATTGTTAAGCCTCTAACATATGTCTGCAATAGATCTTTTATAACAGGAACCTTCCCTGAGAAAATGAAGCTGGCCAAAGTCCTCCCAATCTTTAAAGATGGTAAAAAGTGTTTGTTAACCAACTACAGACCAATCTCCTTATTGGATCAATTTTCTAAAATTCTGGAAAAATTATTTGTCAAACAACTAGACTGTTTCTTAGAAAAAAATGATATATTGAGTGATCAACAATATGGATTCCGCAGTAACAGATCTACATCCCTAGCAGTCATGGACATGATAGAAAATGTAACCTCAGCCGTTGACAAAAAAGAAAATATAATTGGAATATTTATAGACTTGCAAAAAGCATTTGACACCATTGATCATAAACTACTTCTAGAGAAATGCAATGGTTATGGTATCAGAGGTGTGGTGAATAAATGGCTTGAGAGTTACCTGAATAATAGACGTCAATATGTCCAAATTAATAGAACTAAATCACATTCTGAAACATTACTTTGTGGAATCCCCCAGGGGTCTGTTTTGGGGCCTAAATTTTTTATTCTTTATTTTAATGACATCTGCAAAGTATCAAAAATACTGAAGTTAGTGATTTTTGCTGACGATACTAATTTGTTTTGCTCAGGGTATGACATGAATAAGTTGATTGAACAGGTTGAAACCGAGTTGACTTTAGTTAAAAAATGGTTTGACTTAAACAAGTTATCATTAAATGAGAATAAAACAAAATTCATGATTTTTGGACCCTGTAGAGCTCATTCTAATATAAGATTGTACTGGAATGGGATTGAAATAGAGCGAGTCAATCAGATTAGATTTTTAGGGGTGATTATTGATCACCAGATCAGCTGGAAACCACATATACAATATGTCAAGAGTAAAATATCAAAAACAATTGGTATACTTTATAAAACTAAACATGTGTTGGATATTAAATCTCTGCATATAGTTTATTCTTCACTTGTGCTTCCCTATTTGTCTTACTGTTCAGAGATCTGGGGAACCACTTATAAAACACATATAGATCCTATAATTAAAGTACAAAAAAGGGCAGTACGTTTAATAAATAAAGTGGGTTATCGTGACTCTACTAACCAACTTTTTATAGAACATAACATGCTAAAATTTACGGACATAGTTAAGTTAAAAATTTTAGAAATCTTATTCAGAGTTGTAAAAACCAAAGAGATTCCTGTAGGTATTCAGTCTTTCTTCAAAATAAGAAAAAGTTGCTATAATCTGAGAGGTTTTCTTCAGTTGGAAACAAGAAAATCCAGAACTAACGTTAAAAGTAGATGTGTGTCTGTCATTGGAGTAAAAATGTGGAATAATCTTAATGACCAGCTTAAGTTAATTGATACATTATCATTATTTAAAACTACCTTAAAATGTGAAATAATTAAGTCATATATCTTGTCTTAGAAGTAATAATAATAAAGATATAACAAAAAGAAATTGAAAAAAATAAAAATACATTGTTCTACCAAATGTGTAATTTATCTTTTAAATCAGTAATGTGTACTTTTTTGTTTGTTTGTTTATATAGTTGCTGTGTAGTAGCTAATGACCTGTATGTGTCATGATGTCAGGTTGGGCTTATACAAGCAAGTTGCTTCAGCCCAATCCTATTTTTGGTTGTAATATAGTCAGTGAATGTAATGTGTTATTGATCAAACAACTGACCAAAAATAAAAATTTCATTCATTCATTCTCTACCCTACCCTACCCTACTCTACTCTACGCTACTCTACTCTACCCTACCCTACGCTACTCTACTCTACTCTACTCTACCCTACGCTACTCTACTCTACTCTACTCTACTCTACTTTACTCTACCCTACTCTACTCTACCCTACCCTAACCTACCCTACCCTACGCTACTCTACTCTACTCTACCCTACCCTAACTTACTCTTTTCTACCCTACCCTACTCTACTCTAATCTACTCTATGCTACTCTACTCTACCCTACCCTACTCTACGCTACTCTACTCTACCCTCCTCTACTCTACTCTACCCTACGCTACTCTACTCTACTCTACTCTACTCTACTCTACTCTACTCTACTCTACTCTACCCTACCCTAACTTACTCTTCTCTACCCTACCCTACGCTACGCTACTCTACTCTACTCTACTCTACTCTGCTCTGCTCTGCTCTGCTCTGCTCTGCTCTACTCTACTCTACTCTACTCTACTCTACTCTACTCTACTCTACTCTACTCTACTCTACTCTACTCTACTCTACTCTACTCTACTCTACTCTACTCTACTCTACTCTACTCTACTCTACTCTACCCTACGCTACTCTACCCTACCCTACGCTACTCTACTCTACCCTCCTCTACTCTACTCTACTCTACTCTACTCTACCCTACGCTACTCTACTCTACCCTACTCTACCTTACCCTACCTTACTCTATTCTACTCTACCCTACTCTACCTTACCCTACCCTCCTCTACTCTACTCTACTCTACTCTACCCTACCCTACCCTACGCTACTCTACTCTACCCTACTCTACCTTACTCTACCTTTCCCTACCCTACTCTGCCCTATCCAGAATTGCAATATATCGCAGAATAAAAAAGCAATACTCACTACATCACAGTATCTTAAGTAGGGTAGGGTTGCGTAGGTGAGAGTAGAGTGTATTTACCAACACTTATCACCTCTGTCACCACTCTGCTGTTCACATAAACACACTGGGATGCAGGAATGTCTGTGTCTCTTCCTGCACCTCCAAATAAAACCTCGGCTGCATCGCTTCAGATCGCAAAGATTAAAAGAACTTGGAAAAAAGAAGCGGCTTATAGTCCGTCAAGTTCTGAACAAATAATTTCAGGCAAAGCGATGAATCCATAATCTAATGTGTTTTTTAATATCTAATATAATATGTTTGTTATGTTACAGGTTCAAAAAGGGGTTTGAGTCTGAGCCGACGCTTCACTCTGGGATCAACTACGCCGTTCTGCTGCTGGCGGCCGGACACCAGTTTGACACGTCTTTCGAGCTGCGGAAAGTGGGTGAGTGACTTAAACTAAAAAGAAAGTACTAGAATTTATGGATGTGTAAAAAATATACAAAATAATGAAGGCCCTATGTCTGCAAAGATACTTTCTCTGTTGAGTTGTCCTGTGCACAATGACATCTCTCTGGTCTCTCTCTGGTCTCTCTCTCTGGTCTCTCTCTGGTCACTCTCTCTGGTCTCTCTCTGGTGTCTCCGTCTTGTCTCTCTCTGGTCTCTCTCTGCTCTGTCTCTGGTGTCTCTTTGGTCTCTCTCTGGTCTCTCTCTGGTCTCTCTCTCTGGTCTCTCTCTGGTCACTCGCTCTGGTCTCTCTCTGGTCTCTCTCTCTGGTCTCTCTCTCTAGTCTCTCTTAGGTCTCTCTCTCTGGTCTCTCTATGGTCTCTCTCTGATGTCTCTCTCTGGTCTCCTCTGGTGTCTCTGTCTAGTCTCTCTCTGGTCACTCTCTCTGGTCTCTCTCTGGTCTCTCTCTCTGGTCTCTCTCTCTGGTCTCTCTATGGTCTCTCTCTGATGTCTCTCTCTGGTGTCTCTGTCTAGTCTCTCTCTGGTCTCTCTCTGGTCTCTCTCTGGTCTCTCTCTCTGGTCTCTCTGGTCTCTCTCTCTGGTCTCTCTCTCTCTGGTCTCTCGCTGGTCTCTCTCTGGTCTCTCTCTCTGGTCTCTCTCTCTGGTCTCTCTCTGGTCTCTCTCTCTGGTCTCTCTCTCTATGGTCTCTCTCTGATGTCTCTCTCTGGTGTCTCTGTCTAGTCTCTCTCTGGTCTCTCTCTGGTCTCTCTCTCTGGTCTCTCTCTGGTCTCTCTCTCTGGTCTCTCTCTCTCTGGTCTCTCTCTGGTCTCTCTCTGGTCACTCTCTCTGGTCTCTCTCTCTGGTCTCTCTCTGGTCTCTCTCTCTGGTCTCTCTCTCTATGGTCTCTCTCTGATGTCTCTCTCTGGTGTCTCTGTCTAGTCTCTCTCTAGTCTCTCTCTGGTCTCTCTCTGGTCTCTCTCTCTGGTCTCTCTCTCTCTGGTCTCTCTCTGGTCACTCTCTCTGGTCTCTCTCTGGTCTCTCTCTCTGGTCTCTCTCTGGTGTCTCTGTCTAGTCTCTCTCTGGTCTCTCTCTCTGGTCTCTCTCTGGTCTCTCTCTCTGGTCTCTCTCTGGTCTCTCTCTCTGGTCTCTCTCTGGTCTCTCTCTGGTCTCTCTCTGGTCACTCTCTCTGGTCTCTCTCTCTGGTCTCTCTCTGGTCTCTCTCTCTGGTCTCTCTCTGGTCTCTCTCTCTGGTCTCTCTCTGGTCTCTCTCTCTGGTCTCTCTCTCTGGTCTCTCACACTACATTAATATATCCTGCTGTGACTTATACTCAAATGAGGCAGAGAATTAGTGTAAAATGAGTGGATTATAATGCTTTTTCCCTTCTTGTGGTCTGCTGTGTTGTGTTGTGTTGTGGTGTGTTGTGGTGTGTTGTGGTCTGCTGTGTTGTGTTGTGTTGTGGTGTGTTGTGGTCTGCTGTGTTGTGGTGTGTTGTGGTCTGCTGTGTTGTGGTGTGTTGTGGTGTGTTGTGGTCTGCTGTGTTGTGGTGTGTTGTGGTCTGCTGTGTTGTGGTGTGTTGTGGTCTGCTGTGTTGTGTTGTGGTGTGTTGTGGTCTGCTGTGTTGTGGTGTGTTGTGTTGTGGTGTGTTGTGTTGCAGGAGTGAAGCTGAGCAGTCTGCTGGGTAAGAAGGGCAGCCTGGATAAGCTGCAGAGCTACTGGGACGTGGGCTTCTTCCTGGGGGCCAGTATTTTGGCCTGTGACAACACTCGGGTCATTCAGGCATCGGAGAAACTCTTCAAACTCAAAGCTCCCATTTGGTAAAGAGCCGCCTGTGTGTGTGTCTGGTCTCTTTCTGGGCTCTCTCTGTTCTGACTCTCTCTGCTCTCTCTCTAGTCTTTCTGGTTTCTCTATGGTCTTTTTGGTTTCTCTATGGTCTCTCTCTTTGGTCTCTCTCTCTCTGGTCTCTCTGGTTTCTCTCTGGTCTCACTCTCTCTGGTCTCTCTCTCTCTGGTTTCTCTCTCTGGTTTCTCTCTGATCTCTGGTCTCACTCTCTCTGGTTTCTCTCTCTGGTTTCTCTCTCTGGTTTCTCTCTCTGGTTTCTCTCTGATCTCTCTCTGATCTCTCGCTCTGGTCTCTCTCTGGTCTCTCTTTCTGGTGTCACTCTCTGGTCTCTCTCTCTGGTCTCACTCTCTCTGGTCTCTCTCTCAGTTCTCTCTCTCTGGTCTCTCTCTCTGGTCTCTTCAGCAGTCATGATTTGAGGTGGTTTGTAAAGTATACAGTATAAAGTGTGAGGGTTTTACAGCCTTAAAATATCACTTATTGCGATAAATACAATATATATAAGTTCCGTCTCTATAAACTATGAATACTATGAACTTCTTTCATATAATTTCCAGAACAGACGTGTGTCAAATATCCTGATCTTTGCAACATTTAGCTTGTTTTTTTCTCCAATTGTTTGATTTTAAGACATTTAAAGACAGCACTGGTTCCACATCTGTCCCATCAGCTCATTATGCTTTCTACAGCTGTGAAAACCAAATGAAAGTCTCTGTGACAGACAGGAGCTGGTGGAAACACAATCACACAATCCTGTTCGATCACATAATCTGCTTTGATCTGTGTTTAAGACCTTATCGCACAAACAAACGCACACATGCTAATTATCAGATCACCTGTCGACACAAAACCAGACGACTGCTTCGGATTGTTGGAGTTTAGGTTTTTCAAATCCAACAATAACAATCTTTCTTCATCCTGTTAGAAGTCATGTTATCATGTCATAGCCTGTGTGTGTGTGTGTGTGTGAATGCATTTGTGTGTATGTTTGTTAAAAAAAAAAAAAAAAAATGCTTCTGTTGTGGCTCCATCTTCTGTTGTGGTTCCATCTTCTGTTGTGGTTCCATCTTCTGTTGTGGCTCCATCTTCTGTTGTGGTTCCATCTTCTGTTGTGGTTCCATCTTCTGTTGTGGCTCCATCTTCTGTTGTGGTTCCATCTCCTGTTGTGGTTCCAGGTATCTGCGATCTCTGGTAGAGACCATCGTGATCTACCAACATTTCAAAAAGCCGGGGACGGAGCAGCCGGCCCCAAAACAGGAGCTGGTGGACTTCTGGATGGACTTCCTGGTGGAGGCCACGAAGAAGGACGTGTCTTCAGTCAGATTCCCGGTAAAAGAGAGTCATATTTATGGTTTATTGTCAGGTAGAACCTTCTGTGTGTCCTCTAACAACATGGTGTCAGAACCTGCAGACCTACAGAGGGGAGTACCCCAAGGCTTCGTTATTGGGCCTATTTTGTTTATGATGTACCAGCTCCCTCGAGGCTGATCCAACAGTTCAGTGAGGTCTCCCACCACCTGTATGCAGACGATCTCCTGCTGAACAGCTCTTTTAACCCTCTGAACCCCAGAGACTGGTTTATCTCACTAACTGTCTAGACAGAATAAAGATATGGCTTAGTGACAATAGCCTCCAGCTGAACTCTGGTAAAACAGAAACCTTAGTTGTAGCCCCGGACAATATTGTGCCTGTCATTACTCAGCACCTTGGTTACCTAAGCAGCTCAGTGAAAAAGAGTCTGAGAAACCTTGGAGCCACTTTTGATGAAGGGATGTCCCTAGAACGACACACAGCATGGTCAGGGCACTTCATGGTCAGGGCACTTCATGGTCAGGGCACTTCATGGTCAGGGCACTTCATGGTCAGGGCACCATGATCAGGGCACTTCATGGTCAGGGCACTTCATGGTCAGGGCACCATGGTCAGGGCACTTCATGGTCAGGGCACTTCATGGTCAGGGCACTTCATGGTCAGGGCACTTCATGGTCAGGGCACCATGGTCAGGGCTCTTCATGGTCAGGGCTCTACATGGTCAAGGCACTTCATGGTCAAGGCACTTCATGGTCAGGGCACTTCATGGTCAGGGCACTTCATGGTCAGGGCTCTTCATGGTCAGGGCACTTCATGGTCAGGGCACTTCATGGTCAGGGCACCATGGTCAGGGCTCTTCATGGTCAAGGCACTTCATGGTCAGGGCACTTCATGGTCAAGGCACTTCATGGTCAAGGCACTTCATGGTCAGGGCACTTCATGCTCAGGGCTCTTCATGGTCAAGGCACTTCATGGTCAGGGCACTTCATGGTCAAGGCACTTCATGGTCAAGGCACTTCATGGTCAGGGCTCTTCATGGTCAGGGCTCTTCATGGTCAGGGCACCATGGTCAGGGCTCTTCATGGTCAGGGCACCATGGTCAGGGCTCTTCATGGTCAAGGCACTTCATGGTCAGGGCTCTTCATGGTCAAGGCACTTCATGGTCAGGGCACTTCATGGTCAGGGCACTTCATGGTCAAGGCACTTCATGGTCAGGGCTCTTCATGGTCAGGGCACTTCATGGTCAGGGCACTTCATGGTCAGGGCACCATGGTCAGGGCTCTTCATGGTCAGGGCACTTCATGGTCAGGGCTCTTCATGGTCAAGGCACTTCATGGTCAGGGCACTTCATGGTCAGGGCACTTCATGGTCAGGGCACTTCATGGTCAAGGCACTTCATGGTCAGGGCACTTCATGGTCAAGGCACTTCATGGTCAGGGCACTTCATGGTCAAGGCACTTCATGGTCAAGGCACTTCATGGTCAGGGCTCTTCATGGTCAGGGCACTTCATGGTCAAGGCACTTCATGGTCAGGGCACTTCATGGTCAAGGCACTTCATGGTCAGGGCACTTCATGGTCAAGGCACTTCATGGTCAGGGCACTTCATGGTCAGGGCACTTCATGGTCAAGGCACTTCATGGTCAAGGCACTTCATGGTCAAGGCACTTCATGGTCAGGGCACTTCATGGTCAGGGCTCTTCATGGTCAAGGCACTTCATGGTCAAGGCACTTCATGGTCAAGGCACTTCATGGTCAGGGCACTTCATGGCGGCACGGTTGCTGAGTGGATAGCACTCTCGCCTCTCAGCAAGAAGGTCCTGGGTTCGAATCCCGGCCGGACCAGGGCCTTTCTGAGTGGAGTTTGCATGTTCTCCCCGTGTCTGCGTAGATTTCCTCCGGGTGCTCCGGTTTCCCCTACCACTAAAAATATGTACAATAGGTCTGGCATGTGCCTCCTGTACTGGCCCCACGCCCAAAGAAAAATCACAATTGTAAACCGCTTTGAGACTCCGATGTGCAGTTAAAAGGCGGTATATAAATAAAGATTACTTACTTACTTACTTACTTCATGGTCAAGGCTCTTCATGGTCAGGGCTCTTCATGGTCAGGGCACTTCATGGTCAGGGCACTTCATGGTCAGGGCACCATGGTCAGGGCTCTTCATGGTCAGGGCACTTCATGGTCAAGGCACTTCATGGTCAGGGCTCTTCATGGTCAAGGCACTTCATGGTCAGGGCACTTCATGGTCAGGGCACTTCATGGTCAGGGCACTTCATGGTCAAGGCACTTCATGGTCAGGGCACTTCATGGTCAAGGCACTTCATGGTCAGGGCACTTCATGGTCAGGGCTCTTCATGGTCAAGGCACTTCATGGTCAAGGCACTTCATGGTCAGGGCTCTTCATGGTCAGGGCACTTCATGGTCAAGGCACTTCATGGTCAGGGCACTTCATGGTCAAGGCACTTCATGGTCAGGGCACTTCATGGTCAGGGCTCTTCATGGTCAGGGCTCTTCATGGTCAAGGCACTTCATGGTCAGGGCACTTCATGGTCAAGGCACTTCATGATCAAGGCACTTCATGGTCAGGGCACTTCATGGTCAAGGCACTTCATGGTCAAGGCACTTCATGGTCAGGGCACTTCATGGTCAGGGCACTTCATGGTCAGGGCACCATGGTCAGGGCTCTTCATGGTCAGGGCACTTCATGGTCAAGGCACTTCATGGTCAGGGCACTTCATGGTCAGGGCACTTCATGGTCAAGGCACTTCATGGTCAGGGCTCTTCATGGTCAGGGCACTTCATGGTCAAGGCACTTCATGGTCAGGGCACTTCATGGTCAAGGCACTTCATGGTCAGGGCACTTCATGGTCAGGGCACTTCATGGTCAAGGCACTTCATGGTCAGGGCTCTTCATGGTCAGGGCACTTCATGGTCATGGCTCTTCATGGTCAGGGCACTTCATGGTCAAGGCTCTTCATGGTCAGGGCACTTCATGGTCAAGGCACTTCATGGTCAAGGCACTTCATGGTCAGGGCTCTTCATGGTCAGGGCACTTCATGGTCAAGGCACTTCATGGTCAGGGCACTTCATGGTCAAGGCACTTCATGGTCAGGGCACTTCATGGTCAGGGCACTTCATGGTCAAGGCACTTCATGGTCAGGGCACTTCATGGTCAGGGCTCTTCATGGTCAGGCACTTCATGGTCAAGGCACTTCATGGTCAGGGCACTTCATGGCGGCACGGTTGCTGAGTGGATAGCACTCTCGCCTCTCAGCAAGAAGGTCCTGGGTTCGAATCCCGGCCGGACCAGGGCCTTTCTGAGTGGAGTTTGCATGTTCTCCCCGTGTCTGCGTAGATTTCCTCCGGGTGCTCCGGTTTCCCCTACCACTAAAAATATGTACAATAGGTCTGGCATGTGCCTCCTGTACTGGCCCCACTCCCAAAGAAAAATCACAATTGTAAACCGCTTTGAGACTCCGATGTGCAGTTAAAAGGCGGTATATAAATAAAGATTACTTACTTACTTACTTACTTCATGGTCAAGGCTCTTCATGGTCAGGGCACTTCATGGTCAGGCGCCTGAATACATCCAGGGCCTGGTCCACCCTTATGTCTCGAACAGGCGCCTGAGGTCCCCCACTCAGAACCTGTTGATGGTCCCCCGCAAAAAACCAGAGGAGACAGATCCTTCCAGGCAGTTGCTCCTCATCTTTTGGAATGAGCTTCTCCAGTGTCTGTCGTTGATCTCAAGTCCCAACTTATTTGTTCAGACAGGGTTTCTCTCTTCACTGTAAATAGGCCTCTCTGAACTGTGTTTTTGATGAGGACCGTCTTCTGTGGCTTTGTTTTTAAATCTGACTTCTATGTGTATTTTATGTGTTTTAAATGTGAAGCGCTTTGTGATCCTGGTCTGTCAAAGGCGCTATACAAATAAGCTTGACTTACTTACTTTATGAATGTGAAGATGGGATTACGAGTCAGATCTGTGCAGGTGCTGATCCTGGAGCCCACTAAAGTCTACCAGCCGTCATATTTATCCATCAACAAAGACGTAGAGGACAACACTGTGTCCATCTGGCATGTGGCTCCTGACGACAAGGTAATAAGGTCTCTCTCTCTCTGGTCTCTCTTTCTGGTCACTCTCTCTGATTCTCTCAACTCTCTCTTTGGTCTCTCTAACCCTCTCTGGTTTCTCTTTCTCTGGTCTCTGCAACCCTCTCTGGTTTTTCTTTCTCTGGTCTCTCTCTAACACTCTCTGGTCTCTCTCTCCCTCTCTGGTCTCTCTCTCTCTGGTCTCTCTAACCCTTTCTGGTCACTCTCTGGTCTCTATCTGGTTTCTCTAACCCTCTCTGGTCTCTCTGTCTCTCTGGTGTCTCTCTGGTCTCTCTAATCCTCTCTGGTCTCTCTCTCTCTCTGGTCTCTCTGTCTCTCTGGTGTCTCTCTGGTCTCTCTAATCCTCTCTGGTCTCTCTCTCTCTCTGGTCTCTCTGTCTCTCTGGTGTCTCTCTGGTCTCTCTCTAACACTCTCTGGTCTTTCTAACACTCTCTGGTCTCTCTCTCTCTGGTCTCTAACCCTCTCTGGTCTCTATCTGGTCTCTAACCTTCTATGGTCTCTCTCTCTCTCTGGTCTCTCTCTGGTCTCTCCCTCTCTGGTCTCTCTCTGGTCTCTCTCTGGTCTCTCTCTGGTCTCTCTCTCTGGTCTCTCTCTGGTCTCTCTCTCTCTGGTCTCTCTCTTGTCTTTCTGGTGAATAGCTCTCTGTGTTCCAGTGCAGTGCTCTTTGGGCGGGTGCTGGTGTATTTGATGTCTCTTTGATGGTGTGGTTGATGGTGAGTTTGATGGTGTGTTTGATGGTATCCCTGGTTCTCTCTCTCCGCAGCACAAAGGGATCCATGAGTGGAACTTCAGTGCCACCTCAGTGCGCGGCGTCAGGTCAGTCTCCGGGTTCATCAAACAGTCTAATGTCACCGTGACTTTGGGAAATCTGCAAATGACTCACACACCATTATGAAACCACATTCAACTTCCTGAAGCCATTCGATGATTAAAGCTCGGGGACCTGAACTGAAGTGTGTGTATCTTTTCAACTAGTTCCTGACTCTCACTCAAAGACCATAGTGTAATTAGCCTTAATGAACATAAGCTAGCTCAAGCCAATTTCCTTATATGGGCATAACAGGGGAAGTCACATTTGTGGCTTGTGTGCGCTGCGGTGGTTAGTTGAAAGAACTATATCTCTCTGGTCTCCCTCTTTCTGGTCTCTCCGGTCTCTCTATCTGGTTTCTCTGGTCTCTCTCAGGTCTCTCTCTGGGCTCTCTTTCTGGTGTCTCTAGTCTCTCTCTGGTCTCTCTCTGGTCTCTCTCTCTCTCTCTCTGGTCTCTCTCTCTCTCTCTGTCTCTCTCTGTGTCTCTCTCAGGTCGCTCTCTGGTCTCTCTCTGGTCTCTCCCTCAGGTCTCGTTCTGGCCTATCCCTCAGGTCTCGTTCTGGCCTATCCCTCAGGTCTCGTTCTGGTCTCTCCCTCAGGTCTCTTTCTGGTCTTTCTCTCAGGTCTCTCTCAGGTTGCTCTCTTGTCTCTCTCTCTGGTCTCTCCCTCAGGTCTCTTTCTGGTCTTTCTCTCTGGTCTCTGTGTGCATGTTTGAAAAATAATAATAACAATTCAAAAAATATTCCAATTCATAATAATGATTAAAAAAATAAACCTAAAATAGACAACAAGCCTGGACTATGAAGCGCACCAGTTTACAAGCCGCACCAGCGAGAAACTCCACATTGTCCACATAAAGGCCACACTTCAATATAAGCCTCAGGTTCATAATAACGTATATAGTAACTGATGTAACAAGATTAAAGTACTTCTTATACTGCAAATAATGTACTCTAATTAATTTATGTCTTTTAGCTTAGTTCTCAAAGTCTCAAACATGTTTTTAGTTTTAGGTAAAAAATCCGAAATGTAGACATCCTCAGGTGTCCCTTCAGTCCGACAGCGTTACCATGGGAACCACTGTATTCTCATCCTCTGCTCACGACTGGACTCAGGAGGCACATAATAGATCCACTCACACGACTCTGGCCTTGGCTTCTGCAGTTCAGCTGTTTCTCAACTTTTTAAACTTTTCAAGTGTGATTGCAAGAATAGTCCATGAAAGTCTCTCTCTGGTCTCTCATTGGTCTCTCTCTGGTCTCTCTCTGGTCTCTCCCTCAGGTCTCTCTCTAGTTTCTCTTGCTGGTCTCTCTCTCTGGTCTCTCTCTGGTCTCTCTCTGGTCCCTCTCTGGTCCCTCTCTGGTCTCTCTGGTCTCTCTCGTCTCTCTCTGGTCTCTCTCTGGTCTCTCTCTGGTCTCTCCCTCAGGTCTCACTCTGGTTTCTCTTGCTGGTCTCTCTCTCTGGTCTCTCTCTGGTCTCTCTCTGGTCCCTCTCTGGTCCCTCTCTGGTCCCTCTCTGGTCTCTCTGGTCTCTCTGGTCTCTCTCTGGTCTCTCTGGTCTCTCTCGTCTCTCTCTGTTCTCTCTCTGGTCTCTCCCTGGTCCCTCTCTGGTCTCTCTCTGGTCTCTCTCTGGTCTCTCATTGGTCTCTCTCTGGTCTCTCTCTGGTCTCTCATTGGTCTCTCTCTGGTCTCTCTCTGGTCTCTCATTGGTCTCTCTCTGGTCTCTCTCTGGTCCCTCTCTGGTCTCTCTCTGGTCTCTCTCTGGTCTCTCTCTGGTCTCTCATTGGTCTCTCTCTGGTCTCTCTCTGGTCCCTCTCTGGTGTCTCTCTGGTCCCTCTCTGGTCTCTCTCTGGTCTCTTTCTGGTCCCTCCCTCTCATCTCTGAAACATTCTGTGAAATCCTTTAGTTGTATTAAATGGTAAATAGTTCTGTGTCTTGAACTAACTCAGACTGTGTTCTCTTTCAGTATTTCCAAATTCGATGAGCGCAGTGCTTTCCTGTACGTCCTCCATAACGCCGAAGACTTCCAGATCTACTTCTGCACCGAGATGCACTGCAAGAGGTCAGTCCCCCACTGTTAGAAAACTCAGGACTGAGGCTGTAGACCCAGGACTAAGGCTGTAGATCCAGGACTAAGGCTGTTGATCCAGGACTAAGGCTGTAGATCCAGGACTGAGGCTGTAGATCCAGGACTGAGGCTGTAGATCCAGGACTGAGGCTGTAGATCCAGGACTGAGGCTGTAGATCCAGGACTGAGGCTTTAGATCCAGGACTGAGGCTGTAGACCCAGGACTGAGGCTGTAGACCCAGGACCGAGGCAGTAGATCCAGGACTGAGGCTGTTTACCCAGGACTGAGACTGTAGACCCAGGACAGAGACTGTAGACCCAGGACAGAGGCTGTAGACCCAGGACTGAGGCTGTAGACCCAGGACAGAGGCTGTAGACCCAGGACTGAGGCTGTAGACCCAGGACTGAGGCTGTAGACCCAGGACAGAGGCTGTAGACCCAGGACTGAGGCTGTAGACCCAGGACAGAGACTGTAGACCCAGGACTGAGGCTGTAGACCCAGGACAGAGGCTGTAGACCCAGGACTGAGACTGTTTACCCAGGACTGAGACTGTAGACCCAGGACAGAGACTGTAGACCCAGGACAGAGACTGTAGACCCAGGACAGAGGCTGTAGACCCAGGACAGAGGCTGTAGACCCAGGACTGAGGCTGTAGACCCAGGACAGAGGCTGTAGACCCAGGACTGAGGCTGTAGACCCAGGACTGAGGCTGTAGACCCAGGACAGAGGCTGTAGACCCAGGACTGAGGCTGTAGACCCAGGACAGAGGCTGTAGACCCAGGACTGAGGCTGTAGACCCAGGACTGAGGCTGTAGACCCAGGACTGAGACTGTAGACCCAGGACAGAGGCTGTAGACCCAGGACTGAGACTGTAGACCCAGGACTGAGACTGTAGACCCAGGACAGAGGCTGTAGACCCAGGACTGAGACTGTAGACCCAGGACAGAGGCTGTAGACCCAGGACTGAGGCTGTAGACCCAGGAACAGCAGGTGAAACGAAGAAGCTCGTTCCATGGAGCAGTTGTGAAGTCTTGCACCTCCACTTTATCAGGAACACATCTGTACCATGTTCTCACCCCTCCTCCTCCCCCTCCTCCTCCCCCTCCTCCTCCCCCTCCTCTTCCCCCTCCTCCTCCCCCCACTCCCCCCTGCAGACCTCTCTTCTGTTCTCATTACATCTGAAATGACTCACTCTGACCTCCGATGAACAGCACTCTCAACTCTTAATGCAGTGAAAAGGACAGTGAAGATTTTAGACTGACGCAGTAACTGGTCATACACAACACCGGAGAACAGCAAAAAGAAAAATTATTTATTTTTTGGGGTGTTTTAGAAGGAGTGGACTGACCTCGTGCTGACGTCACCCATATAGTGTTGGCCTGAAGCGAACCCAAACAGGCTCCATTATCGGGAATATGGATGGAAAATATGCTCATAGCAACTGCCTAGCAACCAGAGAGCCAATCAGGAGAAGCTGAGGCATAGTTATTTCTCATGGACTGTAGAACAGGTGGACTAACAGAGCGCTGACGTCACCCATAACTCAACTTAAACAGGCTCAAATGACGTACATAGCAACGGCCTAACAACCAAAGAGCCAATCAGGAGAAGAGGAAGCAAAATAAGGGGGCTGGATGGCACTTGTTGTCAGTTGTTTCGGGAATATATCTGGAAGACACTATTGAAATATAAGCATTTATTTTGCGGTGTTAGCTTGGCGTTGTAGACTTGTTACCAAGACGGTTTCTAAGGCTAGCTGGAGTATTCCCCGTGAATGAAGGCTTTTGATTGGTCACTTCTTACAGGGTTCATATCTGGATTAAAGACAATATCAAAACATAAACACCAGCATCACAGACAGTTCTAAACCATGGATTTTTTTAAAGCTCAACCTGGTGAGGGTGACACATGGTTACTGAGCTATAGAGTTTACTTTCACTTTCACAGGGAAGTCAATAGGAGCCAGAGCGTTTTTAAGCAAAACCTTTGTCCATGAGCTCTTCCCTTTTGGGCTACATAGAGCTAGCGGGGTTAGCATTGTCCATCTGTATACAGTCTGTGGTGTTGCTGTCACAGTTATATATTTCATAACTAGAGAGTTATGAAAGAATGAGGAAGGAGGGAGTGATCGCCTCAGATAACCCCCACATTCCCCAGACTGCTTCACTGTTTGTGCACGGTTACTCATTAACTTCAATTACAGAGAATATTTATGGTAACACTTAAGATCAGCCCGTATACTTAACAGCTAATCAAGAGATAATTATTGTACCTTAACCCTAGCCACATGGGACAAGTGTCAGTGAGTAGTTACTTAGATGTTGAACAAGGCCATGTAGAATAAGAGCGCTTAAAAGTGCTTAATAAATATCAATTAAGAGATTCAAATTAGCCGCCAAATTGACAACAGTATAATTTGAACCGCCAAGTATAAACCGTCCTGCAGCAGCACAGAGAGGCCTGTGGGAGAGACTGAGATGCCGTGGATTCCCCCTGAGAGAACCGCCGCTGTGGAAAAGGTCAAGCATTGTGGGCCTCAGCGTGGGAGGTGCTCAGACGTAAAGATTCAGGCACAGCAGCGAAACGGCACCGCAGCCTGCTGAGGCCAAACACGAAACCAAACAGATCTCTATCTCTGACATTTTAGCGTTTGAGCTACATACAGTTCATGATTGTAAATGTCAATACTGTGCTCACACACTCTGACAATGAAGTGTGTAGATCCAGGACTGAGGCTGTAGATCCAGGACTGAGGCTGTAGACCCAGGACTGAGGCTGTAGACCCAGGACTGAGGCTGTAGATCCAGGACTGAGGCTGTAGACCCAGGACTGAGGCTGTAGATCCAGGACTGAGGCTGTAGATCCAGGACTGAGGCTGTAGATCCAGGACTGAGGCTGTAGACCCAGGACTGAGGCTGTAGACCCAGGACTGAGGCTGTAGATCCAGGACTGAGGCTGTAGATCCAGGACTGAGGCTGTAGACCCAGGACTGAGGCTGTAGATCCAGGACTGAGGCTGTAGACCCAGGACTGAGGCTGTTGATCCAGGACTGAGGCTGTGGACCCAGGACTGAGGCTATAGACCCAGGACTGAGGCTGTGGACCCAGGACTGAGGCTGTGGACCCAGGACTGAGGCTGTAGACCCAGGACTGAGGCTGTGGACCCAGGACTGAGGCTGTGGACCCAGGACTGAGGCTCTAGGCCCAGGACTGAGGCTGTAGGCCCAGGACTGAGGCTGTAGGCCCAGGACTGAGGCTGTAGACCCAGGACTGAGGCTGTAGACCCAGGACTGAGGCTGTAGACCCAGGACTGAGGCTGTAGATCCAGGACTGAGGCTGTAGCCCCAGGACTGAGGCTGTAGACCCAGGACTGAGGCTGTAGATCCAGGACTGAGGCTGTAGACCCAGGACTGAGGCTGTAGATCCAGGACTGAGGCTGTAGACCCAGGACTGAGGCTATAGACCCAGGACTGAGGCTGTGGACCCAGGACTGAGGCTGTGGACCCAGGACTGAGGCTGTAGACCCAGGACTGAGGCTGTGGACCCAGGACTGAGGCTGTGGACCCAGGACTGAGGCTCTAGGCCCAGGACTGAGGCTGTAGGCCCAGGACTGAGGCTGTAAGCCCAGGACTGAGGCTGTAGACCCAGGACTGAGGCTGTAGACCCAGGACTGAGGCTGTAGACCCAGGACTGAGGCTGTAGATCCAAGACTGAGGCTGTAGACCCAGGACTGAGGCTGTTGATCCAGGACTGAGGCTGTAGACCCAGGACTGAGGCTGTAGACCCAGGACTGAGGCTGTGGACCCAGGACTGAGGCTGTAGACCCAGGACTGAGGCTGTGGACCCAGGACTGAGGCTGTAGATCCAGGACTGAGGCTGTAGACCCAGGACTGAGGCTGTGGACCCAGGACTGAGGCTGTAGATCCAGGACTGAGGCTGTAGACCCAGGACTGAGGCTGTGGACCCAGGACTGAGGTTGTGGACCCAGGACTGAGGCTGTAGACCCAGGACTGAGGCTGTAGACCCAGGACTGAGGCTGTAGACCCAGGACTGAGGCTGTGGACCCAGGACTGAGGCTGTGGACCCAGGACTGAGGCTGTAGACCCAGGACTGAGGCTGTAGACCCAGGACTGAGGCTGTGGACCCAGGACTGAGGCTGTAGACCCAGGACTGAGGCTGTGACCAGGACTGAGGCTGTGGACCCAGGACTGAGGCTGTAGACCCAGGACTGAGGCTGTAGACCCAGGACTGAGGCTGTGGACCCAGGACTGAGGCTGTAGATCCAGGACTGAGGCTGTAGGCCCAGGACTGAGGCTGTGGACCCAGGACTGAGGCTGTAGACCCAGGACTGAGGCTGTGGACCCAGGACTGAGGCTGTAGGCCCAGGACTGAGGCTGTAGGCCCAGGACTGAGGCTGTAGACCCAGGACTGAGGCTGTAGACCCAGGACTGAGGCTGTAGGCCCAGGACTGAGGCTGTAGACCCAGGACTGAGGCTGTGGAGGACTGAGGCTGTGGACCCAGGACTGAGGCTGTGGACCCAGGACTGAGGCTGTAGGCTGACTTAGACAATATCAAAATACAGACTTTTGTTTTTAAGCCCAAAATGGTGAGCCCCAATTGGGCTTCATTGAGCTAGCAGGTTAGCATTTTCCATCTATGGACTTTCTATGCATTATTGTTTGCATGTCTGTGGTTGCAGGTTCTGTGACCTGGTTAACAGCATCACGGAGGAGGCGTGGAGAGGCCCAGAGGAGGGGGACTGCGATGGGGAGGCGCTGGAGGTGAGAGAGAGAAACCCGAGAGAGAGAGCGAGATTAACTGGTATTTAACTGGTACTACGACAGAATCAAGAAGCAAACTTGTGGATCCAAAAGAGGATTGAAACCGCCCTAATCCCTTTGCTTCTCATTTACCTCATTTCGCTTCAAATCCCATTCATCAAAGTTGGCCTCATCATTTTGCTTGTTCTGCCTGTGCAGCAGTTATGTGGCACCTGCCGCTCAGTTCACTCTGCAGAAAGAGTGTGAGAGAGATGATTATTACTCTCTCTGTGGCAACATCTGCTGTGGAGCAGGTTTGACACAGCTGGGGTTTTGTCTGCAATCAAAAACGCCAAGTCTGAGAGAGACCAGGGAGAGAGAGATGAGAGAGAGACTGGAGAACGATACCAGAAAGGGATCAGAGAGAGACAAAAGAGAGAGCGACTGAAGAGAGACATTTGAATTGAATTGGGCAGGAAAACTGTTTTGATTTTACACAAATACCCAATTTGACTGATAATAAACGTGCAGAAAGGCATCATGCAGCACTGTGCATACGGGTTATTTCTACTTCCCATAATCAGCTCAATACGTAAAATGTTTTTGTTTTTTTCCCTCAGTACGATTATGAGTATGACGAGCTCGGCGAGCGAGTGATTCTGGGTAAAGGCACATTCGGAGTGGTCTACGCTGGACGGGACCTGAGTAACCAGGTCCGACTGGCCATCAAGGAGATCCCCGAGCGGGACAGCAGGTCAGAGCCGTCATGCATTATATCATGGAGCAGAAGAACATCTGTGACATGTTAGTGTCATATGAACCTACTCTGAGGAGCACAGGGACTGGCCTCCTGCTGGGACTCTGAGGAGCACAGGGACTGGCCTCCTGCTGGGACTCTGAGGAGCACAGGGACTGACCTCCTGCTGGCACTCTGAGGAGCACAGGGACTGGCCTCCTGCTGGGACTCTGAGGAGCACAGGGACTGGCCTCCTGCTGGGACTCTGAGGAGCACAGGGACTGGCCTCCTGCTGGGACTCTGAGGAGCACAGGGACTAGCCTCCTGCTGGGACTCTGAGGAGCACAGGGACTGGCCTCCTGCTGGTCCCAGAGTCAGGACTAAACATGGGTAGTCAGCGTTTCAGATTGATGCCTTGTGTGAATGAATCTGGATTTGTGAAGCACTTTGAGTTTATGAATGAACGCTGCTATGAAGAAAACCTGATAGGATAACAAATAAATAGTCTGCCGTCTTTATAAAAGCAGTCGTTAGCAGGTATTGACGCTACGCTCTACACTCTTCTCCCTGAAACCCTCTTCTCTGGACGATGCTCTGGTTTGTGCTGCTTGTTTGTGCGTCGCTGTCATGGACACGCTGTCTTTGAAATCCCGTCAGTGTCGACAGAACACACACTTTAGGATCCACCCACTGCTCTGGCTGCTCCTGCTGAGAGAGACCTCCCCTGCACACTGTGTTCCCAGCAGCTAATACAAACTGCTCTGAACAATGGTGTGCGCGTGTGTGTGTGTGAGTGTGTGTGTGTGTGTGTGTGTGTGAAGGCATTGTTGTGAAGCTGACAGATTAACTTGTCAATGGTTCCCTGTTGGTTTCTCCCTCGTTTGATTTTTTTTTATATGTATTTTTTGGTTGTCCGAACAGTTTTTCTGGACACACACAAACACACACACAGAGGCATAGACAGATAGACACACAGACATACAGTACATACAGACACACACAGGAAGGCAGACAGACACACAAGCACACACAAGCACACACAGAGAGACAGACACACACACACACACACACACACACATACACACAGAATAGACACTCATAGACACATACACACACACACACACCTATGCACACACACACAGAGACAGACAGACTCACACACAGAATAGACACTCACAGACATAAATAAAGACACACACACACACACAGTTTGCGTCCCCCTTAACACCCTTTGCAGCGTTTGCTTTGCGGCGTTAGCTTTGCGCCGTAACAGACATGTTGCTGAGACGGTTGCTAGGGCAAGCTGGAGTTTCCCCCACGAATGAAGGCATCTGATTGGTCAATCCTTATGGCTTATATCTGGATTTACAAAGACAATACCAAATAATGAACACCAGGATCACAGAGAGCGATAAACCAGGGATTCTTTAAGACCAAAATGGTGAGTGTGGCTCAAACAGTTACTGAGCTCGAGGAGTTTACTTTTACATGTGAGTTGATTGGAGCCTGTTTGCTTTGTCCATTCCCTATTGGGCTACATGGAGCTAGCGTGTTAGCATTGTCCGTTTATACACAGGCTGTTATTGACACGTGGATGTGTTGTCACGACAGGTATTCGCAGCCGCTGCACGAGGAAATCGCTCTCCACAAACATTTGAAGCATAAGAACATCGTGCAGTATCTGGGATCCATCAGCGAGAAGGGATTCATCAAGATCTTCATGGAGCAAGTTCCTGGAGGTGAGAATTTTAGACTTTTACTAAACTACTTTCTGTCCTCCTTGTGCAACAGTAAAGGCAGTTGTGATGGAGCCACTGGTCCATAGGCAGGAGTAGAACCAATGGGAATGTCCCTGCATCAATGTCCTTAGACCTGACCTGGGCAAAGTGCGGTCCGAGGGCTTTTTCTGGCCCGATCCACATTTCTATGCGGTCTGTTGCTTATTAAAATGAATCCAAAGTCAATACGCAAAGAAAGGCTTGGACTAATATGTGCTACCCTGGCATGTTATATATTTATTTTGTTCTAATTAATGAATCGGAAATGTTCTTAGAAGTATTAACCCTTTAAGCGCCAAAGTCGCAATATTGCGACAAGCAACATTGCTCACTTAAACAGGCTGTATGTAAAATGTGGTGCAGAATCTTGTTAATACTTTTCACCAGGGGTTAGTGGACATGTGTGCCTGTAATATGAGCAGCATTTGTGGGTGTGGTTATAATGAAAGTTTCTGAGTAAATTGAGTTCGTAAAACACCTGAGAGGAGCGAGAGCAGAAAAGAGGGAGAGAGGGTTTTTTATTTTACTCACGAGGTCTTCAGTACCAGAGAAGTACTTGGTCTGGTACTGGCTCACTCAGATTCAGAGGAGGAAGACACACAGGTGTCTAGTGAAGCAGACACAGATATTATTGGTGACGGGGAGACCGCGCTCCATAGTCCACAATCAGCCCCTGTGCAGCGGCTGCTTGTCCTCCGTGTGGCCGCGGTAGAAGCATTCTGTGAACGCCAAGCAGGGACCGTGGTCGAGGGGACAGGGGCATCATAACACCGGGCATGTGGGAGAAAGTAGCCAGGGTAGACATCCACAGGAGACGCGGGAGAAGCCGCAGGAAAAACACACACCGCTAATCGCGTTCACTGCCTTTACCAACAGCGATGATGAGGATGAAGGCAGTTCTTGAGAGAAAATAATCCAAAAAAGTGAATCAGAATTGTTAAAGAGCCTGTTGTATGTTGTTGAGACGATCTGACATGTTCTGTGCCCATTCATTTCATCTCTCTGTTTCTAAACGGTAAATCCTGGAGCCTCATTTCCACTGAGATAAATAGTAAGCCCATTACTTCTTTGAAAGGGAAATATCTCCAGATTTCATGACTGTAAACTATAAAGAGTGCTGTCTTGATCACTGAAGGTCTTTGATAATAATACAATTCCATATGGCCACAAACCAATGCTAAAACATTATCTATAATCTGGATCAGGGAATTTATTTCTATCTCAAATTCATTTCATACTAAAGATATTTCACACTTACTGTTTATAGTATTCCCTGATCTCAAATAACTCCCAAGCTACAGCTTTTTGAAATCTTTATACAATAATTAACATTTTCCAAAATGGCCGCCACCTTGATGACGTCACAATATGCAAATTAGATGACGAATCAACTTCCATCCCAAAGTTTGGTTCAAACTGAAGATATTTCTAATTTACAGTTTGCCTTTATCTCAAACCATTTTAAAGTTATAGCCTTTTGAAATCTTGAGATCAAAATTGTATATTTTCTTGAAAAAACTCTGGCGCCTAAAGGGTTAATAGTTGTTGGACATGCGCAGTCGATCAAACATAAACAAAATGAGACTAAAATAAAAAAGTGACCTTCTTCTTCTTTGAAACCACAAAAACCACAGCTGTAGTTTCAATTTCCATGTTTGTTGCTGCTGTTAAATGCAGAATGATGTTGGTGCATTCTTTTCCGGTGGTGGTCTGAGGAGGATGTTGTCGAGGAAGTGATTATACCGGTGGGGGTCGCTCGTGTCGTGTTGTAAAGTTCCACTGCCCCCTACTGGCCGGGCTCTAGAACTACATCGTTCTCACTCACACAAGACCTGCCGTGTAGACGCTTTGCTTCTCTGTGTCTCCGTGTAAACAGGGCCTTAGAGCCTCCTGTGTCGGAAAAGGAATGACTCAAAGAACAGTGGGGACGAAGGTACATTTTAAAGTCTATATTTTAACACCAGGTCGACTTGTTGTGATCAAAGCCCGTTGTCTTCTCACTCAGAGCTCCTCGTGTTATTTCCCAAACATTGCCTCCGTCTACCTCAACTTCCACTCAGTTACCAGGGTCTGTTTTGACAATAAACACTTGATGTGCGTCCTGTAGCTGCTAAAACTTACGGAGTCAAAATATGAAGTTCGTAAACTCTGACAGCTCTAATGTATTTCTCTCTGTGGATAGAGCTGGGTTCACATCCCCTCCTGCAGCTCCAAACTGAGGCCCACGAGCCAAATGTGTCCTGTTATGTAGCCTCTGCTTCGCTATCCTAAAGTATGTGACGCTAATGTAGCTGTTGCGGTATTTCAAGCTAATAAACTGCTCAGAAATCCAGTGTGCTGTGTCGGGTGCACACTGGGGACTCTTGCACAGTTACTCCGAGGTGGTTTTACTGCAAATGGAACATAAACTGAATCTGTGTTGTCTGATTGACCGTCGTACAATATGTTTTGCTATAAAACAATAAATATTATCAACTGCATCACTTTATACATGAGCAATTGAAGGTTGTAAAAAAGGGCTTGTACCTAAACTCTGCTATACCTTCACAGTCGAACAACTTCAAACAGACATAAGAGTCACATAGTAAGTTTGTGATTCTAAAAACTAACAAATAAAGGTCTGGGAAAACATCGGGACGTTTTCTTATTTAACTTAACTGCTTCGTTCCCACAGAGTAACTGTGACAAGAAAAACCTGAACAAATATTATGGACAGAAAGAGTTATCCTGGGAATCTGTATGTGTGAGAGAGAGACCAGGGAGAGAGACCAGATAGAGAGAGAGCTGTGAGAGACCAGAGAGAGAGACCAGATAGAGAGAGAGCTGTGAGAGACCAGAGAGAGAGACCAGAGAGAGACCCCAAGAGAGACCCCGAGAGAGACCAGAGAGAGACCTGAGAGAGACCAGAGAGAGACCCCGAGAGAGACCCGAGAGAGACCCGAGAGAGACCCCGAGAGAGACCCCGAGAGACCCCGAGAGAGACCCCGAGAGAGACCCCGAGAGAGACCCCGAGAGAGACCCGAGAGAGACCCCGAGAGAGACCCCGAGAGAGACCCCGAGAGAGACCAGAGAGAGACCTGAGAGAGACCCCGAGAGAGACCCGAGAGAGACCCGAGAGAGACCCCGAGAGAGACCCGAGAGAGACCCCGAGAGAGACCCCGAGAGAGACCCCGAGAGAGACCCCGAGAGAGACCAGAGAGAGACCTGAGAGAGACCCCGAGAGAGACCCCGAGAGAGACCAGAGAGAGCTTATTACAGAGAGAAAGTGCTCATGGATGAAGTTTAGCTCCATCTCTCTCTGGCTCCTGTTGACTTCCATGTAACCGTTTTGAAACTTTAAAACATCGGTGGTTTCGCTTTCTCTCTGGTGTTTATGTTGTGATATTGAAATCTCCAGCTCGCCTTAGCAACCACGTTAGCAACACGTCTCCCCCAGTGTGTACTGTTTGTGTCGGGACGTTTTCTTATTTAACCTTACTGCTTCTTTCCCACAGAGCTGTACTTGTCTCCAGCTGAAATACTAGATTCTAGGCTGATTACGGTTGAACTGTTTCTCAGGCAGTCTCTCCGCTCTGCTGCGCTCCAAGTGGGGGCCCCTGAAGAACAACGAACCCACCATCGGCTTCTACACTCGTCAGATCCTGGAGGGCCTCAAGTACCTGCACGACAACCAGATCGCACACCGAGACATCAAGGTGACCGCACGCACTCCGGGACCCGGCTCTTTCCACTGGCTTCTGTCAAATTTGTTTACGTGGGAGCTGTGATAATAGTCATGTGGATTCATGAGATAAGATATTCCGTTGTTCGTCTCACAGTGGAGAAATATCAGTGTTGCACATTACAGAAGAGAAAGGAGGAAATAAAACTCAGACCCACACATCAATAAGATGTTAAAATAGAATACAATGAAATAAACTTGTGGTTCAGAAGTATTTACAGATGTGTATTTTGTACTCTAGCAGCGGAGAATATGAGCAGAATCAACAATAGTCATAATATCAACAGGTAAAGTGACTAGTGAATGGCAGAAGTATCAGATGGATGGGAGGTCCTCGTTGAAAAGGGTGCAAACGGCAAATTAAAAAGCAGGAAGAATCGTATTTATCCGACCACAAGTGCTACATGTACAGCCCTAAATAACAAAAGCTGTTTCACAGGGAGCACTGTTCAGAAATGTTAACAAATATTTTTGATAGAATATTTTGGTTTCGTCCCACGGCTGAAGTTGCTGCTGCCTTTTTTTAAACTAAACATTTAGACATGAAAAATCCCTCCCAAAAGTGTGTGTGTGTGTGTGTGTGTAATGTCATATGTGATTGACAGGTGAGCTCCCCGGGGGGTTAGGGTAAACAAACCTGTAATTGAGTAACTGTAACAAGAAAAACTTGAACAAATATTATGGACAGAAAGAGTTATCCTGGGAATCTGTATGTGTGAGAGAGAGACCAGGGAGAGAGACCAGATAGAGAGAGAGCTGTGAGAGACCAGAGAGAGAGAGCAAAGAGAGAGACCCGAGCGAGACCCGAGAGAGACCCCGAGAGAGACCCCGAGAGAGACCCCGAGAAAGACCAGAGAGAGACCAGAGAGAGACCCGAGAGAGACCAGAGAGAGACCAGAGAGAGACCCCGAGAGAGACCCCGAGAGAGACCCCGAGAGAGACCAGAGAAAGAGACCAGAGAGAGACCCCGAGAGAGACCAGAGAGAGACCCCGAGAGAGACCCCGAGAGAGACCCGAGAGAGACCAGAGAGAGACCCCGAGAGAGACCAGAGAGAGACCAGAGAGAGACCCCGAGAGAGACCCCGAGAGAGACCCCGAGAGAGACCAGAGAGAGAGACCAGAGAGAGACCAGAGAGAGACCCCGAGAGAGACCCCGAGAGAGACCAGAGAGAGAGACCAGAGAGAGACCCCGAGAGAGACCAGAGAGAGACCCCGAGAGAGACCCCGAGAGAGACCCGAGAGAGACCAGAGAGAGACCCGAGAGAGACCAGAGAGAGACCCGAGAGAGACCCCGAGAGAGACCCAGAGAGAGAGACCAGAGAGAGACCCCGAGAGAGACCAGAGAGAGACCCCGAGAGAGACCCCGAGAGAGACCCCGAGAGAGACCAGAGAGAGACCCGAGAGAGACCCCGAGAGAGACCCGAGAGAGACCCGAGAGAGACCCCGAGAGACCAGATAGAGACCAGATAGAGACCAGAGAGACCAGAGAGACCAGAGAGAGCTTATTACAGGGATAAAGTGCTCATGGATGAAGTTTAGCTCCATCTCTCTCTGGCTCCTGTTGACTTCCATGTAACCGTTTTGAAACTTTAAAACATCGGTGGTTTCGCTTTCTCTCTGGTGTTTATGTTGTGATATTGAAATCTCCAGCTCGCCTTAGCAACCACGTTAGCAACACGTCTCCCCCAGTGTGTACTGTTTGTGTGTGGATAAACAAAACCGCTCATTCACACCTGACACAGACGTTTTCCCGGTCGCCGTGGCAACGTCAGTGTAACAGCGTGAGTCAGGTCAAGGTGTGAAAGAGGCACCAGAAGAGCCATGCTCCAGCTGGTTTATCCTGCAGGTTGTTATGGTCCAGATGGATTCATGTTGTGGCAGTCTTTGTTAGGATTTCAGCTGTTGACAATACATCTCTGGGAAAGAAGCAATTTTTGACCAGTTGATAGGGAGACCAGAGAGAGAGAGGAAAGAGAGACCAGAGAGAGAGGGACCAAAGAGAGACCAGAAAGAGAGAGGCAAGAGAGAGAGAGGAAAGAGAGAGAGGGACCAAAGAGAGACCAGAGAGAGAGAGGCAAGAGAGAGACAGAGAGAGAGAGGCCAGAGAGAGGGACGCAAAAGAGAGGCAAGAGAGAGAGAGCGGATAGGAAGGCGAGAGAGGGAGACAAGAGAGAGAGGCAAGAGAGAGAGAGAGACCAGAGAAAGGAAAGAGAGAGAGACCAGAGAGAGAGGGACCAGAGAGAGAGAGGAAAAAGAGAGAGACCAGAGAGAGGGACCAAAGAGAGGGACCAAAAGAGAGAGAGAGGCAAGAGAGAGGGACCAGAGAGAGGGACCAAAGAGAGACCAGAGAGAGAGAGAGGCAAGAGAGAGAAAGAGAGAGAGAGGCCAGAGAAAGGAAAGAGAGAGAGACCAGAGAGAGAGGGACCAAAGAGAGACCAGAGAGAGAGAGGAAAAAGAGAGAGACCAGAGAGAGGGACCAAAGAGAGGGACCAAAAGAGAGAGAGAGGCAAGAGAGAGAAAGAGAGAGAGAGGCCAGAGAAAGGAAAGAGAGAGAGACCAGAGAGAGAGGGACCAAAGAGAGACCAGAGAGAGAGAGGAAAAAGAGAGACCAGAGAGAGGGACCAGAGAGAGGGACCAAAGAGAGACCAGAGAGAGAGAGAGGCAAGAGAGAGAAAGAGAGAGAGAGGCCAGAGAGAGGGACGCAAAAGAGAGAGGCAAGAGAGAGAGAGCGGATAGGAAGGCGAGAGAGGGAGACAAGAGAGAGAGGCCAGAGAAAGGCCGGAGGGATAGGCCATAGAGAGATACTAAAGAGAGACCTCAGAGAGAGAGACCCCAGAGAGTCCTGAGTTATATCTGTCTGTCAGTCCACTCCTGATATTAATGTTCTCTCTATGATATAAACTTTTGACTTTAAATGTTCTGGTCTCTGTAAAAGATTGAAGGGGGGCCTCGCAAACTCATATGACCTCTCACTTTGCTCTCTCGCTCTGCTCTCTCTCACTCCGCAGGGCGACAACGTGCTCATCAACACCTACAGCGGCGTCCTGAAGATCTCCGACTTCGGCACGTCCAAAAGACTGGCTGGGATTAACCCCTGCACGGAGACGTTCACAGGTCAGCTCCGACACCGCGGCCCCAGATTACACCATCGCCACAATACACAATCTATGTTTAGATCTGCCTCTCTGGCTCTCGAGGTGGAGGCTCCTCAAGGATTTTCAATGAGCTGCTTTATATCAGACTGGGTCACTGTTCAAAGGTGTGCTCTCTGGCAGGGTTGGACGATATGGGCAAAACAACTATGCCACGATGTGAGAAGAAAATATCACAATAATATTTTAATTCACAATATAAATCGTGCAAAAATCTTCAAAACAAAAGGAAAATACACAAATTATGTCATGACTGTGCATGGATAATTATGAATAGAGAGAGAGACATGAGAGAGACCAGAGTGAGGCCAGAGAGAGGCCAGAGTGAGGCCAGAGAGAGACCAGAGAGGCCAGAGAGAGAGACCGGAGAGAGAGACCGGAGAGAGAGACCGGAGAGAGAGACCGGAGAGAGAGACCGGAGAGAGAGACCGAGACCGGAGAGAGAGACCGGAGAGAGAGACCGGAGAGAGAGACCGGAGAGAGAGACCGGAGAGAGAGACCAGAGAGAGAGACCGGAGAGAGAGAGACCGGAGAGAGAGACCGGAGAGAGAGACCAGAGAGAGAGACCGGAGAGAGAGAGACCGGAGAGAGAGGCCAGAGAGAGGCCAGAGAGAGGCCAGAGAGAGGCCAGAGTGAGGCCAGAGTGAGGCCAGAGTGAGGCCAGAGAGAGACCGGAGAGAGAGACCGGAGAGAGAGACCGGAGAGAGAGACCGGAGAGAGAGACCAGAGAGAGAGACCGGAGAGAGAGACCAGAGAGAGAGACCGGAGAGAGAGACCAGAGAGAGAGACCGGAGAGAGAGAGACCGGAGAGAGAGACCGGAGAGAGACCAGAGAGAGCGACCAGAGAGAGAGACCAGAGAGAGCGACCAGAGAGAGAGACCAGAGAGGGAGACCAAAGAGAGACCAGACCAGAAAGATCAATTATGCATAAGATGTAATGCCAACATTATTGCTAGTTTTTTTGCTAGCTAGCTGCTTTAGTTCCCACCCCACAGTCTGAGGCCTGATCCTGGGAGTCACCCTTCCTGACTGGGTCACTCCTACAGCTGCTATTTCTGGCCCTGCCCTGCTATAAGTGTGTGTCTTTCCCGTTTTAGCTCCAGTGCACCCTGGTTACACCGGGCCGAGCTATTTATAGAACAAAAGGCCTCTGTGAACGGTGAGCTGAAGGCTTCACAGAGACACGGGATTATGTGACGACACGGAGGCCAAGTGCTCGGTCAAAGACTAAAGCCTCCGCTGTAATCTCAGGGTTTAAGACCCTCCATTGTTTTCTAATGGTTTGAATGACTTTAAAGGAGAGGTTTGATGCAGACTTGTGTCAGAGGTTTCTACTGTGACTGCTACTGTAAAGTGCCAAACAAGATTATAGGCCAGACGAGGCCAGAGAGAGACCATGAGAGAGACCCAGAGGAGGAGAGTCCAGAGAGAGAGACCAGAGAGGAGACCAAGAGAGAGACCAGAGAGAGAGACCAGAGAGAGACCAGAGAGAGACCAGAGAGTAGACCAGAGAGAGAGACGAGAGAGAGACCAGAGAGAGACCAGAGAGAGAGACCAGAGAGAGAGACCAGAGAGAGAGACCAGAGACAGTGGACCAGAGAGAGACCAGAGAGAGAACAGAAAGAAAACCAGAGAGAGACACGCCAGAAAGAGACCAGTGAGAGACCAGGGATAAGGGAAGACTAGAGTGACCACCCCCCCCCCCCCCCCCCCCCGATGAGAGAGACCGTCAGAAAGAGAACAGGGAGAGAGACCAGAGAGAGACCAGAGAGTGTACCTGTGAAAAGCATGAATAGATCGAGACCCAGTGAGAGTGACCCGAGAGAGACCAGAGAGAGACCAGTGTGTAAAAGACTAGAGAGACCAAGAAAGCATTGATCAGATGTGTGCAATACCTGTCTGTGTGTGTTGTGTGTGTGGTGTCTGTCGTGTGTGTGTGTGTGTGTGTGTGTGTGTGTCTGTCTGTCTGTCTGTTTGTGTCTGGTCTGTGTCTGTTGTGTGTGGGTGTTTGTTTTCTGTTTTACGGCCGATTTTCAAGAACTTTTCTCCGAGTAAGGAGGACCCTCCGGTTTAGGAGGACATTTTGCTGTCCTCATAAAAATTACATTCTAAATCGTTTTCTATGCATTTTTAATGCCTAAAAAGTGGTTTTCTCAAAAGTCTTTTTAAACCAGAAACCTGAGAAAAGTTAAATTTGTGTGTCCGCCACTGCCCCTATCGGTTTTCTACCGCGCGGGTAATGACTGGAATATACACACAAACGCGGGAAATTATAAACATTGGCGGGAGCGACACACAAAGTCAGTTACTGCTCAAAGTGGAGGAGTGCGTCTTTCGCCATTTCAAAACACTTTTCTTCACACTTCCACCCTCAAAGGAGACGGGCTCGTGGAGGGACACGACGCACCCCGCACACAGGTAAAGAGTTTTCACTGGTCAACAGATGTTGTTTAGCACAAAGGAGCCGCTGGTAGAAGAGCATAACGTAGCTGCGGGGTCGGCAGCCTAGTTAAGCTGCGGGCTACGTAGCCATTTGCACGATTTATTAATTCTGTCACGTTTAGGTTCGGCAAATCTGCAGTAAATATACTGTCGACAGAGCAAACGGGACCGTAGTGACATACCCACTACAGGAAGATGAACATTAGCTAGCTATTTGCGGAGCTAAGTGGCTAACACACATGTGTGCTGCAGCTGCTTGATAATATAGTCAAAGTTACAATATAGATGCATTTTGCGTGCTGAGGCCATACTTGGAACAAATATATTAGGTAGTTTCCTAATGGAGAGGTGAGTAATAAAATCAGTCTGTGATAATTAGTAGAATATTTTATAGGAGCAGGCTACTTGATAAAATGATAATACTAAATGATAAGATTATTAGAAATAAGACATCTGCTGTATGTATTATGATTTTATGTTCAAGCAAAATTCAAGCATTGTCTATATAGAATTTTCCTTTTAATACGCAGCCCTTCTGCGTTGTGAGTGACTTGACACAATTAAAATACTATTGCAGTAAGTTCGTATGTATTTGAGAGCTGAATGGATGTAGAACAAGTCTTGGACCAGAATGTACATGTTTAATCTGTACACACATTGAATATCTGTTTGTTTCATAACAATAATATAACTGTATTCTTAATAAAAGTAAAATATTAGATATATCGCTTTCCTTTCAAGCTCTATAGACATTGGGATGTCCCCTAGCAATGGACTACTTTATATAACTATAGTTAGCTGTTATTCCAGTGTCACATTTACAGATGTTTAATATTTTTAGAATATGAGCAGAATATATTATAGTTTATGGGTAAGGTGCAGTCCATTATAGTCTTCTATTGGAATCAGAACATTCATGGAGCGATGATTTAGAACTCCAAAAACCCTAACAACGGTCCTTGAAACCATGGGTGTGGACCCATGGTTTCTCCCAAAAGGCATCAGAGGGAAACATGAGTACATAGCCATGTAGGTGAAATGCACTGTTTCACTGTTGATGTTGATGAACTGAACTTCACATTAAAAAAGTTAATGTCATGATTACTTGAAATAGTTTTGATTTATGGTTTCTGAAAAACCATGAGATGAAAAGTAATGTTATTTTTAAAATGTTTGTTCTTAATTTCTCTTAAAGTCATGCCACAGAGAACTACTCCCCTTCAGGATGCCACAAAGCATATCCTTGAAGGAAGAGACAAGACTGCTATGTTAGAAGTAAAACATATTAATCCAGTCAAAGGTAAGTCACTGACACTAATATAATCACTGGTTCAGTTGTATCAATGGTTTGCTGCCCTTGTGTCTTTAATAAGCCTGTGTCTTCAGGTCGTGGTATTTTCTCTACCACTGTTTTCAGTCAAGGAGACTTTGTTGTGGAGTATAGGGGGGTACTTGTTGATTCAGCTGAACAGAGACGTAAACAGAACCAGAGTGAATGTTCAGTCTTCATGTTCGACTTCACATGGAAGCGGAGGATTTGGAGGTAGGTTCAGTGTGACTGTTTTCGTCTCTGTGGTGAGTGTAGCTGCCTAGTGTAGCTGCCTAGCCTAAAGTACATTTTGAACATGTGTCTCTATAAATGTGTTTAGTGCATGATGTTTGTATTTTTAATGTGCAGTATTGATGGCGGAGAGGAAGACGGATCTTTTGGACGATTAGTCAATGACGAGCATAAGTTGCCCAACTGCCGAATGAAGTTGATTGAGGTGAAAGGCAAACCACATCTTTGCCTTTTTGCCCTGAAGGAGATCAAAGCAGGAACTGAAATAAATTACGACTATGGTGGGACATCATGGCCCTGGCGTGAAGAGGTGGGTCATTTAGTGTTTTTTTTCCCCCTATAAATTGATGCCCAGGTTTACAATAATTATCTATATTTTTGACTTGATAACAATGATATTCTAGTTTTCTAATTTCACTATTTTGCAGATTCCCCTTACTGTTACAACCAGTGCTGCACAAGGGTCTAGTCAAGACTGTATCCAAGACAAAATTCAGCCATTGGCAGTCCTTATTGATGGTCAGAGGACTTTTTGTTGTTTTTTGGCAATAGTGTACTGGAGATGACTGAGAGATGTTGATACCACATATAGCCTTGTTTATTATTTTCTCTTTTTTTTTTTACAGAGACCAGAGAGAGACCAGACGTATCTGACTGCAATAGGACATCAGGCAGTCCTGCTTGTGAGGTTAGGTTAATTATGGTTGTTTGTCAAAGCAATGATTAACAGTTTGAGGAGACACGGAGGAGACACAGAGGAGACACAGAGGGAGACACAGAGGAGACACAGAGGAGACACAGAAGAGACACGGAGGAGACACGGAGGAGACACGGAGGAGACACGGAGGAGACACGGAGGAGACACGGAGGAGACACAGAAGAGACACGGAGGAGACACGGAGGAGACACAGAGGAGACACAGAGGAGACACGGAGGAGACACGGAGGAGACACGGAGGAGACACGGAGGAGACACAGAGGAGACACAGAGGAGACACCGAGGAGACACAGAAGAGACACGGAGGAGACACAGAGGAGACACAGAGGAGACACGGAAGAGACACGGAAGAGACACAGAGGAGACACGGAGGAGACACGGAGGAGACACAGAGGAGACACAGAGGAGACACGGAGGAGACACAGAAGAGACACGGAGGAGACACGGAGGAGACACAGAGGAGACACGGAGGAGACACGGAGGAGACACAGAGGAGACACGGAGGAGACACAGAAGAGACACGGAGGAGACACGGAGGAGACACGGAGGAGACATGGAGGAGACACTGAAGAGACACGGAGGAGACACGGAGGAGACACAGAGGAGACACAGAGGAGACACGGAGGAGACACGGAGGAGACACGGAGGAGACACGGAGGAGGCACGGAAGAGACACGGAAGAGACACAGAGGAGACACGGAGGAGACACGGAGGAGACACAGAGGAGACACAGAGGAGACACGGAGGAGACACAGAAGAGACACGGAGGAGACACGGAGGAGACACAGAGGAGACACGGAGGAGACACGGAGGAGACACAGAGGAGACACGGAGGAGACACAGAAGAGACACGGAGGAGACACGGAGGAGACACGGAGGAGACATGGAGGAGACACAGAAGAGACACGGAGGAGACACGGAGGAGACACGGAGGAGACACAGAGGAGACACGGAGGAGACACGGAGGAGACACGGAGGAGACACGGAGGAGGCACGGAGGAGACACGGAGGAGACACGAGGAGGCACGTAGGAAGCACGGAGGAGACACAGAGGAGGCACGGTGGAGACACGGAGGAGACACAGAAGAGACACGGAGGAGACACAGAGGAGACACAGAGGAGACACGGAGGAGACACGGAGGAGACACAGAAGAGACACGGAGGAGACACGGAGGAGACACGGAGGAGACACGGAGGAGACACAAAGGAGGCACGGAGGAGACACGGAGGAGACACGGAGGAAGCACGGAGGAGACACGGAGGAGGCACGGTGGAGACACGGAGGAGACACAGAGGAGACACAGAGGAGACACGGAGGAGACACAGAAGAGACACGGAGGAGACACGGAGGAGACACAGAAGAGACACGGAAGAGACACGGAAGAGACACAGAGGAGACACGGAGGAGACACAGAGGAGACACAGAGGAGACACAGAGGAGACACAGAGGAGACACGGAGGAGACACAGAAGAGACACGGAGGAGACACGGAGGAGACACGGAGGAGACACGGAGGAGGCACGGTGGAGACACGGAGGAGACACAGAAGAGACACGGAGGAGACACGGAGGAGGCACGGTGGAGACACGGAGGAGACACAGAAGAGACACGGAGGAGACACGGAGGAGACACAGAGGAGACACGGAGGAGACACGGAGGAGACACGGAGGAGACACGGAGGAGACACGGAGGAGACACGGAGGAGACATGGAGGAGACACAGAAGAGACACGGAGGAGACACGGAGGAGACACGGAGGAGGCACGGAGGAGACACGGAGGAGACACGGAGGAGGCACGGAGGAAGCACGGAGGAGACACGGAGGAGGCACGGTGGAGACACGGAGGAGACACAGAAGAGACACGGAGGAGACACAGAGGAGACACAGAGGAGACACGGAGGAGACACGGAGGAGACACAGAAGAGACACGGAGGAGACACGGAGGAGACACGGAGGAGACACGGAGGAGACACGAAGGAGGCACGGAGGAGGCACGGAGGAGACACGGAGGAGACACGGAGGAAGCACGGAGGAGACACGGAGGAGGCACGGTGGAGACACGGAGGAGACACAGAGGAGACACAGAGGAGACACGGAGGAGACACAGAAGAGACACGGAGGAGACACGGAGGAGACACAGAAGAGACACGGAAGAGACACGGAAGAGACACAGAGGAGACACGGAGGAGACACGGAGGAGACACGGAGGAGGCACAGAGGAGGCACGGAGGAGACACGGAGGAGACACGGAGGAGACACGGAGGAGACACGGAGGAGGCACAGAGGAGGCACGGAGGAGACACGGAGGAGACACGGAGGAGACACGGAGGAGACACGGTGGAGACACGGAGGAGGCACGGAGGAAGCACGGAGGAGACACGGAGGAGACACGGAGGAGGCACAGAGGAGGCACGGAGGAGACACGGAGGAGACACAGAGGAGACACGGAGGAGACACGGAGGAGACACGAAGGAGGCACGGAGGAGGCACGGAGGAGACACGGAGGAGACACGGAGGAAGCACGGAGGAGACACGGAGGAGGCACGGTGGAGACACGGAGGAGACACAGAGGAGACACAGAGGAGACACGGAGGAGACACAGAAGAGACACGGAGGAGACACGGAGGAGACACGGAGGAGACACGGAGGAGACACGGAGGAGACACAGAGGAGACACAGAAGAGATACGGAGGAGACACAGAGGAGACACAGAGGAGACACGGAAGAGACACGGAAGAGACACAGAGGAGACACGGAGGAGACACAGAGGAGACACAGAGGAGACACAGAGGAGACACAGAGGAGACACGGAGGAGACACAGAAGAGACACGGAGGAGACACGGAGGAGACACGGAGGAGACACGGAGGAGACACGGAGGAGACACGGAGGAGACACAGAAGAGACACGGAGGAGACACGGAGGAGACACGGAGGAGACACGGAGGAGGCACAGAGGAGGCACGGAGGAGACACGGAGGAGACACGGAGGAGACACGGAGGAGACACGGAGGAGTTACACAGGAGGCACGGAGGAGACACGGAGAAGACACGGAGGAGACACGGAGGAGACACGGAGGAGACACGGAGGAGACACAGAGGAGACACAGAGGAGACACGGAGGAGACACGGAGGAGACACGGAGGAGACACAGAGGAGACACGGAGGAGACACGGAGGAGACACGGAGGAGACACAGAGGAGACACAGAGGAGACACAGAGGAGACACGGAGGAGACACGGAGGAGACACGGAGGAGACACGGAGGAGACACAGAGGAGACACGGAGGAGACACGGAGGAGACACGGAGGAGACACAGAAGAGACACGGAGGAGACACAGAGGAGACACAGAGGAGACACGGAGGAGACACGGAGGAGACACGGAGGAGACACAGAGGAGACACGGAGGAGACAAAACGACGGCTCCGGGAGTTCTAACAGTTGAATACTTTTGGTCTGAGCTCATAATAAATAATAATAATAATAATAATAATAATAATAATAATAATAATAATAATAAAGCGTTCCGCACTTTGTCGATAGAGTTCTGGTCCGCTCCGTAGAGCCGCAGCCATCGGGTCAGCTCCGAGTCCTCAGGCCGCTCTGTGGTGAGGCTCCTCGGTCCCGGCTGACCCAGGGCGGATGTGGCCACGTCTGCAAAAGAGAGACCACTTTTACTTTCTACACCACTTCCTGTTGTACAATCGAAACCGCAAAGTGCAAAACGACTGTAGAGAAATGTGTCGCAATGACTGTGATTCATTCTGAAGAGGAACGGAGCAGGTCAAAGGATGTATGGGAAAGAGAAAGCTTTTGTTGTTAGTTTATTTAGAATAGGGATAGTCCAAAACTCTCTGTAAATGAACCAGTATTAGCTAGTTAGCAGCTAGTTTTACAACCATACAACCATTATAAAATAGCAATGATTATAAACACACACAAAATACTATTAATTCTCTCAATATCTCCATAAATGGGAAATGGCTCTCGGTGCAAACAAGTATAGAATAGAATAAAAATCAAGAAGTCGTGCTTAAATAAATGATATATTTTGAATTCTCGCTGGTGTGTGCAGATAGTCACCTGTGGGCTCCGATCTCAGCTTCAGGAGCCGGATCTCCTGCTCTCTCTCGTCCAGCACTTGTTGAAGAATGGCCTGGTACTCTCGCTCCTTCTCCAACAGCTGCTCCAACAACCTGCGCAAGAAGTGTTATGTTTTCTACACCACTGGAAACGAGAAACTAAGGCCCTGAGTCCAGACAGAGACAGTGAATCCGCATCCTACACTGGGATACTGCCGCTCCAGTCTGTGAAATATGTCTACGATGATTGCAGACACGGGGAGAACATGCAAACTGCACTCAGAAAGACCCTGTTCCGACCGGGATTCGAACCTCCTCTTTCTCAAAAGCGAGAGTCCTATCCACTCAGCCGTCATAACACTTTACTACAAGCACTTACTGATTGGGGTTCCTTGAGCTAGCGGGTTAGTATTGTCCATTTATGAACGGACCGATGGAGTGAGCGAGGAGTCAATGATGAAGTTCTGTTTTAGTTTTAATCAGCTTATACAACGTGGCTGTATCATGGAACTACTTTAATGGGCGGCACGGTGGCTGAGCGGATAGCACTCTTGCCTCCTGGGTTCGAATCCCGGTCAGAACAGGGCCTTTCTGAGTGGAGTTTTGCATGTTCTCCCCGTGCCTGCGTAGGTTTCCTCCGGGTGCTCCGGTTTCCCCTGCCACTAAAAACATGCACAATAAGTCTGAGTGTAGATGAGAGAGTGAATGGATGGTGTTGGGTCAGAGGCTTTGATGGTCCAGTGTGTTCTGGACTCGCTTCTGTCATCACCGTGTGTGGAAGGATTGGAACAATATCTGACTCTGAACTTTGTAAAGTGCTTTGGGTCTGTACCTTGGTCTGTAAAAATGCGCTATATAAATAAACATTACTTACTTACTACTACTACTAACTTGGCAAGAGTGAACATGTATTTTTTCTGCATCATTTTATCTACACAGGGCTATGATCAAAACCATACAAACTACGGAACAAGTGGTCTCTTTCTCGCAGCTCAAACCAACTTTTTGAGGAGTTACAGGAACAGTACATAACATAACATTTGTGGATCTAGTTTTAATGCACTTTGGTTTGTTATTATTTTAATCCCTTCCATTTCAATGTTCATGTTTATAATGTTCATGTGATTTCATTGTTTATGATTCATGTGATGATGTGAAAGGGGCCGTGATCCACTTTCTGTTGCTCTGTGTAGGATAAGTGCTACAGATAAAGATTGATTGATAGTTGTGTCTTTACTAAACACAGTTCCAAAGCCACAGGTCGTTGGTCTCTGACAGTGGATGAATGTGCTTCACCTGTTGGTCTCCAGCTTCATCCGTCCCAGCTGCAGCGTCACAGACCTCTGTGCGGCGTGAGACTCGTGGGACACGGTGGAGCTGAGCGTGCTGACCCCGGAGGTGACCACGGTGTCTTCGTTTGGAGCCGTGGAGTCTTCGTTCTGAGCCACAGAAGCTCTGCGGCTGTGGTGAGGCTGCGAGAGGCCGCCTTCAGGGTCCTCGTCCACGTCGTCCGGGTCGGCGGGGTCGCTCTCTGAGGCCAGGCTGAAGTGCGGCCTCAGCTCTGAACACATAAACACATTACACACTAGACCCTTTGTGCTTTTGTAAAACCTCTTTGAGCATCCAGAAAAAAAGTTGAGTTTGTTAAAGAGCGACTAAACACCAAATCAACTTTTTTAAACTCATAAACTGCATAAGTATGTTTATTGTAGTGCTGTCTACATATGCTGGTCATTTTTTTGACCTTTTAGTTCAAATTAGATAAAATATCACTTTTGAGCCAAATAATGCTGTGTGGCGCCCTCTCAACCTTTTTGGTGGTACTACATTTGAATTTGGTCCTGGCCTCTCCATTGACTCTGAAGTTCTCTATGACATCAGTTGTTTTGTGTCAGTCTGTCAGAGCCAGTGATATGAACCCATTCAACTCTCACACACGCCCCAGCTGCAGTTTGGAGTATTCTGGCGCCATCTAGTGGATTAAAATTAAATTACATGAGTAATTCTGAGATTATTGAGTGTGATTAGGTTCAGGTGTGTGGCTTTACAATTATCTTAGTGTGTAAACAAGGGTGGAATGAGACTTTCTGGTCTGTAAACTATTGCTTTATAACCTTGCCTGCAAGCTGAATTCTCGCGGTATTTTGTGAGTTCACAAACACTCGAGAATACATCTTGTACCGCTCCCGCTTACACTTTTCGAGTCGAACCACTGGGTGTGCGAGCCAATCACGCGCCAGTCTGGGGGTTTAGGGCGGGATATCCGGGTTTGACGAAAGCAAGAAGTGCCGGGCCGAAGCAAAACAAACATGGCTACGCAGGAGGACGGACGCGTAGCTGAGGCTATCAAGTCAGTTTTAGCAGAATCTCCAATTTCTTTTTTGAAAGATGAACAGCGAGAGGCGCTTTGTGCATTTCTGGACGGCAAAGATGTTTGTGCATTTTTACCTACGTAAGTCAAACCTTGGTAGGCGGGCACACAGCGTCACTTCGCCCAATCAGCTTCAAGTATTCTGCTGCTTATCCCTCCTTTCCCCGAAAGGATTCTCCGTGAGAAATCCCAGATTGATATCGCGGAGAACGCGTTAGAGTTCTACACAATCATCAATCTGGCTCTTGCCAGGTTAATTGCTTTAAGCAGCAATGACAACTGTCTGTTTTTTTTTTTTGTGACAAGTGAGCTGTCAATCACAGCCCAGACCACGCCCAACTCTAAGCCCCCCTTCTTGTCCCTTGGTTCTCCAGGCAACGCCCTTTTTAGAGAAAATTTTCAAATCTTCATGTTGGCGGAGTAAGGCTGGGCACAGGTGTTTAGTCGCTCTTTAAGGACAATGTCTAAATCTGTAGCAGTTACTTGAAAAATATGGCTGCAACAGATTTAGCATCATCAATACAATCGTTTCAGCGTATATATTAAAATACAGTTAAAAAAGTGCAAATTACCAACGTAGTTAAAGTCACAACGTACAAAATACAACATAAATTAACATTTAGCAACAAATTTAGAAAGTGCAAATTCCTGGTATAAGGTGGAATACAAAGTTACAGTACAGTATGTGGGGGCAGGTCCCGGCTCAAAAACGTTCATGAGCATGTGCGCTGCACCGCTGACATAATTGCAATTTCACTTCTCGGCGGTGGGGGTGTACCCGGAAAGAGAATTATCCAACGCTTTTGTATGGTGTCTTCTTATCTCTCAAAAACGGCTCTACACGATGGTCCAAAAGTGGCTCTTGGTCCAAAGCTATGTTCCTGATGTTGTCAATGTTGAGGGGAGTATATATTTTGAAACCAGTCTAGTTTAGTCGCTGTGGACTTTTGAATGCACTTATTAAATGAATGGGGCTGATGCAGGTAATGCATGTTGCAAAAAAACGCAATTGTTTTTTTCACATTTTCCACCACTTTTTGCCCACAGAAGGCATAAGTGATGGCACATTAGTTTCAACGGCGGGATAGGTGTGACTACATCCGTTAATATTTACAGTCTATGGTAAAAACAGTCGTCCATCTGCTTTGTTTTGCTCCATCACCTGTTGGTAAAGTGCTAAGTGTCTTCAAAACATGAAAACCTGTGGCTTATATTCGTGTGCGGCCTATATGTGGACAAAATATACATTCTTTTAACTCTTATCTGGTGCGGTTACCTACAGGTGTGCTCTATAGTCCAGATAGTTCTGAAGTCTCTCTCTAAGACCCTGCAGACCCTGTACACTTACTACAATATTAGCTTCAATAACACATCCGTCGTATCGTCCTCCTCCGTCGCTCCAGGACCAGAGGATATTGTGGCCTTCTCTCCACAGACTCATATCAAGCAGCGTGCGGGGCCTGGGGGGGCTCACCTGGCACGAGGATGGTGATGGCGGTCTGCACGGCCTTTCGGATGATGTTGTCCAGAGCAAACATCCAGTGGGGCTTGATGTTGTGGTTTCGCAGCACTTTGTTCACCTGAAGAAAGAGAACGATCCCTCAGAAAAGTGCAGCATAACGTGGCGTGATGGGAGAAGGTTTTCAGCTTATTGCAGTTTTCAGAACTTGTACTCCTTCTGTGCACATTACCCATAATGCTTTGTGCCTTGCGGGGTAGTGAGCTGTATGATATATCGCTGTGTGGACCATCGGACTATTAGGGAAGTGCTCATGGGAAAAGGTGCTTTGCCTTTGCAGTAGCTGAACTCACATTCAGAACAACAAGGTGAATATCTAATTAACCTGTAGTTTGTCGTGCTGCGGTTTATTGTTTATTGTGTTATCATAAATAGTCATGGTACGTTAAAAATGGTGAAGTTATAATCCTCCAGTCGTTTGCAGCTAAAATGAATATTCAAACAGGAAGAACTAAGCTCACAGCGTTAACAGTCCTCCCACTGTCGCTAACGGCAACAGCATCTGTCAATCACACTGAGCTGCAGCACCACACTGCTCTCATCTGGCAGCAATCGGCTTCATATCACGACAAAGCTCCATCAAAGCAGAAGCTTCGATCGCGCAACAACCCTCCTCCTCCCCATCTCCGCCTCGTCCTTCATCCTTCTCCTCGCTCTCACCAGAGTCTAGTAAGTAAGTAAGTAATCTTTATTTATATACCGCCTTTTCACTGCAGATCTGAGTCTCAAAGCGGTTTATAATTGTTAATTATGGGCATTTATCTCTCACTCCACACAGAGATGGGAGCGGGGCCAGTACAGGAGGCGCATGCCAGACATGCCTATTGGACATATTTTTAGTGGTAGGGGAAACCGGAGTACCCGGAGGAAACCTACGCAGACACGGGGAGAACATGCAAACTCCACTCAGAAAGGCCCTGGTCCGACCGGGATTCGAACCCAGGACCTTCTTGCTGAGAGGCGAGAGTGCTATCCACTCAGCCACCGTGCCGCCCAGTCTAGGCCGTCATCTCATAATCTCTTTCCCTTCTGCATCATCAGGTCTCTGTCGGGGTCTAAGGCCAAATCAGGAGGCCAGTCCCTGTGCTTCTCAGAGTTGGTTCATATGGCACTAACATGTCACAGATGTACTTTGGTGCGAGGCCGTGGAGAGACTTGCAACAAACAGAGCTACTTTAAAGGGCCCATATCACGGTTTTTGACTTTTCTCTGCTTTAAACATGATTACAATGCTATTTGGCCTCATACACAAGCCCACAGTAGTTTATTCATTGATTCTGTCAATCTTTTGTAAGAGAACAATCTGTCTCCTTCCCCAGCGTGAGGCACAGAAACGCTCGGGTCCACTTCAGTGACGAAAACCACACTGATGACGCGCATGACCCCGTTTGCTTTGTATTTAAAATAGTTGTTAAATACTTTTGTCAAAACGGGGTAAACAATACACAATTAGTATGCTGTTTTTTGTCAAAAATAATAAAAATAAGACCACCATAGACTGAAAAAGAGAGAGAGGCAGACATGTAGGGGGGGGGGGGGGGACTGTAACTGGTGTTCTGAGTTGTGAGTCTGAGATAGATAAGAGTCCAGTGTCAGCCTTGAGTGGCCGTGTGTGGTGGTGGAATGTGAAGGACAAAGATAGCGCAGGTGCCTGCAAACATTGGAGACAAAACAACACATGCCCTTGTGGGAAATTTGAGTAAGCACTTTTAGCTGATCAAAGGCAGTGTAAACTAAAGCCAATATGTCCAAATTATACTGGAACTGGACCCTCCGTTCACCGTTATCCGGAGTTGACCACGTCAGTACGAGGTTCCACCGTGAGGCCCAAGTCCTTCAATCAATCCTTCCACGCGTTTAAGTCCATCCAAAGATCTCACTCCCAGGTCGTTAAGGGAATGTTCGATCCGACTCACACCCTGTTGTGTCCCCACTGTGCCCTCGACCACGACTCTGACCAACTCGCGGAAACTCTCCTTGTTTTCCGCGGACAGCCGCTCGTAAATCTTCTGAGTGGACAGCCCTCCAACTTTGCGGTAGATCAAGCCAACTCCAAATCCAATCAGGAGGAACCCTGCTACCATAAATCCAAAAATGTATATATCCTCAATGTCCTCGATGGACAGTCCCGACAGACAAACGGGGTGCCACTTTTGCCAGTTGTCAAAAACGTACCCAGCAGCCGCCGTACCATCCGGGCAAACGGCATCTCCAGAACCGCCTTTACGTGATGAAAAAATAGTATCAATTGCGTTGAGGGACCAGTTGATTAATTCCATCATTTTTTCAAGTTGTATACAGGCAGAAGTCTTCAAGAGCTTCAAGAGTCGCGCGTAATACGCGCTCACTTAAAGCTTTTGACGCGCGAAACGCTCGCGTATCAAAACAATCGCTTTGACGCCGAAGCTGAGCAAAGCTGAGCTTTTGAAGCTTTGACGCGGGCTTCAACCAATCAGGAGACGAGGAGCAGCAGCAGCAGAGGGTCTGTCTCTGTCATGAAGAGAAGTCATGTATCTGCTGCTGCTGTTTTATTGTCATTATTGTTATTAGTAATATTATTTGTATGAGTAGTAACGTTCTGAGTAACAAAAATCATTGTACACGTGCTGTGTAGTAAACGTAGTTTATTTAAAATAAGAACAGGCTGACGATGAGTCTGGCTCAGAGCAAGGCAGCTCCGGGCGAGCGAGAGCCGGGGAGAGGCGAGCGAGAGCCGGGGAGAGGCAGGGAGAGGCGAGCGAGAGGCAGGGAGAGGCGGGGAGAGGCAGTGAGATGCAGGGAGAGCCGGGGAGAGGCAGGGAGAGGCGAGAGCGAGGCGGGGAGAGGGGAGCTCCGGGGTTTGAGAACTCAGACTGGGCGAGTGACATGCGGAAGTACCGCTGAAAGCGAGACTCCTCCGTACACAGCTCCTGGAGTAAATGACGGAACTCTGCAAACACTGCAGCCTCTCAAGTCTGTGGTGAACCCAGAACATGTTTTGTTGAAGCCCTACAACAACGTTATTTTGCTTTATATAACAAATAAAGGCTCGCTGCTCATTGAAAAATCCACCGCTGTCCTGACTACAGACAACAGAGAAGCTCCTCCCACAGACAACAGAGAAGCTCCTCCCACAGACAACAGAGAAGCTCCTCCCACCCCCGTCAAGCGCGTCACTCGCGTCAAAAGCTTCAAGCACCAAAATGACAAAACTATCCCGGCGTCAGTTGAAGCGCGTCAAAAGCTTTTTGAAGCTTTTGGTCTGAACGCGCCTTTAGGATCACGTCAACTTGAATGAAGTGTGTTATGGGTGTAAATATGTGACACACTATTTGGCCCTAAGAGGAAGAAAGCGGCTCGACTTTTTTCATCTGTTCATCTCATGGATCTATTATAAACCGGTTCATCTGCGACACTTCACTGAGACTGTTCCAGAACTACAGGGACAATGGAACTGGACTTACTCAAAGGCTGATCTGGAAACACGTTATTCCCACGGTAAAAGACGTAACTCAGACCCCCTCGATCTGTAAGTAGTGACGCTAACTCGCTGTATACTTCTGTAAACTAAATAACTAGGGTCTGATTGTGCATCGAGGACATAGGGCTCCATGTGACGGATTGTCATTGTTGGAAAAAGTTTATTCTTATGTATGAAATGACTAAGTACAGGTGATAAACGACAAAAGCGTGATGCTACGTCAGCGTGCGGGCGGGGGGAGGCGGGTGAGGGCGGGGGGAGGCGGGTGAGGGTGGGGGAGGCGGGTGAGGGTGGGGGAGGCGGGTGAGGGCGGGGGGAGGCGGGTGAGGGTGGGGGGAGGCGGGTGAGGGCGGGGGGAGGCGGGTGAGGGCGGGGGGAGGCGGGTGAGGGCGGGGGGAGGCGGGTGAGGGCGGGGGGAGGCGGGCTCACAGAGAGAGGAGCAGACTCTGGATCAGCTCGTTTGAGTCGAGGTGACGTCACCTCTATACAAGAGATGGCTCTAATCTCACAAGCTTTGATTGTTGTGTGGTGTATCATACACATTAATATCACACATGTGTATAGGACTGAGTGTGAAACATGAAGAAAAGCGTGATATAGGACCTTTAAAGTCTTTAAAGTCTCTTCTCTGAGCCACAGGACCCAGAGCAGAGACCTGAGTGTTTATGATTGTATTCCTGGGTGTATTATGGTGAGAAAGAGGCACAAAAAGAGAATTGAACTCACCGCATCCTGAAAGCCGAACAGCACCACCTGCAGCTGGCTGATGGCAGTGCTGTCAAAGTCCAGCTCCAGTTTGAGCTGAGACAAAATGTTTGCAATGATTTTCCGATCCGCCACCCGCACGAAGTCTGCCAAACTGGAGACGAGCGTGGAAATGTTCTGTGGCTTCAGCTTGGTTTCCTCAGACCCCTGCACCAGACCATAAAGACACTCACAGCGCTGTAATGGTCTGAATAAACGCCTCTCCATCTGTCTGTGTCTCACCTGTGTCAGCGCGTCCATGAGGTTAGCCACCACTTTGTCCTGGTCCTCGGTGAGAATGCGGTGCAGCGTGGCTCGCCTCTCGCTGTCTTTCCGAAGCAGAAAGAAGCCGGAGTCTTTCTCGTCTGGAGACGGTGGGGCACTGTGGTCCTCAAAGTTCTCCACTGGAATGCTGCACAAATTCCCACGAAAAAGGCCCCCATATTGTCAAAAATATGTTTTGGTGTGCTGGCTGTCAAGGAAAAATATTGGACAAAAAAAAAGTAAGTAAGTAATATTTATTTTTATAGCGCCTTTCACAGACCAGAGTCAAAAAGCACTTTGCAAATGGTGTGGGCATTTGTCTCTGACTCCACACAGAGATGGGAGCGAGGTTGTCTACAGGAGGTACATGCCAGACCTATTGTACATGGTCTGGCATGTACAATAGGTCTGGCCCCTAATAGGCCCGTTAGGGGAAACCGGAGCACCCGGAGGACACCTGCACAGTCACGAGGAGAACACAAGTGCTAACCACTGCGCCACCATGCTGTCCATTCAATTCTCAATATATCTAAATTTCCCCAGTTACGCTACAAAGCTAACGCAATCGATACAAATTACCATATAAGGAAATGGATCCAGCTTGCTAAGGTTCAAATCGGCTTCTTCCGCATTCAGGCTAAACACTATCAATCTACCAACTGAGCCCCTCTGTGAATGATGATTATATTAATGTCTTACTGCATTTGTCATCTTGAGCCTTATCCTCCAAACAAACAAACAAACAAATAAACAGATAAAAGAGAGGAGAGACCTCAGGAAGAGCGAGCGTGGCCCCTTCACTTCTCTCTCGCTCAGACTTTTGCCGCTGGATTTGAAGTTGAAGGGGTTGGTGTGGAGGTCGTTGTCAGGGGAGACAGAGCCGTACTCGCTGCTGCTGCTGGTGTCCTCCACCACCACCGGCACCGGCAGAGAGATGCTGCGCAGGTACTCTGCAACACAACCACACAACCACACTCCTCACTCCACACTCTACACTCCACACTCCACACTCTACATGACTCATTAAGGCCAGGCTTAAATGGTTAGGTAGGTGAGACTCAGGTGGGACCAGAGAGGGACTAGAGAGAGACCAGAGAGAGAAAGACCATGGAGAGCAAAGAGTTCAGAGAGAGAGCATAGAGAGACCAGAGAGAGAGAGACCAGAGAGAGAGAGAGACCAGCGTCCAGAGACAATGTCCAAAGAGAGGTCGGAGGGAGATCAAAGAGTGACCAGTGAGAGACCAGAAAGACTAGAGAGAGACCAGAGAGAGACCAGAGAGAGACCAGAGAGAGACCAGAGAGAGAAAGACCACGGAGAGCAAATAGTTCAGAGAGAGAGCATAGAGAGACCAGAAAGACCAGAGAGCGACCAGAAAGACCAGAGAGAGACCAGAGAGAGACCAGAGAGAGACCAGAGAGACCAGAGAGTGACCAGTGAGAGACCAGAGAGAGAGAGAGATCAAAAAGTCCAAAGAGAGATTGGAGGGAGATCAAAGAGCTACCAGAGAGCGACCAGAAAGACCAGAGAGAGACCAGAGAGAGACCAGAGAAAGACCAGAGAGACCAGAGAGAGACAAGAGAGTCCAGAGAGACTTGTGACTTTCTGGTGAGACAAATAACATGAAAGGTGGTAGTAGTGGTACTACTTCCAACTGAATAAACAACCAAAACATTTAACAATTCCAAGAAAATCCTGAAGATCCCGTGTATGTGTGTTGTGTAATGTGTGTTTAGGTGCGGCGGGAACACACTGAGCAGACATTATAAGAAGGCTTGTCTGTAATTGTTTGAGAATAGATGAAAAGTACCTCACCTGACCCAGAGGAAGGAGCTGGAAGGACAAGAAACACAAAGAGGCGTCAGCTATGAGTGGCACTTCCCAAAAGAGTTCTTTGTAATAATTTCCGTGAAATCTCTCTCTCTCTCACTCTCTCTCTCTCACACACATTCTTAAAGCAGAGAACGTGCCAATTATACTGTTAGAGCCGAACAATAGATTTTATAGTCGACAAAGGATTCCTGACCCACTGCTTTTGGCTCGGAATGGAAGAATAGTCTCAGAACTTTACTTGTTCCCCTGCTCAAGCTGACCATGACTATAGGCAGCAGAGAGAGAGACCAGAGAGAGAGACCAGAGAGAGACCAGAGAGAGGCTGTAGAGAGGCTGGAGAGAGAGACCAGAGAGAGGCTGGAGAGAGACCAGAGAGAGACCAGAGAGAGAGACCAGAGAGAGGCTGGAGAGAGAGACCAGAGAGAGGCTGGAGAGAGACCAGAGAGAGACCAGAGAGAGAGACCAGTGAGAGAGACCAGAGAGAGGCTAGAGAGAGAGACCGGAGAGAGACCAGAGAGAGACCAGAGAGAGACCAGAGAGAGACCAGAGAAAGACCAGAGTGAGGCTGGAGAGAGAGACCAGAGAGAGGCTGGAGAGAGAGAAACCAGAGAGAGGCTGGAGAGAGAGGCTGGAGAGAGAGACCAGAGAGAGACCAGAGAGAGACCAGAGAGAGAGACCAGAGTGAGAGGCCAGAGAGACGCCAGAGAGAGAGAGACCAGAGAGAGAGACTAGAGAGAGAGACCAGAGAGAGAGACTAGAGAGAGAGACCAGAGAGGGGCTGGGGAGAGAAAACAGAGAGAGAGGCCAGAAAGGGACCAGAAAGAGAGAGAGATCAGAAAAAGACTGGAGCAAGAGACCAAAAAAAGACCAGAGAGAGGGACCAGAGAGAGACAAGAGAGAGGCTGGAGACCAGAGAGAGATCAGAGAAAGAGAGAGACCAGAGAGCGAGATCACAGAGGGACCAGAGAGAGAGAGGGAGAGATCAAAAAAATACCAGAGACCAGAGAGAGCAAACTGAGCGAAACACCAGAAAGAGATCAGAGAGAGATATCAGAGAACTTTTAGAATAAATCAAACTAGCTTTAAAATGAGGTATAACTAAAACTGGTCCTTGGAGCCGGATTTGGCCTCTGCGTCTGAAGTCCGTGTGTTTTGTGGATGTGTTGCACTGAAAGTACCGCTGAGGCTGCTCTTGCTCTTCTTCTTGCGGCTGGTGACGGTCAGGAACAGGTCGGTGAGCAGGTCTGTGGCCGTGGCGCGTCGGTCTGGATCCGGCTCGAAGCAGCGGAGGATGAAAGCTTTGGCCTCCAGCGACATGGACTCTGGGATCTCTGGGTGGATCTTAAACATCCCCACCTGGAGAAGGCAGAGGGCAGAGGAGGCAGGGGTTTTATATGGCATTCCTTCATACAATGTATAAAGCAGATAGTTATGGATGTCAGGATTTAAATTAGAAAACATGAAGTCTCTCAACAATTATAATTACAAGATCTCCTGCCATTTACTTTCCCTTGACCATATGCACTGTGTCATGTCAATCAAAGTCTGTGCATTCAAAAAACGCCAAAAGTTTCAAAGTTTTCTTCATTTATGGGTGAGTTTAATCCAGTTAGAGAGACCAGAGAGATGTTAGAGAGAGAGAGAGAGAGACCAGAGAGAGACCAGAGAGAGGTTAGAGAGAGAGAGACCAGAGAGAGACCAGAGAGAGGTTAGAGAGAGAGAGAGAGACCAGAGAGAGACCAGAGAGATGTTAGAGAGAGAAAGAGAGACCAGAGAGAGACCAGAGAGAGGTTAGAGAGAGAGAAACCAGAGAGAGACCAGAGAGAGGTTAGAGAGAGAGAGAGAGACCAGAGAGAGGTTAGAGAGAGAGAGAGAGACCAGAGAGGTTAGAGAGAGAGACCAGAGAGAGGTTAGAGAGAGAGAGAGACCAGAGAGGTTAGAGAGAGAGACCAGAGAGAGGTTAGAGAGAGAGAGACCAGAGAGAGGTTAGAGCGAGAGAGAGAGAGACCAGAGAGAGGTTAGAGAGAGAGAGAGAGACCAGAGAGAGGTTAGAGAGAGACCAGAGAGAGACCAGAGAGAGAGACCAGTGAGAGAGACCAGAGAGAGGTTAGAGAGAGAGAGATCAGAGAGAGGTTAGAGCGAGAGAGAGAGAGACCAGAGAGAGGTTAGAGAGAGAGAGAGAGACCAGAGAGGTTAGAGAGAGAGACCAGAGAGAGGTTAGAGAGAGAGAGGTTAGAGAGAGAGACCGGAGAGAGGTTAGAGAGAGGGACCAGAGAGAGGTTAGAGAGAGAGACCATAAAGAGGTTAGAGAGAGAGACCAGAAAGAGACCAGGGAGAGGTTAGAGAGAGAGAGAGACCAGAGAGGTTAGAGAGAGAGACCAGAGAGAGGTTAGAGAGAGAGACCAGAGAGAGGTTAGAGAGAGAGAGAGACCAGAAAGAGACCAGGGAGAGGTTAGAGAGAGAGAGAGACCAGAGAGGTTAGAGAGAGAGACCAGAGAGAGGTTAGAGAGAGAGACCAGAGAGAGGTTAGAGAGAGGGACCAGAGAGAGGTTAGAGAGAGAGACCAGAGAGAGGTTAGAGAGAGATCAGAGAGGTTAGAGAGAGAGACCAGAGAGAGGTTAGAGAGAGAGACCGGGGAGAGGTTAGAGAGAGGGACCAGAGAGAGGTTAGAGAGAGAGACCATAGAGAGGTTAGAGAGAGAGACCAGATAGAGAACAGAGAGAGAGACCAGAGAGAGGTTAGAGAGAGAGAGAGAGACCAGAGAGAGGTTAGAGAGAGAGACCAGATAGAGAGCAGAGAGAGAGAGACCAGAGAGAGGTTAGAGAGAAAGACCAGAGAGAGGTTAGAGAGAGAGACCAGAGAGAGGTTAGAGAGAGACCAGAGAGAGGTTAGAGAGAGAGACCAGAGAGAGGTTAGAGAGAGGGACCAGAGAGAGGTTAGAGAGAGAGACCAGATAGAGAGCAGAGAGAGAGAGACAGAGAGAGGGTAGAGAGAGAGATCAGAGAGAGGTTAGAGAGAGAGACCAGATAGAGAGCAGAGAGAGAGAGAGAGACCAGAGAGAAGTTAGAGAGAGAGAGAGGTTAGAGAGAGAGACCAGCGAGAGGTTAGAGAGAGAGACCAGAGAGAGGTTAGAGAGAGAGACCAGAGAGAGGTTAGAGAGAGGGACCAGAGAGAGGTTAGAGAGAGAGACCAGAGAGAGGTTAGAGAGAGAGACCAGATAGAGAGCAGAGCGAGAGAGAGACAGAGAGAGGGTAGAGAGAGAGACCAGAGAGAGACCAGAGAGAGGTTAGAGAGAGAGACCAGAAAGAGGCTAGAGAGAGAGAGACCAGATAGAGGTTAGAGAGGCCAGAGAGAGGGTAGAGAGAGACACCAGAGAGAAGGTAGAGAGAGAGACCAGGGAGAGGTTAAAGAGAGAGACCAGAGAGAGGGTAGAGAGAGAGAGCAGAGAGAAGGTAGAGAGCGACCAGAGAGAGGTTAGAGAGACTAGAGAGAGGGTAGAGAGTGAGAGGTTAGAGAGAGAGACCAGAGAGAAGGTAGAGAGACCAGGGAGAGGTTAAAGAGAGAGACCAGAGAGAGGGTAGAGAGAGAGCAGAGAGAAGGTAGAGAGAGAGACCAGAGAGAGGTTAGAGAGACTAGAGAGAGGGTAGAGAGAGAGAGCAGAGAGAAGGTAGAGAGAGAGACCAGAGAGAGGTTAGAGAGAGAGCACCAGAGAGAAGGTAGAGAGACCAGGGAGAGGTTAAAGAGAGAGACCAGAGAGAGGGTAGAGAGAGAGCAGAGAGAAGGTAGAGAGAGAGACCAGAGAGAGGTTAGAGAGACTAGAGAGAGGGTAGAGAGAGAGAGCAGAGAGAAGGTAGAGAGAGAGACCAGAGAGAGGTTAGAGAGAGAGAGAGAGGGTAGAGAGTGAGAGGTTAGAGAGAGAGACCAGAGAGAGGTTAGAGAGAGAGAGAGCAGAGAGAGACCCAAGAGATGATAGAAAGTACCATAGAGAGACCAGAAAGACGCCAGAGAGAGAGCAGAGAGAGAGACACACACCAGAGAGAGAGAGACCAGGGGGAAACTTCAGCACAAAAAAATCCTCAGAATAACTGTAGTTTTATAAATTACTTTAAATTAGATTGAATTTAAAACGAGTCGATGCTAACCATGTGTCATTCAGAACATTGGAAATGCTAATCCAGACGCACACCAGGGGAGGTCTCTCTCACTGATTTGGTCATTCATGAGTTTGATTGACAGTAATGGAGCAAAACATGTCCCAGCTGCAGGCGGTAGGAAGAGAGGGGGAATGTGAGGTCGGGACCAGGACGAGACCGAGCAACACGAGTAGTTTGGAGGATGAGAGACAGAACCAGAGCAGAGAAAATGATGCATTACTATAATTATTATTATTATTATAAAGTCAACAGATATGAAGGCCAGAGCTTTAAAACAAGGGACCAGAGAAAGAGAGACCAGAGAAAGAGAGACCAGAGAAAGAGAGACCAGAGAGAGGGACCAGAGAGAGACCAGAGAGAGAGAAAGAGACCAGAGAGATGATAGAGAGAGGGACCAGAGAGAGACCAGAGAGTGAGAGAAAGACTGAGAGAGAGACCAGAGAGAAACCAGAGAGAGGGACCAGAGAGAGACCAGAGAGTGAGAGAAAGAGAGAGAGAGAGCAGAGAGAGGGACCAGAGAGAGAGACCAGAGAGAGAGAGAACCAGAGAGAGAGACTAGAGATAGATCAGACACTAAAGTACAGTAAACCTGAACCCGGCCAAAACAAATACCAGTGTTTGTTTTTCATTACGCAGGACCAGGACCAGGACCAGGACCAGGACCAGGACCAGGACCAGGACCAGGACCAGGACCAGGAGCACAGTCTGACAGCTTCATGTGTGTGACCCAATGGTGTAGGTTTGGTTCCAATCTTGGTGGGGACATTCACTACGACCTGAGTCTACACCCATTGACACGGGGTCCAGAGTTTCTCCCCCAGAATTTGTGGTGTAATCACACACTATATTTGCAATAGTGTGTTGCCTTCTACACTAAACTCAGCTGTAGACTGAATGAGAAGCAGTTATGTATGTTAACAGAAGATTAATCATCACAATTCATAATTTGCTATTACTTGTGCTTTCTCTTACTTACTTTCCAACTGTTAAAAAAGCTCCTGATATCTTTTATCTTTTTTTGTGGAGGTGGCATTTTTTCTAAATTATATAAGAAGGTATAGACAATCAAAAACAGACATTCATATACATGAACTGCAGAATCATTTATATAACTTGGCCAATGTCAAAAGTTACATAGTATTTCTCAATACAATGAGTTAACAAGAGTTTGGCAATAAGTAACAGTGTGGATTTTTCTATATTTTCTTTTTTTTATTCCACTCTCAACCCAAAAAGGCAAGTAATGACTCACAGGGCTCTCAAGTATGCAAAATAAAAACTTAAATGACCTGTTGTGGTGTGTTTTGCGCACAACCAGCATGCATCGTTAACGCAATGGAAAATTTAGGTATCCGAGCTTTAATTTCGGGAGCGCTGGTTGCGCTTTGGGAAGAGTCAGGGGAGAGACATGTCAGAGACACAGGGGAGAAACGGGGGAGATACGAGGGAGACCCGCACTTGCAACATGGTTCTGTCTGCATATGGTCCGAGCTCGGTACCATGTTAGAGCTGTGCTTTCACTGAGCGCCGCGGCTGTCATTACAAAGCGGCAGCAGCTGCACCAGGACGTGCACATTCGAGTGCATCGCTTGAATGTGCTTAGAGCAAATAACAGCAAGTGCCCGCTGTCACACATTTCACAGAAATTACATTATCAGCAGATAAAGGTTGTAAATCGTGGATCCGTGGAATATTTTCATCCCTAGTTTATCCTGATTCACACAACACACCCACTTATACATTTTGGATAGTAAGAGCACAATAAGTATTTTTTCAGCCTTTCAACCAACCTGTTTCTTTATTGGAGCCAGTTCTGTTCTGTCTCTGTGCCGTGTGAGCTCCTCGGAACATTAAACAGTGCGCTGACAGATTAGAAATAACGTAAGTACTTTGAATGGTAATAGATCTACAGTACTTTCCTCTGATTACTCACGTGCTACAACGCTCAGGGAACGAAAAAAAACACTTGCTTCACGCTGGCAAACTTTAAAAAATTAAACAGTCGCTCAGTGCTTCAGTTTGGCGCTGAAGAAGACAGCCAATCACTGCAGAGAACGGAACGGGTCACGTGCTGCTGCTGCTGCTGTTGCTCTGGAGGCGAGGAGGAGGCGCGACGTGTGCACAAACGGAAGACATGTGTCCCGGACCGTCCGGGTCACGGGACATCATGTCATTTTGGTGGGGACTTATTAGTCCTCACCAAATATTGGTGGGGACATGTCCCCATGGTCCCCACGCAAACCTACGCCCTTGGTGTGACCGAGCAAACACACTTGGCAAGGTAAACACACATCAATTATAGCTTCAAACAGAGGCGGACCAGAAGACGCACCAGGAGACGGACCAGCAGACGCACCAGGAGGCGGACCAGCAGACGCACCAGCAGACGCAGCTCCGAGGACTACACCGCTGTTTGTGTTCAAATAACCGTGTGTATGGGAGAAATACTTGGAGTGAAAACTATGCCAGCAACAAGTGCATACTCGACCGTGTCTGCCATAACAACACATGGGGCGAAACTGAGTCAAAATACATGTCATTTATTATGTTATTAACTGTATTTAGGTCTAAACATACAGACATACAGCGTCAAATCATAACTGCAGTTGTGTGTACGATCAAAACTTAAAAACATACTGTGTGGAGCTCAAAAGGAGGAAGTAGAAGTGAAGAAATACTTAAATTAGCGGTTAGAGGGTTTGGTCTCTTTGTCTGAATCTGGCCTCTTATATCTGCACCTGTGGACTGGTCTCTGTGAGTCCTGGGTCTACAGCCTCAGTCCTGGATCTACAGCCTCAGTCCTGGATCTGCAGCCTCAGTCCTGGATCTGCAGCCTCAGTCCTGGATCTACAGTCTCAGTCCTGGATCTAAGGCCTCAGTCCTGGATCTACGGCCTCAGTCCTGGGTCTACAGCCTCAGTCCTGGGTCTACAGTCTCAGTCCTGGATCTACATTCTCAGTCCTGGATCTACATTCTCAGTCCTGGGTCTACAGTCTCAGTCCTGGATCTACATTCTCAGTCCTGGATCTACGGCCTCAGTCCTGGATCTACGGCCTCAGTCCTGGATCTACAGCCTCAGTCCTGGGTCTACGGCCTCAGTCCTGGGTCTACAGCCTCAGTCCTGGATCTGCAGCCTCAGTCCTGGATCTGCAGCCTCAGTCCTGGATCTACAGTCTCAGTCCTGGATCTAAGGCCTCAGTCCTGGATCTACGGCCTCAGTCCTGGGTCTACAGCCTCAGTCCTGGGTCTACAGTCTCAGTCCTGGATCTACGGCCTCAGTCCTGGATCTACGGCCTCAGTCCTGGATCTACAGCCTCAGTCCTGGATCTACAGCCTCAGTCCTGGGTCTACAGCCTCAGTCCTGGATCTACAGCCTCAGTCCTGGGTCTACAGCCTCAGTCCTGGGTCTACAGCCTCAGTCCTGGATCTACAGCCTCAGTCCTGGATCTACAGCCTCAGTCCTGGATCTACAGCCTCAGTCCTGGATCTACAGCCTCAGTCCTGGATCTACAGCCTCAGTCCTGGAGTCTGACCTTGAACATAGCGGCCTGAGGCTCTCCCAGCTCGTAGAAGGGCGGTCTCCCCGTGGCCATCTCGATGATGGTGCAGCCCAGGGACCAGATGTCGGCTGGTTTCCCGTATCCACGAGGACCTTTGTCTATGATCTCAGGAGCCATGTACTGCAGGGTGCCTACACACAGAGGGAGACATTCGTTTATCATTGACTGTAACGTACATGTGCCTCCTGTACTGGCGCCCCCACTCCCAAAAATAACAATTGTAAACCGCTTTGAGACTCCGATGTGCAGTGAAAAGGCGGTATATAAATAAAGATTACTTACTACTACTACTACTTGAAAAAGTTATTGGAAACAGAAAAGCTGCTCTAGTAATTCATATGAAATTACTAATTTATAAGAAAAAATATGCATTAATTTTATCCAATAAATTATATTGAGACAAGTTTTAGAATGTGTAATGTAAAATAATGTAGAAAATATAGGGGGAAACAAGTGAGGGTAAAAAGTGCTGTTGGCTGCACTATCCCAAAGCTACCACCAGAGGGAGGACATTCACAAATTTAAAAGCTACCAGCTGCAAACACTGACCTGCGATTGTAAAGAACTAATTTATGGTCAATATTTTATAACATTTTAACACAAGCACACCCAGAATTCCGAAACTTCTAGAACTCAGAACCCAGAGCAGTCTTTTTGACGGCTCCCATTCAATCAATGGAATTCTAAAAAGTTCCCTCTCAAAAAAATGTTTTTGTTTTCCATTAGTTTGATTGAAATTAAGAAAGTTTGTTTATAAAACCTGAAACACAGCAAAAACAGGTTGTCGAAAGGCTAAATGCTAAAGGCTAAATGCTAAAAGCTAAATGCTAAAGACTAAATGCTACATGCTAAAGGCTAAATGCAAACGGATAAATGCAAACTGCTGTCAGGTAAACAGCGGGTTGCTATGGAAACCAGCACTCTTTCTTCTCAACTCAGAATCAGAACCAGCCCCTTGGAGAACAGCAGCTTTAACTACCATAAAACGTTGGTTGGAGCAGTCTTCCTGAAAATGTGAGACGGGCTTCTTCTCTGACAATGTTCAAATCCAGGTTAAAACCAGTTCTGTTTTGCTGCAAATACAACTGAAGGATTTTATTTTGACTCTTTTTAATGTACTGTGATTATTCGTGATGGCACAGATTGGCCCTTCTCAATCTCCTTTGGTGTGTAGAGGTAAATCTGGTCCAAAATGTAAAACTGCAGGACAAGCATGCGGCCATTTTCCACCTTTAAAATTAGGACCTCTCTTCCGAATGGCCCAGATCCCTTTGGAGTCACAAAAATCATGGGGAACTCGTGGAAACTTATGTAAGGATGTGTTCTTTGATAGTCTGAACAAAGAGGCCCACGCAAGATTTTTGGATGCCATTTAGTAAAATAGAAAAGAAACAAAACCACACATAAACTAATGTAGTTACACCTTTAGTCTTGAATTATTAAGCAATACTATTATTTAAAACTAAAGATTGTGTTAGAAGACAAACAGCGTGAGGTAATGTATGCTAACTTAGCTTTAGCTTGACAAACCACCAATTTTTACTAAGACAAAACCTTTTAGGGAGAAATATTAATAACTGTGACCATACGGAGTGCTCCCTAATAGCCGAAGGGACATTTTGAAAAGCAGAAAGATATGAGATATTTTCAACTCGTTTTGAAAGTATGATCATATCTGCTCATTGACTTACCGGAAAGGAAGTTGCTTTTTCGAGAAGGCGGAGATGGCGGAGAAGGGGGGTGGCGTGAACAAGGTTCAGTCGGGTCACGGAAATCTGTCATTCTTGGTGGGGATTTTTGTCACACAAATATTGGTGGGGCCTGTCCATGGTACCCACGTCAAACTACGCCCGTGCCTGGGCGTTTCAGTAGTGGCCGAGTAAAGCGGACTTAACTGCACTAGTGGCGATGGATGTATTATGTTTCTCGCAGCTGCGTGATTCATGAAAAGCGTGAACATGAAGACGACAAACGAAATGTTAGGACTATGTCGACACTGTTTAGGGGAGCTGTGAGAGGAATTGATGAGGCGAGTTGTAGTCAGAATGTGAGGTTATCTCTTTTATGAGTTTATGGCTGCAGTATCCTGGAAAAAAGTAAGGTGGGGTGTTGAGTTTTTAATGTAGAATGTGGAGGGAAATGATGTAACTATGGAGTTGTGAAGTGAGGAAAAAGCGGTAGGAGATTCAGGAGCGTGACGGTTGTGAAATATTGTTCTTAAGCGAAGCAGTGAGCGAAAAGTTCAAAATCAAAACCCAGGAGCGAATGGAGAAAGAGTGATGTAGAGGAAAGAGCAGAGTGTGATTGGGTTAATATGTGTCGTGGATAATTAGATTGGTGTTTCTAGCATATGTCATAAATTGTGGCGAATTCAGGCAAAGATAAAACAGATAAAATAACGGATATTTTGAATGGGAGCGGAAAAAGAACCTCGGGTATGAGAGGTGTTTTCTGCGGAACAGGTGGACAAAGGTTGGAGGAGGAGAAGAGAGTGGGTGTGGGAGGGGGAGTGAGAGTGTAGTATGAGAATCATCACTGGACGCAAGGAGTTTACGTGGTAATGGACAGGAAGTAAAAGGTTAGTGCAGAACAGGAGAGGAGACCTGATATTATATATGTTCAGAAACATGGCTTTATGGTGCATTCAGACGCAAACGTCAAACGCCTGAAGCCCCCGTCTGGACAAAGGAGGAGTTGTGTTCGTGGAAAAGTTGATAAAAGACCACGCAATCGTTCACGCGAAGGGCATAAAACATTGGAGTGAGATTGGAATACCATCGTGTGCCAGCAAATGCACTTCTGACCGGCAGGATTGCTCTGGCTACGAGGTCTGAGGGCGCGCAATTCGGTTTATTTGGATTGAAAAAAATTCTGCTGCTTTTGCCGTCATTGCCTATAATATTGTCCCTCTCGGCGATGTTTTTTTCACGCTTGTCTTTCTCCACTCGCCCCATATCTCAAATTCTCTGCTAGGCTATAAAGGTCCCCCAATTATCAACAACCTCACATTCTCAGTCTCCAGCTCGGCTCCCGTTCCCCCCGCTCCCTCTCCTATCCATTCTTTCCTTCCTCCTCCATCCTCATTGTCTTTCCGGCTCACCCTCCTGATCCTGCTCCCTCTGACAAGCCACAATTGAGCGGCAGAACAAAAAACAAAACAAAAGATCGGAGTTGCTCATCCGAGAAAAAAATTCTGTGGGATTTATACAAGCACAATGGTCTAATCCAGCTGTCGTGCGTGAATGCACTATGTGTTACGTTCAGATTTAGAATCTTATAGGTGTCTCTCCGCTGTCACTTTTCCACCTCAAATGTGACATCTCACCTCGTCAGATGTTCTCATTCAATGTTTGAGCACTGTCAGGTTCATACCGTGTACTTTCAGCTCTATTCATTTTGTACTCCTCCATTCAAAACTCTTTCTGATCTTCAATAAAAAAAAAAAAAAACTAAAGTATCTTTAGAGTCTAATGACAACCATATTGATCACATTTTAATAAGGCGCGAAAAAACCCCTGGAAAAGGTTACTATGCAACAGTCGCCCCTGCGCCATGTAGCCCTATGGGGCAGCAGAAAGGTCTTGGTTTTAAAAGAAAAGCTAAAATGGAGTAAATATGTTTTCTTTACTTTTTCAACCCAAAACACACCAAAATATAAACAACAAGTACCGTAAAGTCATTAAATTTCAACTTCTGGGTTTTGTTTTGATTACACTTAATTAGGGCATATTAAGTGAGTGACGGTCAGTTGACCGCTAGGGGCGCTCTTGTGTTATGGCGAAGTGGCACGCTATCTGCCAAAACAAATTTCCAAGTGGTAACTTTGTATGTTACTTCCATGGCAATAAAAACCTAGAAATTGCACATGGCTGAAGCCATTGCGATTGACTGCGGAACAGATCTAATGTGGAATTGCTAAAAAAAATCCTGAAATCCTCTTTTAAAAGGCTGAAACTGTTAAAATTTACTTGTTAGATATCTGAAACTCTGAAGTCCTTGAAAATTGTTGAAACCTTTAAACTCCTGTAATCCTGGGAAATGTTGCAACATTGAAATCCTGAAATCCTGAAACTTTTTTTAAACTGGAAATGTTGAAAGTGTGGGAAACTCCTGAATCTTGAACCTCCTGCTATCCTTGAATGGTTAAATTCTTAAAACAGTTGAAATTATTGAAATATGAATGTATTGAAGTGTATTGAAATGAAAATCCTCACGGTGTCACAATTTGGTTCTGTAACTAAGGAACCTGGTCTGGGGTATTATCTGGTGGTGGTCTGATTCTTCGTTTGGGGTTGGTTGGTGGTTCTAATGCAAACTAATTTTGGTTGCATTTTACACCAGACCAATGACCCAAACGAAGAACAGACCACCACCAGGATAATAATGACCACCAGACAGGTTTCCTTCGTTCAGGAACAAAAAATTGTTTCAGCGGTGAGGGGATTTTTATCAGTTTTCAAGGCCACTTTCAATACATTCAGTGTTTCAAGGATTTCAATGTTTAAGAATTTAACAGTTTCAAGGATATCAGGAGGTTCAAGGATTTCAGGAGTTTCAACACTTTCAACAGTTTAGTTTAAAAAAGTTTAAGGATTTTCAGGAGTTTCAATGTCTTCAACAGTTTCAAGGAATTTAGGAGTTTAAGGTTTCAAACAATTTCAAGGACTTCAGGAGTTTCAATATCAATCAGTATTTTTACAGTTCAAGGGCCTTTTAAATGATTTCAAGGATTTTTTTTTTTAGCAGATTTCCACGTAGTTCTGTTCGCAGCAATCGCCAATGGCTTCAGCCATTCAAGTTCTGTTTTTATTGCATGTAAGTAACAATCAAAGTTACATTGGAATTGTTTTTGGCAGATAGCGTGCCATTCGCATTAACACTAGGGCGCCTACGGTCAACTGACCGTCACTCACTTTAATATGTCTAATTAGTGTATCAAAAACAAAACGCCCAGAAGTTGATACTTTCATGACTTTTATGGGTACTTGTGGTTTACTATTTTGGTGAGTTTTGGTTTTGAGAAAAAAGTAAAGAAACACAAGATTTAACGCATTTTAGCTTTCTAAAACCACAGCCTTTATGCCAGCATCGGGATACATGGCGCACGGGGCGACTGT